CGCTCAAAGAGGTCAACAAGCGCTGGCAGCCATTGCCACGTCCTTCCACATGGCTCAGCGAACCTCTCCCACCTACCTCGACCAGGGAAGAGCAATCTACTGGCCAGCTCTACACCAACAAGTAGAATCCTACCGCCGTCAGATCCTCCACCACAACCCAAACTGGCAGTCCCAATGTCAGTCCCTCATCACATTGTTCTTGCTGGCCTCCACAGCCCCATTCCCAAAGATCGCGCTGAAGGGAGACCTAATATGCATTGCCGCTTACTACCTTCTTCGCAGTGGCGAATACAACTACACTCCTCCCAAGCAACAACGTCGCACCCAGCGTTTTCGGGTTAAAGACATCATTTTAGCCGAGCAGACCAATCTCTTATACCAACACTGCCACCCCTACACATCCTTCTCACAGCTGAATATCCAACCCTCAGGATCACCAACCAGAAATGACGAGTCAATGATCAATCACCAATGCACCCACACGGACTTACAAGCCCTGTTCAAAGCTCTTTAGCACGACGGGCTTGCACACATTATGAACACACAACATATGAACCAGCCATTAGTACCTACTTTACTTCCAGATCGATCGCCCAAGCAAATCCGACTCGCGACATTAAACAACCCATCAATCAGCAGTCACCCATTCAATCTCACACAATACGGGATTTACCCAGACATGTCAGCAGCCTTATCTCTACGGCTGGAGGGGCCATGGCAATGAAACTCAATGGTGCAGATGAAATCACCATCATGAAACAAGGCGATGGACCTCAGAACTTTCCTCCAGTACATTCACGAACAAATTCGAGCCCTAACCAACGGCTGGCAACACGCATGCACGACATATTCATTCACAAACATGACCCACACATCATTCACCCACATCTAACAACACACCATTGAGACTAGTCTTAACTAATAGATTGTCTCTTATTTCACATCTCCAAACTAATAACCAAAACACTCTTCAACACCCATCCTACATCGGTGACTTGAACTAGCCGGGCCTTTCATGGCACGAACGCCCACTACGTTCATCACCTCATACAACATACACACATGGACCATCCACTTCATCAGCCCATAACATCTCAAATGGGCTGACTACACAAATGGAGGTTCTATGGATCAAAAGCTTATGCAAATTGATCCACTCCAAGTGAGCTTTAGAGCAATAACACTAGTAATGCTGCTTCAAAGCCCAACTTGGTGTGCCTTCTAGCTCTAGCACCATAGGCACAGTCACAGGCCAGTCCACATGAGCTGATGTTGTAGGTCACTGAAAGTAGCTCTCGAGTAGCCCACAAGATATCGATTCAAGAACTTATCGCGTGAAGATCTCACAGTCTACCTGTATGGACGAAACGTGTGCCCGAGATACAGGTAGACGTAGTGAAGCTTCGCGCGAAAAGGGCGCATGCACCTCTGCAGCCCCGATTCCTCACTTTTGTTCTTTTCTTGGATCAATCGATCTTCGTGAAGAAGCAGCCCACTTACCCACCCTCTACCTATTGTAAATTGATTGCTCCTTAGATGGAGGTTCTATGGATCAAAAGCTTATGCAAATTGATCCACTCCAAGTGAGCTTTAGAGCAATAACACTAGTAATGCTGCTTCAAAGCCCAACTTGGTGTGCCTTCTAGCTCTAGCACCATAGGCACAGTCACAGGCGAGTCCACATGAGCTGATGTTGTAGGTCACTGAAAGTAGCTCTCGAGTAGCCCACAAGATATCGATTCAAGAACTTATCGCGTGAAGATCTCACAGTCTACCTGTATGGACGAAACGTGTGCCCGAGATACAGGTGGGGGCTCGGAACCGAACTCTCTTGTCTACTGTCTGTTCATCCATTCCCAACCCGATGTACTGTAGTGCGTCTAGCCAGCTAGTTGCGAGACAAGATCAGGAAGACGTGCAGTATACTTGCGAATGATGAGGGACATTGGGCAGGAAAATCGAGGGGCTGGTATCCTGACGCGACGATCGAGCGTTGCACATAGGACCCACCAGCAGCCATCCATCCAACAAGTCCCAAACCACTACTACCCAATAGTTTCCACGAGCACTCCTGTTGTATCCGGCACGACTGGTATGGAGGATGATCCATATTTTGGAATGTGGATGTATCCGGAGCTCATGGACATTGTGGCCTTGGTGGCCGCCCTCTGTTTGGGTGTAGCATCCACGTCCTTGTCGGCGTTTTCGGCCGAAGAAATTGCTCCTGCCAACGAACGCTACCTGGCACAAAAAGAAAGTTCTACAGGGCCGTGGAGCAAAGGCAGTGCTCCCGTCTCGTTTGGGATCATGATATTTTGTGGACTGGCCACCTCGCTCAGCAGTCTTTGCTTGGTCTTGTCGGTGGGTGCCCGGTTCATGTTGACGTATATTGCCAACCTCGACAATGATTCCCCGGCACGAACATTTCTGCTGCAATGGGCCAACCCCATGTCGATTGTGGTCATGATCACATGGTACCTGGCTCTTGGATGTGCGGCTGGCTCCTTTTACTGGATTGGATGGGTTGTCTTCCCTCCCGAAATTGCCAGCAGTGCCACCATTGTGGCCTTTGGATATGTTTTTGTCATTGGAATTGCTCTTTTATTCTTTTTCTCCATTTATGTGGCGTGGAAATCCATCCGTCTCCACAAAAAGAAGAAACATGCCTCTAGTACACCACAAAGAATCCAGGAGACGCCAATTCGAACCAACCAGCAGCAAATATTTGGCCATATTGTTGTGGAACAGGAGGTGGCACACCAAGTGACTAACCAATCCGCTTCATATTCATCTCAGAACAATTTCAAGCAGTCCTGTTCCTTCACGGATGAAACTGTGGAGCTCGAGAGCAGTTGCAACAAAGATTCCCAGAGTCGCATGGAAGACCATACTGCATCATTAAAGACAAAGGAATATTCCGAGAAGGAGGCTATGGAAAAGATTCGGTTCCTCCGAGAGAAACTGCGAAATTTGGAAATGGACTTGTTGGAAAGTTCCAAGCCCTCTTCAACGAGTGTATTATCAATCTAGCTACTTTGGTTACGAGCGACGCAACGATGACCCACGGAAATCCACTGCCAATCCACAATTCGCTTCTTTTTTGCCGTTGCAAATTGCCTGATTCTTCATGGCAGATATCGATCTTGGCACTCGATCGTGCTGGAGCAACTGTCGGTGTGTGTGTATGGCATTCCTCCTTGTGGTTGCTCCCGTCACGTCAACTTTCCAAGTTTGATCGGATCCTACTTTGAGTTCCATTGACAATATTTGGTGCTTCCCTCATGTTTTGCATGATTATGGCCATGGACGATCCATCCGGAATGAACGACACAGCTACATATCGACGGACCGCGCATTGGATGTCCGCAGCCCCAAAACTTGGTCACGGCAAGTGAAGAAGCCTGAAGCTCGGACCAGATAGTACGTTCTGTTCTTCTATCACAAGCAAGTTTGCTTGACTTGACTAGTGTCTCCCCAGCATTCAGCGCGGGGTTTTTTCTTCCAATGTGTACGTAGGTTGTGCCTGGAGCACAAACCAACGCTCGATAGTTACTTCCCAATACTCATAAAAGTAGGCTAGGTGGTCTCCGTGTTAGTCCTCAATTTGTTGCCATGTTCCCACGGAACAGCTATTTCATAGCTAGCCCCACATTCCGCATATTCTTGGGGTAAGCCTGGCCCCTCCCCGGCTTCTAGACCAGTCGATATGTTCCCTACTCTCACACCCTTCGCTCATGGGGTCCCATGGACGGGAAGCAAGTGAGGACAGAAGCCTCTATAGTCTACCAATTGACAGCCATACTGCCATTGATTGCATAAATTCTGACAGCTAGTTCCAGGTACCATTGCATTGACAAGAGCTGTGCAAATTGAAATTGTGAGAAATCCCGAAATTGGTATTGTGAGAAGTCCAGAAAGCTACCAGTAGAATTGTGAGAAGTCGGAAAAAATATGAATTGTGAGAAATCAGAAAAAATTGTAATTGTGAGAAATGGGAAAAAATTGTAATTGTGAGGAATCGGAAAAAGTTGTAATTGTGAGGAATCAGGAAAAGTTGGAATTGTGAGAAGTCGGAAAAAATTAGAATTGTGAGAAGTCGGAAAAGATTGTAATTGTGAGGAATCAGAAAAAATTGGAATTGTGAGAAGTAGGAAAAAGTGTAATTGTGAGAAGTCAGAAAAATGGGAATTGTGAGAAATCGGAAAAAGTTGTAATTGTGAGAAGTCGGAAAAAATATGAATTGTGAGAAACCAGAAAAAATTGTAATTGTGAGGAATCGGAAAAAATTGTAATTGTGAGGAATCGGAAAAAGTTGTAATTGTGAGAACTCGGAAAAAGTTGTAATTGTGAGAAGTCGGAAAAAATTAGAATGTGAGAAGTCGGAAAAAATTGTAATTGTGAGGAATCAGAAAAAATTGAATTGTGAGAAGTAGGAAAAAGTTGTAATTGTGAGAAGTCAGAAAAATGGGAATTGTGAGAAATCGGAAAAAGTTGTAATTGTGAGAAGTCGGAAAAAATATCAATTGTGAGAAACCAGAAAAAATTGTAATTGTGAGAATAACGAAAAAATTGTAATTGTGAGAACTCGGAAAAAGTTGTAATTGTGAGAATCAGAAAAAATTGGAATTGAGAATCGGAAAAAGTGTAATTGTGAGAAGTCGGAAAAAATTGAATTGTGAGAATCGGAAAAGTTGTAATTGTGAGGAATCGGAAAAAATTGAATTGTGAGAACTCGGAAAAAGTTGGAATTGTGAGAAATCAGAAAAAATTAGAATTGTGAGAAGTCGGAAAAAATTGTAATTGTGAGGAATCGGAAAAAATATGAATTGTGAGAAATCAGAAAAAATTGTAATTGTGAGGAATCGGAAAAAATTGTAATTGTGAGAAGTCGGAAAAATAAGAATTGTGAGAAGTCAGAAAAAGTTGTAATTGTGAGGAATCGGAAGAAGCTGGAATTGTGAGAAGTTGGAAAAAGTTGGAATTGGAGAATCGGAAAAATTGTAATTTGAGAATCGGAAAAATTGTAATTGTGAGGAATCGGAAAAATTTGAATTGTGAGAAGTCGAAAAAAAAATGAATTGTGAGAAATAAGAAAAATTGTAATTGTGAGGAATCGGAAACAATTGTAATTGTGAGAAGTAGGAAAAAATAAGAATTGTTGAGAAGTCGGAAAAAGTTGTAATTGTGAGGAATCGGAAGAAGTTGGAATTGTGAGAAGTTGGAAAAAGTTGGAATTGTGAGAAGTCGGACAAATTGTAATTGTGAGGAATCGGAAAAATTTGAATTGTGAGAAGTCGGAAAAAATACGAATTGTGAGAAATCAGAAAAAATACGAATTGTGAGAAGACGGAAAAAATTGGAATTGTGAGAAGTCGGAAAAAATCGGAATTGTGAGAAGTCGGAAAAAGTTGTAATTGTGAGGAATCGAATCTTGAAAATTGAATTGTGAGGAATTGGATCCCATTCATTCCCTCAAGACTGAAGGAGGTTCCGAGAAAGCAAGAAAGCAAGATCCACCAAGGCGACAAGAGCGACAAGTTAGCACGATTGTTGGCGACGACCTCTTCTTCTCCACTCGAGCAGCCAGCCAAATCCCATTACAGACAACTATAACAAACCCAAGCAAAGGACCCACACCAAGACACAAGAGATTTGAAAGACAATGGCGAACAATAATTCGGAGTTCAAAGTGCCCTCCCTGTTCGCAGGCCCAACGACTACCACCACCAACAACCAAACGAACAGGACGGCGTATCCGCCAACGACTTCAGCTACTGCAGCTACTTACACGCCCTCGACAACAGCCAGTGGTTATACTCCTTCGGCAGCTGCAAGGGGGTACAATCCATCTGCAGCTGCAAACGGCCACACTCCGTCGGCAGCAGCCGTGGGATACCCTTCAGGCGGATCTTCTTCTAAATATACACCTTCACAGGCAGCAAGTGGCGGTTACAATGCTGCCGGATCCAAAAGCACATATGTTCCTTCTGCTGCTGCCATGAGCTACACACCATCGGCTGCAGCCACAAACTATAGTTCAGCTGGTGCTGGTACAGGCCAGAATGGCGCAAGAAACACTACTACCGGTACTACTACGGGGTATGTTCCATCTGCTGCAGCCATGGGATATACTCCCTCCACTGCCGCCAATGGAGCAGGTAAGAGTGGTGGTACTAGCAACACTGGGGGATACGTTCCTTCTGCAGCAGCTATGAGCTACACCCCATCGGCTGCGGCTACGAGCTACACTCCATCGGCGAGCAGTGCAGGCCAGAATGGCGCTGGGGGGTATGTTCCTTCTGCTTCAGCTATGACATATACACCATCAACTGCTGCTATGAGCTACACTCCATCAGCTGCTGCCAGTGCCTCAGGTCAAAATGGGGGATATGTTCCGTCTGCTACAGCCATGAGCTACACTCCATCAGCAGCTGCGACAACCTACACTCCATCAGCTACAGCCATGAGCTACACTCCTTCAGCTCCTGCTAAAACCTACACTCCATCAGCAACTGCTTCAAGTTACACTCCATCAACTGCCGCGATGGCCAGTGTTCCCTCGATATTCTCGGCTCCACCCCCAGCACCGCCTTCCAATCCACCCAAACCCAACCACAGCGTGACTCAATCAGCTCCGTATGCACAGCTACCACCTCCGCAACAGCAACAGCCGCAGTACCAACAACCGCCACAGCAGTCCCATGCGCCACCACAGCATCAGCCACAACAACAACAACAACATCGACCAGAAGGCGTCATGAACGAACAGCAACGACTAGAGTTTGAGGCCAACCAACCAGAAGCGCTCAAGCACGCCGATATTTGGATGATCTCGGGATGCGAAGATCGACAAACCAGTGCCGATATTTCCAATGTCAATTCGTTCCAGCTCCCCGATCCTCACGGGCGTGCCGGTGGAGCATGCACAGCGGCGCTCCTCAATGTCCTCTACGAGAATGACAATCAGAATCGACAATACTCATTCATGGATGTCATGAAGAAGATGCGATCCATGATTAAAAGCAAGAAATTGACGCAAATTCCACAATTGTCTTCCACCCATCCCATTGACATGAATCGCAAGTTCGAAATGGTCCCCGAAGGCCTCACGGGGACACGACGCGCCGTCATTATTGGCATTAATTACACGGGACAACAGGGCGCGCTGCGGGGTTGTCACAACGATGCGTTTAATATGAAAAAGTACATTCAGCAGCGACATGGGTTTCAAGAACAGCACATGACATTGCTCATTGACGACGGCAATCACTCGAAACCTACCAAAGCCAATATTTTGGCAGCGTACAAACAAGTCGTGGCCGAGAGTCGTCCTGGCGATGCCATCTTTTTGCATTACAGTGGTCACGGTACCAAAGTCAAGGATTTGAATGGCGACGAAGCCGATGGATACGACGAAGCACTGGTGCCATTGGATTTCAAAAAAGCCGGTCAAATCATTGACGATGATCTCTACACGATTATCGTGGGAGGCTTGCCTCGTGGCGTGCATGTGGTGTCGGTAATGGATTGCTGTCATTCCGGTACCATTCTGGACTTGCCGTATATCTTCAAGGCGAATGGCGAATTCAGTCAAATGGAGATTGATGAGGGCTACAATGAGAAGAAGGGTTTCTCCTTTTTTGGCGGCGACACGGGGAAAATGCTCGGTGCTGCTGTGGTCGGCGGCATACTTGGAGGACTGCTTTTTTAGCTGGCAAAGTTGATGCTTCCGAAGGGTGCAACCGTAGAGTTAGGCGAACTTTTAGAAATCAATATTTAAATACAGCGTACTAGTATACAACAGTAGGATTTAGTTGGTTTACTAGGATCTGTATCGATCGTCCCTGAATCTATTCATCGAAACACAGAATCCAACGGATCTTCTGGCAACACCATTTCCTCCTGCCGCTGTTTGTGCTTCTTTTGTGCCTCTTTGCGTGCCACGTAGGATTGTCCCTTGAGTTTTCTCATTTCCGCACGGCTATTATTGGGCGAGACAAATGCAGAATTTCGAAAGAGCGATTGTCCTCCAAAGGATCCATGAAAGATACAGACGGGGTTGAGGACAAAGCGTGGCCCAATTTCGACGAGGGATCCCTTGTCGTCTTGCTTGAGTTGTTGTGGATCGGGTTCCGTGATTTGGTAGTTTCGTACCCAAATCTGTACAAAGAAATAAGACAATGAAACAAAAAGCAAAAAGCAAAAGAAGAAGCATGATGAGTTACAAACAGTATGAAGGACGTGATACCAACAAAATTTTCTGTGCAAGTATGGTTGATCGTCTCATTCCATCGTAGTATTATAATGTGATTGTTCTCATCCCGAAACTCTTGGAGTTTGGTCCGACATACGCTCATCGTTTCAAATCCTCGACGATCCTTTACTCTCATGAATGGATGGGTGTGTGTGCGTACCTTTTTATCGGCATAATAAAATGCCATGACCCGATCGACAAACGGTTTGGCTTTGGGATGACCTCTTGGAGTTCCAAAAATATCGACAAACAATTCTCGCAACAACTTTAAATGTCCCAATCGCGTAAACGACTCATCAAATGACAGAACAGGTCGACTGCCCCGCATACAATTTCCCGTCAATTTCAATTCGTCCATGGTGTGAATATTGGACACGTGAAATTTGACCGACGGACCGGTACCCGTTTTTCCCATCCACAAATAGGCGTCTTGTCGTTTGCGACATTCCAAAAACAAGACGCTGTTGCATTCGCGCATGGCGGCAATGTCCGTCATGGCACGACCAATGCCATCGGGGCCCGGATCCAATTTGGCTTCCTTCTTGTGATGCGGAATGCACGTGCGCAAATCTTCCAGTAAATGGCGGAATCGGGCCGTAATGCCACGAGAACATGAGATTAGACAGCGTTGTTTGTTGCGGTATTTACCGTCACTTATAAAACTGGGAACGACAGGAGGAGATTCCGGTTCTTCTTCTTCTTCTTCTTCTTCACTGCTAACGGCACCTTCATCAGCTTGTTCCTCCTCTTCTGGTTCCTCGTTCTTCATTGCCTCCTCTTGGCTTGGAACATCTTCTTCTTCTGTCTCCTCTGTTTCCGCCTTGGGGCGCTTGCTTTTGACTTGCTTGTCTTTCTTCTTGTTCTTGCCCATCATGTGGATTTTTGTGTTGTGGCAGTGGATGGAGTTCAAAAATAAATGGAGTGAGAAAAAATAATGAAGCAAAGAAGATTTTGTTGGTTGGGTGGTGGAGGCAGGGATCGAGGTGTCAATCAATGCGCGAGGTGCGCGACACCCATTAGAGACAGAGATAAATAGATTTTGCGAATTACATCATTAGAGATAGAAATAAGATGATCATCTGGCTCACCATGGATCTTATCTATGCCACACTGTTGCTTGGGTGGGTGCTGGAGGACAATCTCGCAGTTGACAGTGTGGTTGCACTGGAAACTGGAATGGAATACATCTACTAGACTAGCTAGTCTAGTCTACTCTTACGGTACAAAGAGCATGGCCTTTCCTTGCAATACATGGGTGTGGATGTTGTTCAATTTGTTGGACTTGCTTTAGATATTTGCATCATCATTCACAAGAAACGCTCTGTGTTTTTGCAGAGCCTATTAGCCAGGGCTTTTTTGTGCAAAGAACGCTTTTTGAGTCGGATGGCTGTGTGGGAGAATACAGACTTCCAATAGATAGATAGACTAGACTATCTTGCTGGGTCCGTTCCGCCAGCCACTGACTGCTGACAGGTGATGCAAGAAGTCCGATACGACAGTACAGTCGTACTGTATACTTTAGAAGTATGGTAGCCTGTAAACAAAGCCAAAGGCATCCGCTCTTTTGTTTTATGATGGTTAACAGTGATCAGGTACGGAGTAGACTACAGCGTGTGTGGTGTGGTGGAGTAGACGTTGCGACGTTGCATTTGTGGTGGTTGCAAGCTTCTTTTCCATGTTTGCAGCTTGAGTTTCGAGGTTTCGAGTGTCAACGATCAAACATCAAACCTTCTGATTGTGGTCAGTGGTCAATGGTGAAGCTGCCGTTTGGTGACAGCCTTTCTGCAGCACAAAGGCTTTGATGACTCCAAGCGAATCTCTTGGAGTCTTTGGACTCTCACAGATCCGAGATGATGAAGAACCTTATTAATATCTCCAAGCTCGGGTCCTACTCAAGATTACCGTACGAAATAGACTGTTACTGTGGCTACTTATCTATTTTTCTCTGGTAGTGGTACGGTACCGGTAAGAATTGTAAGACATACGACTCACTAAGTCCTGATGCGTTAATTCACTTAAAAATTGGATTGCCATAAGTGTGGCCACGGTTGTAAGCTGAATGTGCACTTTCCAAAAGAGAAGTCTGGCTCCGCTCACAAACTGGCTGACACCAGCAAGAGCTGAGATATCCGATCCAAGTAAGGTGCCACACCACGATCACTCTCACTTTTTTTTGAGTTGTCTGACAACCCAATAACCCAATAATGATGGTTTCAACTTTGACAAAACTCGTTTGGACGACTTTGCTCTTGCCCTGGTCTCTGGCTGACCATGGCCGTGGCATGGTGGAAGAAGCGGAGGCTGATGATGGGAGCAACCAGATTCGAATCTTGACATTTGATTATCCAGGCTTTGATCTGGTGGGGATGGAAAAGAATGCCAAGAACTACTTTGAAAAGACGGGCGTGTCGGTAGTGTACGAGAAGGTAGCTGACTTTTTTGGCTTGCAGGAAGAGATTCGAAGCCAAGCGGAGAATCGCTTGCCGCTCTACGATGGCTACATTTGCGCACCCTCCGTGGTCGGATCCGTCGCCCAGTATGAGGGGTGGGTGGACTTGACCGAGACGGTTCGGACACGGGATGAAATTGAGTGGCAAGATATGTTGTTGGGTATTCGGGAGACTGTCGCTGTTTGGGACAACAAGGTTTACATGCTACCGCTCGACGGAGATGCACACTTTCTCTTCTACCGCGAGGATATCCTCCAAGCATTTGGCCTGACTGTGCCCCGAACATGGGACGAGTACTGGCAAGTGGCGAAAGCTGTGCACGGACAGGAGTTTGAAGGGAAAACGCTGTCGGGGTCCTGCATTGGCCGCCAAGAAGGCTTTCAAAACAGCTATTGGCTCACCCTCGTCCTTAGCAGCTACACGCAAACGAGGGGACCATCTCAAGGCCATCTATTTGATCCAACGGATATGACGCCCCTTGCTGGAGAGGCCCTAGCGGAGACAATCAAGATGATTGAGCTGCAAGCGACATACGGACACCCGCTAGGTACGTACCGTGCGCCCATACAGTTACAGTAGACCACCCATGCCCGTGCTCAACTTTCTTCTAACCTTCTTTTCGTCTTCCGGCTACTACTAGAGTTTGAAATGCACGGTGGTGGTGGAGAGCATTCGGTCAATCTCCAAGCCATGAATAATGGAACATGTGTCTTGACCTACAATTGGGGCGATAGCTTCAAGGCTGGCCAAAGTCCAGACAGCGCGGTCAAGGACAAAATGAAAGTTGCCCAGACACCAGGATCGACTCGAGTCTACAATCGAATGACAAAAAAGCTTGAGCCCTGTACGGAGGATCTCTGTGGTGGCCCATCTGGTGAATTCCATGAGGACATTGGTTGGGTCAATCGGGCTGCGTACCTGGCATTTGGTGGATGGTCTGCTGCTGTCAACAACAACATTAACGACGTCCGGAAGAAGCAGACCTTGGACTTTCTCGTCTACATGAACTCGCCCAAAGTATCACTGGAAGATACAATATTGGCACCCGGCACACCAGCGAATCAGACCACGGGTGTGGATCCGTACCGCTCGTCGCACCTGGATCCTGCATTGTGGGCGGCACAGGGTTACGAGAAGGCATCAGCACAGTCCTACGCAAGCACCATCAAGGAAACCTTCCGAAACCCCAACTTGGTGCTCGACCATCGTTTCTCAGGGGCGGATCGTATTGCTGTGTCTATTGATTCGCATCTGTCCAACTATCTCTCCAGAGCAGGTAAGGCCAGGCAATTGCTTGTCATGCCCCGGCATCATGATGGAATCATGCCGCTCACACATTGCTTTCCTACATGAATCTCCCAGTGATTGAAAAGTCTCTCCCTGTGGATGAGGAAGCACGGCAGTTGGAAAGACTGAAAGTCGCTGACGCAATGGCGGAAGAGTTTCGAGAGATTATAGCTGATGAAGACAGCAAACCAGAAAGCCTCATCCCAGTCCTCTCGCAGTACCAACTAGCTCTTGGCATCTATAGTATGTATCAGTTTGCGAACAGGGTGCTGCCAGTTTCATCCAGGTTGAATCACCCCCTCACCTTGTCTTTTTCTCTTTTTACCCACTAGAACCACCCTATGACCACAAGGACATTGGCGGTATCCGAGTTGTTGGTTGGATGCTGGCTGCAACTGTCATTGCTTGCTCCGTTGCCTTTGCTCTGTGGGTTGCAGTCAAACGAGAAACAAGAGTCATCAAGGTCAGTGCAGAAATGCATGCCCTCAACAATGTCCTTCCCTTCCTTGGAAGACTCATCATTGCCCCGCCCATCTTTCTTTTGTGCTGTCATGGTTTCCTTCACAGGGTTCCCAACCTGGCTTCCTACTACTGATTTGCCTTGGTACAATCACGATGGCCAGCGCCATATTCCCTCTCGGAATGGATGATGACTACTTTGGCAAGGTCGACGACGAGTGTCCGGAATGTGATGCTGCTTGCAAGACATGGCCGTGGCTCTTCTTTGTTGGCTTTACCATCATCTTCAGCGCGATCTTCAGCAAGCTTCTGCGGCTCAACAAGTTCATAGCACAATCACTGAAAGCGGGAAAGGCAACACGGCAAGCAAAGAACATCAAGGTGGAGACCAAAGACGTCATTCTTCCATTTGCAGCCCTCCTCTCCTTGAATGTGGTTCTGTTGACAATTTGGACGGTAGTCGACCCACTTGTGTGGCAGAGAGTTCCAACCGGCGAGTTCAGCTCATACGGAACGTGCAAGCCAGAACATGGAACTCCTGCTATCGTTCTCGGTTTGTTTCTTGGAGCCGTCAACCTGGGGGCCTTGCTCTTGGCAGAGATTGAAGCCTACAAAGCCAGGAACATCAGTGATCACCTGAGTGAAAGCAAGTACATTGGCCTGGCCACTGTGAGCATGTTCCAAATGTTTGCGATTGGGATTCCTGTCATCTTCCTTGTACAAGACAAGCCAGAAGCGCAGTTCTTCGTCTATTCAGGTATCATTTTTGTCATTTGCATGGCAATCCTTTCACTAATCTTCCTTCCAAAGGTGCACTTTGACCGCCACCCTCCTCCAAAGGCCACTATCAAGGGATCCAAAGATTTTGGACTGAATCTCAAGCTACCCAAGTATGGCAGCAGTCAAGTGTCTAGCTTTGAAGACGACTGTGACTCAAACAGCTCTGATGACGAAGACGAGAACACACTGGAACTGATTCGTCTTCGGCGTGCCGTAGAAGAGTACAGATTCAAATTCTATTCCTTGAAGAGAGAGGTGGAAAGCAAAAAGTACATGGAGGTGGAACCCTTCCTGGCAAGTCTGGAAAACAAGACTGTGGTGAAACAAGGGGTGGCGCCAATGGAGCAACCTTCATCCTGCTCGGCCGAAAAACCCAAGTTCTGGACGGACAGTGGCTTTGATCTCTTTACACAGTACATCCCACCGGAAGAGCAAGTAGTATCACAAGAAGAAGCGCCTCAACCTGAGGAAGCAGACAGTGACAACCGGAAGAACAACGAAACTGAAGAGGGACCCCCGCAACGTTCCGCGCATTACGGTGGCTGGGGTAAGAGTGACTTTGAAGTTTTCTCAGAGTTCGAGCAGCAGCAACGGGACGAGGAAGATGCGACTTCAGAGGACCCAGAAAAGGGAAAAGTTTCATGTGTTGGTGTCAGCGAAGAGGGGCAGGCTGATGATGAAGCCTCTATAGCTAGCTAGCTCCAACAGTCACTACATGTACATAATTTATATTGTAACAGTTCAGTTTTATTGCCTGTGCTCTACTGCTTCAGTTGTTCAAGCTGAGCCAGCAACCCTCGTCACTATCCAGCCCCCCCCCCCCCACCATCGCCCAACCAATTTCCGCAACCCTCCCTTCCATGCCGTGAATGAACTTCCAACCTATTCTAGGTTCTAGCCATTGCCGCCACTGAGAACTTGATCCACAACAGCCAGTGTTGAAGGAATTGCAACGGGGGCACTGGGTACCCAAGAAATGCCAAATCACCCGGTGACTCTTGGTCTCACAATCGTTGCACATAATGTCGACCACACGCTGCTACGATGTGTTGATGTGTGTGTTGTAGGGGTTTGTGGTACCGTACCGATGATGACTGACTGTCGCCTTGTCGACGTACAGATTCGACTCCACTCTTTCTTTGCGAAAGTTGCTCTTCGTCCAACGGTGCTTTTGGTGTACCGGTGGTACAATGTACAATGTACGTACACTGGCAACATGTCATTGGTGCCTCCGGTCATCGGGGATTTTTGTGGGATCTGACTCACGTAGAACTGTACTGAGCTTCTACGTGTACCAGAGAAAACACTCCAAATCAGTGGTTCATTGGATTTTGGCCAATTCTCGGGGATTCTGGTAGTATTTGGAGAATCAAATCTGCCGAAAATAAATGATCACTTCCGGCTCTTTTTTGCCAAAAAGAACGTCATTCGGAACCTCTAATGGTCTCGAGACCGCTTGGACAGCCCGAGGCATCACTTGCTTTCTTTGTGTGCATTGCCTTCATTTGACCCATCACAATCATCCTTCTATCCATATAGAGACTATATCCTTGCCCTTTGACAAAACAAAATGAGCATGCAAGGTCCTACTACTACTAAACTGGAGTCGTCGCTACGCTGTCGCTATACGGCGGCTTGGGTGTTGTTCTTTCTGCTGAGTTTTATCATTTTTGTAGAGTTTCGATTCAACTTGGACCACACAGGAGTGCTCAAATCATATTATGGGGACAACGATCAGAGGGAACGAAATGTCATTGTGATCAACACGAACATCAACAGTAGTGAGAAGAAGCAGAAGATCAGTCCCAGCAATACTGTGGTGGAAGTTCCTCTGTTTGACTTGTCGAGTGTCCCAGATCTCCAATGTGGAATGAATTATTCCGATTTTGTGTCTCTATCATCTACTTGGACACAGAGCTGGAAGCAACAACAACAACAACGAGGAGACAAGAACAATCCTCTGCCTCTGGCATGGACAGTAAGTGGAGGAGAAAAGTATTCCGTCTACTTGCCAATGCTGTTGGGCCGATGGAAACGATTGGGAATGCATCCCGTCATGGTCATGGCACTCGATCCCTACACGGCCAATCTCGTGTGTGGTGGAATGAACAGCAACAACCAGTTCTTTTTTTTTGCCATCCAATGGGATCAACCCAAAGAATCCTATTCCCGTGTGGCCGATGTCAAATTCGAATTGCCCGCCATGCTGATTGACCAAGGCATTCCTTCCTTTTTCGTGGAACCCGACATTTTCTGTCGACGCAATCCCATTCCCACGTTTGTACAAGAATTGGCCGCCAATTCCAGTGATGACAAGGTACTCCAATACAATCCGCAAAATGCTAGTAATACACCCTTTGATCTCATTCACTTGGGACACATCAAACCCAATTGGTATCCCAATATTGGCGCCTACTACGTTCAGCCCAATCCACACGTGGCCACGTTTTTCCGCAATACCCGCACCATTCTTCGACATTCCAAAAATGGGGGTCGATTCTCCCCGGTACTACCCGACAACAACAACAAACCCGCTCGCAAACCCCCCTTTTTTGATCAATTTGTGTATTACCTCTGTCTCCCCGAACGATCTTACGAACGAGGCACCCGCTTGGCCGAGCACTTGTACCAACCCGGGACCACCAAGGATTGGGTGGATGACTGTCACCGCAATGTTACAACGTTTCGCTACAAGGCCATTTCCAATGAAATCATGAGTTACGCTCCCGTCATTACCGACAATACACATTGCATTCATCCGCTCATGGGACGACCGGGAATGCCCTTTACCGCCAAAAAGCATGGCATTCACATTTTTCGCATGAAATATCAGATTGCGGCATTGATGGCCTTGGCGGTCCACTCGAATCGGACTGTGATTTTGCCACGCAATGTACGACAGCAAGATGGACATGCCGTACAATTGCCGCAATTGATGAGTATCGTGTCCATGGAAGAAAGCTTGGGCGGTGGTCTCCAGTATCGATTTGATGTTCCCAAACCCTTGTTGGATTCGTACGGTATGGTCATGAAACAGCACCATGCCGTCTACATGGCACAAGACAATCATTCCTTTCAAGATTCCTTACAAGCCATACAGGCACATCGTCATGTACCGGTTGTGTCGGTGGACAAATCGTGTCTGTTGGTCAAGGATGAGGACAAAGATCAACAACAACAACCGAATACTAATAGTGTAAGCCACAAGGAGGTCTTGTCCGTCATGGACAAGATCCGATGGTGCATTGGGATCCGGGACATTCAGTTCCACGAAGCGCAACAAGGAGTGCACGGCAAGTATTGCGAGAAATGGTATGTCGTGAATGCAAAGGGTGTCAACTGGGAATAATAGATAAAAGCAAGCAAGCAAAGACCGAGTAGCTAGGCTAGCTATTCAGCTAGCCGCCGTCATGCTTGTTTGCTTGCTACCGGTAGGAAAAGCAATGACATGTCGGAACAAGGGGGCAACCTCCTAGGACATATGTAGCCGGTGGGAAGGTCCAAATGCAGTCAATGTTTCATAATACCAGGTACTAGTATCAGTACTAGTACATTATATACAGTACAGTTCTAGCCTGCGGGACAAGCCAACCCTGAGTCCAACAGTGGTTGAATGGCAGGGCTCAGTTTCTGATTATTTGCTAGCTAGCTAGTAGGACCACTGGGTTCGGAAGAAGACAATGGTGGCTTTGGCTTTGGCCTGTCCAGCAGGTTGTGCAAGCCTGCAAGTTACTTAGTTTGTGGAGGCAGAGCGACAGCTACCGGTACTTACCGGTAGCTTACAGCTCGTGGTTGGAATTCGAGGTCCTAATGCTATCCACGCTGTGTTGCAGAACCGTGGAACCTTGGAGAATTGACAAGATTCACCATTCACCATGCATTGGGACATGGATCTTGCGAATGCTATGTACTGTATGTTGTCCAGTGAAAGTGGCAACGTCAGCATAAAAAATGCCTCCAAAGGACCAATCAGATTACATAATGCAGAAATCCTGAGATAGATTAATTACTCCGAGGTCATTCTTGAGAAGCGAGGCAATAACAAAAGCAGATCCCCATGCCACGCGTTCTGTTCGGGCAGGTGGTCAAACTCAAGCGTTCCGTGGTGCTTTCGGTGATCAAACCAACTTTGTCCTCTTCGCGCAGCAGACAGCTTGTCCATGCACAGCCTCCCAGTGCCTCCCACACAACCTGTTGCTTGGAGGGTTCCATTGAGTTGATATCCCTCATTCCCTCTCGGCCGCCTTGTCTCACTTAGTCCATAGTCCTTCCATTCTCTACCCGTGCGAGTATCCGTAGCAGTAACAATCCTTCAGATTGATTCCTTGTCTTCTATCTCTCTGTCTATCTATCTGTCTATCTATCCATCTATCTGTCTATCGGTCTGTCTGTCTACTATCTCAAGTTAAGAAGAAAGAAGAAGAAGAAAGATGATGATGAGCAAGCAGGAAGAGCAACCTCCCGGCACCAGCAACGTCACTACGACTGTCGACAAGTCGGACCACAATGGCGGTGGAAGTGTCGCCAGTAATAGCAGTGATGCCAGCAGCGGCGCCGTGCGTCGCGAAGCGCAACAACGAGGCGTCTCCATGACCATTTTCTGGATTCTCGTATTGGGTTGTGCGACCAGTGCGGCGTTTCTAGGCGTCGGTGTCAGTAGCGCGTTGAAAGAACAAGACGATCTCTTTCAACGCGCCGCTGTCGATACGGTCTCCAAACTCCAAGATGCTTTTGAAGATTACGTCAATGCCGTGTCAATGGTGCACACGCGATGTCGTCGTCGCAATTTTTCGCGTCAAGATTTCCGTGATCTCTACGAGACACTCCTGCAAAATGGACTGGCATTCAAAGCGGTGCAATTCTATCCCAATACCACGCACGAACAACGACCGGCGCGAGAAGCCGAGACACGAGCGTATTACGCCCATCACTATCCGCATGTCACGTATCAAGGATTTCGAGGATTCAATAATTTGGATGGATCCGGGGGACTGCAAGTGCGAGACAATCAGAGTTGGTACTTTCCCGTTCATTACCAAGAACCCGTGGCCGGCAATGAAGCTGCCATTGATTTGGACTATCATTCCAGTGAAGTCCGAATGCGTGCCGTCAATGCCGTATTTGACGAACAAGCGCCGTCGCTCAGTGATCGATTGTCGTTGGTACGAACGGCCGGAACTGTCAGTCGATGTGGCAATCACAATGGACCGTCGTATGGAGTCGTATTGGCACATCCCGGAGTCAATGTGTCGCGGCCTTTTGGACACCGACCCAGTAGTCCACTCAATGGAGATGTATTCTACAATGCCACTACCAATGAAACCATTGTCGAAGGAGCCGTCGATGATGGATTCGTCGATGATGTCTGGCCCAGAGATTTGTCTGCCATGGTCCTCTGTATTCCCGATCTCATTTCCAGAAGTTCCTACGAACTACAAGATCAGAGTTCCGCCGTTTACATTCACGATCTCAATCATCCCAATGCACAAGAACCCGTCTTTATGGGAGGCGCCATTATTCAAACGGGCCATAACATTTCCTTTCTCGAAGAAGTTCCCATTCAAGATCTAAAAGCCCCACGCTCCAAGCTCTTGTTTGCGTCCGATATCAACGCCGCCAATCGCGTCTGGACCATTACCGTCGTCGCACTCGACGGCACGTACGAACCCAATGTCGTCTTTGTCATTCTCGGGGGAGTCATTATATTCATGTCGACCATGCTATTGGCGGCATGGATCTACACCAATTCCCGCCGTCTCGCGAAATGGAATGAAATGACGGCCAAAGCCCAAGCCGAAAAGGCGGCACTCATTTTGCAAAGTGCCCACTCGCAAGCCAAGACGGAACGCGAACTCAATGACTTTTTGGCACACGAAGTACGAAATCCTGTGGCGGCCGCCATGGCCGCGTGTAACTTTGTCTCGGTGGAGGTTAACAAACCGAATCCACTCCAAAATGATGCCAGTCGGGAATTGGCGCGGGATGATTTGAAAATTATTGATAATGCCCTTCATTTTGTCAATGATTTGCTCCGGAACATGTTGGATATGCACCGGGCGGCTAGTAAACAGTTGGTGGTGACCATGGTGGCGACGGATTTGTTGCATCATGTCATGGAACCCGTGGCCGGCATGTTGCATCGGCGGGGGAGTAAAATCAAATTGCAAATGGAATGTCCTCCCAATCTGATTGTACTGACCGATCCACTGCGACTCAAGCAAGTCATTCTCAATCTGGGACGCAACAGTTCCAAATTCATCGATGTCGGTTTCATTCGACTCAAGGCATTCCTCGTCAATGGCATGGCCCGAATTCATGTGGATGATTCTGGATGTGGCATTCCCAAGGACAAACAACGCAAATTGTTCGATAAGTATCAAGAATCCCTCGATAATTTGAGTCAAGGAACGGGGATTGGACTCTACTTGTGTTTGAATTTGGTCGAACTCATGGGTGGAACCATTCAACTCGATCCCGATTATGACAGTGGCGTGCCGGGGCATCCCGGATCGCGCTTTGTCATTGACTTGAAACAAACCGTCATTGAACAGCCACTGTTCCTCGATCACAGTGACTTTCAAAACAATCTAGATCATCATCGGCCATCGAACGGAACGAATCGCGATGATGTATCCTTGCCATCGACGCTCTACGAACTGCCCGAAAAAATGTCGGTTCTCTTTGTCGACGACGATGCCATTCTCCGCAAGCTATTCATGAGGACCATTGCTACGGTGGTCCCCGAGTGGACTGTTCGAGAAGCGGCCAATGGGGAAACGGCGTTGCGGCTGACGGAAGAAAATCACTACGACTTGATCTTTTGTGACATGTACATGGCCAGTGCCGAAAAACAGTTGTTGGGAACCGAAGCGGTGGCGGAACTCCGGAATCGTGGGGTCCAGAGCAAAATATGCGGATTGAGTGCCAATGACAAGGAAGCCGAGTTCTTGGCGGCGGGGGCGGATGCGTTCATGTTCAAACCATTTCCCTGCAAACACGACGAGATTAACGAGGCTCTCTGTCGCGTACTCTTTGACGACCGTAACCTCAAACCGGATATGGAGGGTATGGCCATTTTTGACTCTTAGGAGACTGCATAATTACAAGGCTCGTGATGTACTTTTTTGACAAGCAGGACCAGGGCGTGGTCATGAACGAAGCGAACGCTTACAAGAAGAGTGGTATAGCGGGATGGGTTGCAACTCAAGAGTCTTGGCAGTCATTGGTGCTCCCCGGCGGAAGGACGTGGGTGCACTAGTTGATTCTTTTGACCTCCTTTTGCCAAATGGGTAGGTCGAAAGGCATATTCGAGCAGGTCTGGGTTTGGTAGTCTCGGGAAGCGCCGTTTCAAGCCAGAGCAAGGCGCTGCTGTTGCCTGCTGGAAGCCAGCTATTCTTTGCGAATCGAATCGAATCCCCACGCAACGCGATAGTCTCAGGACGATTGCTGTTGGCCGGAACATTATTGCCACCGATGCATATCTTTACATCTTGATCGTGTGACCGAACCGTTGCCGTTCGAGGTAGGTGCCGGTTTTACGACAACGTGTATCATTCGAGCTATCTATTAGAGGACTACAGTATTAGACATGTCCCCACTAGCTAGGTCGACATGGGTAAAAGGTTAGACAGTAGTTGTACGAAATTTGTAGAGGCGACGTGCACAACCATGACTTGGAGAAACAAGGAGCTCGCTCCACATCCAGGCATCCAACGAATTTGAGCGGATCCACTGATCGAAGACGAGCCGCCGGGAAAATGTAGGAAGAGCTCTGCCGTAATAGCTGCTATCGTACGGTACGCTGTAGCTCAAGGCTTCACTCGGGAGCGTAGCATCCAAGAGAATGACCCGAAGAGACAGGGGAAAGTTGAGACAGACGTTGCTGCTGCCTGGCCTTCATTTCCCTTATGATCTACCGTACTCTGATCCAGCCAGCAATGGCTTCTGGGATGCTGATCAATCTCTTGGCCCTCATTTCCTCTTCGATCCATGAGAGAGAACCTGGAAGCCAGTGCTGGAGGCCAGTTTCACGCGGAGTTAGCACACTCACTGCTTGGGGTCTGTGCGGTACCGGTACCGGTGGTGCTTTCAAGCGCGAATTGTCCACTCGTGAGTGGAAGCATGGTTACCTGGAAAATCCGAAAAAAGATCGCAGAGCTTGTTGATAAAATATCCTACGACGGTGTACGCATCCTCGGTAAAGTTACTCCAAATTACCCTATGACATAAGTGCCCAGTCCCTGAAAGGAACAGAAATCACATAAAGAAGCGTATACCTGGTACCGGTACGACTACAGTCTACTGTACAGTCGTACCAGTTACCGTACCAGACCTATGGTTAAATGTACACGTACAGTACTGGTACCGCCACTACACTGTGTAGTATCCATGTTTCAAGTCTGTCCGCATCCAGGACCCTCATCCTCTGCTCTGACAATAGTTTAGCAGCTCAACTGTTTTGGGATCGATTGTTTCTTCTGCACGGCCAACCGCTGTCTACATAACATACATGTAGTAGTTCGACAACCTTAGTGGTTCTCGAAATAGAAAAAAGGGGGCTTAGAGTACCGGTAGGGAAGTTATCTACAGAAGTCGGCGAGGGGCCAGGCTTAGGCAGAGAAGAGGCCGAATTCAGGACTAGGTTCCAAGGGATCGGGGGGACAAATTGGGGACCAACACAAATTGCTCGATTGCTCCTCTTTAAAAAAAAGTATTTGTACCCGGAAGTCTATCTTTTATGAATAAATAAGTTTTGCTTTCTAGCTAGGTCATATCCCTTCGTTCCTGCAGATTCCAATAGCTGGAGAGAGTGGTGTGGGTCCATTCGTAGACAACCATACTACTGCCATTGGCAACACTGGATCGTATCAGACCCGGAATGATCCCTCGAAAAAGTCGTCCAGACCGCAGATTGTCTCGTAATAGACTGAGCGTGGATTTCTCATAGTTTCCGGATTGTCGCTGTGTCTTGATGACATCGGCCGGCCATACAGTGAGCCACGCCATGTTGGCGCAAATGGCTCCCTTGGCAAAGGGTGTGAGACCGGTTTGCTCTGAGTTCATGAGTACCGTGGGGACATATCCAGCCTGACAAGCTTGTTTGGAAAGGTCAATGTTGACCATAAAGGCTGTGTAGAGTACCGTGTTCCGTGCCAAGGTGATTCCCGTGCCATCCATGAGATGTGTCCAGGTCCAACTCTTTTCCACTTGCCGTCGTGTCTTTAAGAAGTCCGTGGGAATCTCCACCAGTCCCCGACCGAGTCCCCCGGCAATTCCAGCGGCAATAACTTGCCAATCCAACAGTCCAAACAATTGAAATTGTGGCAAATGTTGGTGATGACTGTCGAGCCAATGCTTGGTCTGGCCGCTGACGCCAAATTGTGCGGATCGCATCAGACTCCCACCAATAAAGAGAGGCAATCCTCCACGATAGAGACCGACCAGTCCTTCGCGACGAAACAATTCCATAGCGACACGAACCGATCCTTCCTTGGCGCCGATTGTTGGCATGCCTTGCATTCGCACTTTGATGGTATCCAACGGTTGTCCCACAACTACAGTCGTCAACCCGTAGGAAGCACCCGCGGCAAACGTCACCAAATATTCTGCCATGGCTTTTTACTTTGTCTCTCTCTTTTTGATCTGGCTTGTTAGCAAAAAAGTTGATGGCTGTATTTGTCGTTGTCTTTGGTTTCTTGTCTTCTTGTTCTTGTGAGGGAGTGAGGACATTAGTCTAGCTAGACGCAATGCAGTTCCGGATATTGTTCTCGCTGTGATGCCTGTGTGGTCTTGCTTCCCGATTGAATCAGAGTTCTTATTCCCGATTCCCAAACCGAGCTACTCCTGAGCGCAAATGCGGACAGTCCTCATTTACTACTTAGTTTTAAGAAACCAGGCAACCTAACATCAGCTAGTAGCGTGAAGATCAGTCAGGAGTTACAGCTTGACATTAATTTATATAAGACACATTGTAACATTTATACCCTTAGATTTAGAAAGATTTGGTGCAAAAATGAGCACTGCCCAATATGACACTAACAACTACACTATCTCAACAAAGTAAGACAATGTCATTCAAAACAACATCAGTGCTGACAAATAACATTCAACAACCAGGTCAATTGGTTGGATATTGACTGAGATCTGTAACCAGAAGTTGGTGCACCTTCGGATAGCACCAGTGCCGCGCGGTCCATACAGTGTCGGGGCGAAGGGAGCAGTCAACGGCAGGTGCCTCCCAGACTACAGTGTACTGGGACCTCCTGGGCCTATCGGTAGCTAGTGAACATCAGACCTTCTCCACGTCCCGTACCAAGACCTTCCCCTCTAGACTAGTCCATCTCCTAGCTGGCTCTGCTCGTGAACCAATGACTCAGTAGACTACCGACTCCACATACCATTAGAAGTTTCAGGATCCACTCCAGGGCCAGTTACACTGTACCATCTCCTCAAGCTACACTAGTCTACTAGCTAACTAGTAGGCCAACTCTTGCAGTGTCGCCCCCTCTCCACGAACTCCAAGGACGAGGGACTGAACAGGACCAAAGTCAGCAGCGCTACCGTCTTATCCTAAAATCTCCAGTTATTGAAATGCGGGATTTACCTTCTTCAACTTGGGCGTTATAAGGCTGTGCGTCATTCTTGCACGGCAATTGGCAAAATATTAATCAATCACACTTTTGGTTCTTTGCGTAATAATGATTTACTCAAGTGGCCAAAATTTATTTATTGATTGCCATTGATTTAACCATTGATAAAAATGCAAAGACTTCTTATATTGAACTATGGTGCGGAAGTAGATTCTTGGCTTCTTAGCAGTCATCTTCAGCTAGCGATATATCAGCACTCGTGCTTTTTACCAATGTTACAGGCTTAAGAAGTCTAGATTCATTTAACGCCGGTCACTGGTACTTTGTTGACGACACTCTATATTTAAACGTCACTTGCCTCACGCAGGGCTTTTCCCACAAACGCGATGCCTGCATTTACAGTACGACTGTACCGCTGATCGTTGTCAGTTGTCACAGTGCTCTTTGTTGGGTGCAGAGAGTTCCGAGGATTCTCATTTTCATAAAACTGGCAACCGCCGAGACTACGAGTAAGGCCAGTTGCAGCCAACCGAGGATGAACGCTGATCCCTTACAAATATCAACAACAATGATGATGGAGGACGAAGGAGCCAAGAGCAAGGGGTCTCCACCGCTTGGAAAGGATTCAGAGGGATTGATGGAGAAAGGGGAATCTTCGGCGGCAGCTCTGGCCAAGAGTTTGGCTGGAGTGGCTGCCAGTGCCAAATTACAAGGGAAGGAAGCCGCAGCAGCTGCAATTGGTGGCGCTGCCATGGGACACATCAAGAGACCGGGTAGTGTCAAGCGATCGAGTACAGCTGATGCGAGCCGCGTGTCATCGTTCATGGGCAAGGAAGATCCTCCCTTGTCTTCTGCCATGGTTCAGAGTCAACTTCGAAGATCCCAAATGCTCAAGGCCAAGAGTGCCAGAGGTCTCTTGTCCAGTGCCAGCGACCATGTCCCCACCACACCCAAAAAAATGACCCCCGACAAGCATTTGGATGAAGATTCTCCCTCCAAGAAGTCCGCCCGACGGGAACAAGTGATGCAAGACGATAGTACGCTCGTCGGAGCTACCAATTTTATTCTGGCCGCTACCGCAAACCACACCCGGCGTGCTTCTGCCAGTGGTAGTGATAACAACAAGAAAGAGAACAATAGTTCTGCAGTGGCCCAGTCTCCACTCCCGGAGCGTCGAAGACGCAGCGACATGATGCGAAAATCCAAAAGTGCCCGGGGTCTCTTGTCCAGTTCCAGTGGTCATACACCCAAATCACCGAAGAAATCGCTACTCGACAAGCATTTGGATGGAGATTCACCCACCAAGAAGGCCTCCCGACGTGAACACGTGATGCAAGACGATAGTACGCTCGTCGGAGCTACCAATTTTATGCTGGCCGCTACCTCAAACAAAACGCGACTTGCTGGCGATGACAAGGAGGGCGAAGAAAAGGAGGACTCCAAGGAACTAGAAGAAGAAGCAGAAAATGCCGTTGCCCGTTCTCTGAACAACCGACGCCGACACAGCGAACATTTAATGCGAAAATCCAAGAGTGCCCGGGGATTATTTGCTCCGGCGAATTCCACACAGGAAGACCAGGATAAGCTCATGCGAAAAATCAAGAGCGTCCGACAAATTGTTCCTGCCGATCAAAAAGACTCTCTCAGCAAGGCACGAAGCAGCCACGGAACTCGACGACTCTCCGATGGTGCCGGAGCCAAGACGGACCAGCTCCGACGAAGGAGCAGTCATCGAAAACTCGTGGTGAACGACGACGACATTGACGGGGATGGGGAACAAGCCGAGGGCACTACCACAAATAATCATCAGCCAAGCAGGGATATGCTCAAACGGAGAGGCAGCCGTAGAAGGATGAAAATCGACGTCGACGACATTGACGATGAGGGTGACACAGAAGGAAATGTTCCCGAAAGCCCAATGAATCGCAGAACCAGTACAAATCAGCCAAACAGGGACATGCTCAAACGGAGAGGCAGCCGTAGAAGGATGCAAATCGATGACGACGACATTGACGATGAGGGTGACACAGAAGGAAATGTTCCCGAAAGCCCAATGAATCGTAGAACCACTCGAATCAGACGTTCGTTGAGCGGCGACCCAAATGTTAACGTTGACGACAACGAGGAGGGAACAGATGCGAAGAGCCCCATGAATCGTAGAACTACTCGAATCAGACGCTCGTTGAGTGGCGACCCAAATGCCAACGTTGACGACAACGAGGAGGGAACAGATGCTAAAAGCCCAATGCAGCGTCGAAGCAGTCACGTTAGACGCTCGATGAGCGGAGACGGCAGAATTCAGAGGGATCCATTGAAACGACGCAGCAGTCACCGACGATTGGGAGCCCCTGGTGATCATTCTGCTCATTCCAGAGAACAAGTTCTCAGCACGAGCAGACATCGCCATGGTGACCATACCAAACTAAGGAACATGCGTCGCAGCAAGACAATGGATGAAGCCACGCAGCAAGAGTTGAAAAATCGGGGGGAAGACAAAGCAAGCGCCCCAAGCACACCAACGGGTACGAGGGCGGCGCGAAAACGCCGTCCTTCTCGTATGAAGAGTCAACCCGAGGCAGGGATGCGTTCTACGGCAGCGGCGATTGCTATGCAACAGCACGATGAAGACGACACTGGCGAACAGAACAACAAGATGAACCGACGCAAGTCAAGAAGTTCCTTCGTCGTCCGCAGGGACGTGGCAAACTCACAGATTCAAAGGGCGTTGCAGCTTCAAGAAGCCAGAGTCAATGCTCTTCCCGAGGACTTCTCGGAATCTGAGGTGGAATCTGAACCCGACGTCGAAGAATTCGAAGAAGACGTAAGCCAAGAAGGAGCAGCAGAAAATGAGCGCAACCCAAGTTTTACCATGCTTCCTTTGCCATCGATGCAAATGCCTACCATGCAAATGCCAACGATGCAGATGCCCACCATGCAGATGCCTACAATGCAAATGCCTACCATGCAGATGCCCACTATGCAAATGCCCACTATGCAGATGCCTACAATGCAAATGCCAGCCATGCAAATGACTACCATTGCAAATCTTCAGATGAATCTGCCACGCTTCAATTTTGCTAACGCCAATGGCGAAGAGGCGCATGGGGCTGATGCAGTTGGCCCCCAGGTGCCACCGACAAACCCAAACCTTGGTCGAGTCGAGCAGATATTGAAGGAAAGGAGAAGTAGCGACACTGTCAGTAAGAAAGATAACAACACAACACCGACAAGCAGCGGCACGCTTGGAACTGTGGATACATCCTCTTCGGAGCAACCAGATGGAAGCTTGAACGATGGGAGTTATAGTAACAACGACGTGTCGAACAACGGTGTCGTTGACCAATCTCTCAACTCGCATAGTGGCATTGACGAATCTATTTCGGCATCTCGGGGCGATGCGACGGGTCCCTCTTCAGCGAGGCAATCTACCACAGACGCTAACCGCCAGCGGCGTCGTCGAGTTGCTTCGAGGAGGAACCCGGGCCATGGAAATGCGTCCTCCTCCAGGAGGCTCTCTAGCAGTAGAAGGGTTAGTACAGCGGATGGGGTGGCTGGAGACTTACCCCATCTGGTACAGTAGATTCAATCGAGCCCTCACAATATACCAGTAGCCATTCTCATATTGTTGGGAAGATAAAAAGTTAGATTTTAAAAAGATACCCGTGCGAAACGCACCAATTGGTCGTTCCAGTTTTCTCCCACCGCACGGAATACATACATTTAGTCATGAAAACTTGGACTGTAGCGAGCTCAATGGCATGCATAGTAGCATCGTGTAGTGCGGAGGCTTCATAAGGAGAACTTTGGAAGCACAGACGTACGGTAGGACCCCAGTAACGTACCATTGATGTGACTTGGATTGATTGGATTTTGATGGCCCAAGCACGATGAGTCGGATTAGCAAAGGAGCTCAAGGGAAGTGGGGAGAGTTCCTACCCGAATAACAACAGCTGCTTGGGAAGGGCAGGTCGCCGTTGACACTCAATCCGGTCAGAGTTCTTCAGATTCCCGCGCGCGGGTGAGTCAAGGCGAGTCCTTCCTGTGAGTTCCTTTGCCCGAGCAAAGCGCTTGAGCAATGCGCCCGAGCCCATATCGGATCGGGGATGGGGGATGGGACCATCCGTCCCCCTCCAGCTCATAAAATCGAACCAGAAGATAAAAACATCTAAATACATACATCATCACAATGAACCTTCGAAAGCTAAACTTTCTCAAGAAGATGACCACTGCGAAGAAGAACACCAAGAAGAACACCAAGACGACCACCACGAAGATGACCACAACAACAAAAGCATCGAGCCCCCGTGACTTCATCGAGGCAGAAAACAACTCCCAGCAAGTTGTGATTTGGAGCAAGTAAGTTGGGCCTCGCTCTGCGTGTGGTGGATTTGGATCCTTGGGTGGTATATCGAGGGAGAACTCGAGCGACAGCCTGTTCTAACGTCACTCTTGTCTTTCTTGCTGTCTAGGTCCTACTGCCCATACTGCAAAGCAACGAAGCAGTTGTTCAACTCAATGAAAGGAGTCGAGGTCGTTGTTCACGAACTGGACAATATGAAGGACGGCGCCATGATTCAGCAAGAGCTTCTGCACTTGACTGGTCAACGAAGTGTTCCCAACGTATTTGTCCAAGGTCGCCATGTTGGGGGAAATGATGATACACAAGCAGCACACCAGAACGGGAGGCTTCAGGATCTGCTCCTCATGGAGTACACCCCTGCAAAGCTTGCAGCAATGTGAAAATGAGAGTTTGATAACTGTGCCACAAATTGAGTTGTCTAGAAACCAAGACCGGTAAATCAACAACTAGTAAAGTAAAAGCATTTGTTAGCTTTTTCCTCCACTACCTGGTACCTAGAACCTAGAGTTTTGGCGTTCTGGAATACTGACCACAAACACTTGTCCTTCTGGAAGAGGACCGAATGGTGCGGCTATCTCGTGCCCCTTGGGAACTCGTTTCCTGGACGTTCCTGGCTCGGCTCCATCTTTGCTCTGCCTGAAAGGGTTAGAAGTATGCATACATGTCAGTATGTGTGACCGAAAAGGGAACTTGGATCAAAGTCATCAGTATGATAGTTGTTTTGAATAGGACTCAAATAAATGCTGTACGCTGTAAGTACTACTGTACATAAGAGTTTCATTGAACAAATAAATCCGAAGGGTACAAACGCTCATATCTTTTACAGACGAATTCGCTAGTGCTTTGTCACGACTGAACGTCATTCGACCACCCCAAGGAAGTCGAGTACCGGTACCGCGCTGATGAACTGGTACATGTACCACTCTCGAGCTCTCGAGTGCGTGCTTGGGCGTGCCAGTTCGCATCTCGCACGTACGGAATGCTACAATGACCTGTCGATATTGTCTAAATTATTGCCCGCGACTTCAGGTCACACATTCTTACCTACTTGGCCAAGCCATTCTCACAAGTCTCAAAATTTTGCTTGCTTGACCACCGTAACATTCATCCTCGCTATTGACGTTAATAGAGTGGAGAAGAGAACTTTGAAACATCACAAGACCATTGTTGCAGTGGCAGGATTACATACACAGTGGAACGACTGCTTGGAAGCAAGATCTTTTGAAGCCTGTGCATTCTGGTTGTCCCCTGACCCAAAGCTCATTTTAACAGGATCGATTCGATTCAAAGACAAGACATCACACAACCTAAGCCCATCGTTTTTTTGGAGACAGAAGATCGAGATAACCATGACATCCACGTTGAAAGCTTCCAAGCAAGAAGAGACAGGAGGTAAGTCTGTGTAGAGAAGAAGCCGGAAAACAAGGAGAGCAATGGTTGTTGGCTGACAGACCTTCTGTTCTGTGTTGTGCTCTTTACTAGTCTCTGAAGGCAGCGAACGTTCCCTACCAACCGAGTCCAGTGGCGGCTACACTCCTCCTCCTCGCCGTCCTGGCAACAATGCACGTCCCTCCAGTTTCTCGGCCAAATGGACGGCTGCCATTAGTGGAATTGAAAGTCGCATCACGGCAGGATTGCGTGTCATCAGTCGTCACGCCGCCAGTCATCCACGCAAATACGTTGTGGGCATTCTCGTGCTCAGTCTCGGGCTGGTCGCCACAGGAATCTTTACCAATTTCAATGTCGATACCAACGACGATACTCTCTGGACTCCTGCTGGATCAAAACCAATTGTTCATTCCGAATGGATAGCCGAAACACTCCCACCGACTCCCAGACCCTTTTTGATCATGGTACATTCCAAGGGAGACAATGCCGTCACACACGAGGGAGCCATCCGCACCTTTCAAGCATTGGATGCCATTCGAGAATTGGACAACTATCACACAGTTTGTGCCACTAATACCAGTTATGTCAATCATCAGGGCAATCACACCTGCAACATTGAAGGGATTACCAGTTTTTGGAATGACACCACAGGCATCTTTGAAGCATCCGTACAATCGACGGACGATCTCTTGCAAACAGTCTCGGCATCGCATTATCCCGATGGTAGACCCGTCGATCTTCCCGCCATTATCGGATACGCCACCTTAGACGACACAGGTATGGTGACGGCCGGACAATCCTTTGTCGTCATTATCGAATTCCCCTTTACAAAAGACGCGGAAGCCTTTGAAGAACATGCCATTAATCGTATCTTGGATCTGCAAGACGAATGGGACAGTCAATCCAACAACAATAACTATCATGTCGAGATCCTTGCCGAACGATCCTTTGATGATGAATTTGCACGCGCCATTGTCGGGGACATTCCCCTGGTCCCTCTGGTGTTCACAGTCATGAGCATTTTCACCTGTCTCATTTTTGCCAAACGCGACCCCGTACAATCACGAGCTTTGATGGGATTTGGTGCCGTCGTTGCCGTTCTCTTGGCCATTATGAGTGGCTACGGATTGCTATTTATCATTGGTGTCCCGTTCACATCCATGACCCAAATTTTGCCATTCATCATGTTTGGAATTGGACTCGATGATGCCTTTATCATTACCGGAGAGTATGCCCGGACTGATCCCAAAAAGGATCCCGTGGAACGCATTGATGAAACCATTCAAGCCGTGGGTTTGTCCATTGCTTTGACCACCATTACTTCGGTATTGGCGTTTGGATTGGGAGCCATGTCCTCGGTCCCTGCCGTCTTTTGGTTGTGTTACTATGCATTTCCTACATTGGCCATCAACTTTCTCTATCAAGTTACCTTTTTTGTTGCCATTATTGTCATTGACGAAAAACGCGTTCAAGACAGGCGACGGGATTGCTGTGTTTGCTTCTCCGGACCAAAGGTGGAAGAGAATGACGACAGCCAGGAACCCAATGATACCCCTCTTGAAATGCCCATGGCCGACCGTGTCATGCTCAAGTATGCCGACATTTTGCTCCGTCCTTGGATGAAAGTACTAGTGCTGATTGGGTTTGCCGCCATGTTGGGTGGATTCGCCTACAGCACGACTCTCTTGGAGCAAGAGTTCAATTTTGTCGATGTCCTTCCCAGTGACTCTTACATTACTGAATTCTTTGATGCGTTTGGCGAATTGTACGATCGTGGGTCTACTTTCCCACAAGCCCATTTCCGATTCGTCGATCAGTCCGACCCTGCCATTCAAGATCAGATGGAGACTTATGTCAATGAGCTCGTTGCCATTGATTCCGTGGAATATCAACCCACGTTCTTTTGGTTGCGAGATTTCAAAAAGTTTCTAGATTCGAACCAGAACACCACTGCAGACCTTGCCTTCAACCAACAACTGGATGCCTTTATGGAACAACCGGGCGTGGCGGATTTGTACGGTAGTGATATCTTTCGAGATGCCGATGGAAACGTGGAATCCTCACGGGTCACCTTTTACATTACCAACGTCGACATTGAATCGGTCACGGATCAGGTCAGTGTATTGGAAGACCTCGATGCCGTCACGGAAAGCCAGCCTGTGAACCAGGGCAAGGAGGATTTTGCATTCTTCAACTACGGGAGCATCTACAACATTTGGGAGTAAGTGTTGGTATTAGCTATCGTGGCTCAGTGTCTTGCTGCTTGATTATGCTGTACGTGTCTTCTAACCTTCTTCCCCCTCTCTCTTCCAGATTCTACAGGGTTGCAGTTGACGAGCTCATCCTTACCACCATCACTGGAGTTGTCGCTGTGACTGGCGTTGCCTTGGTTTTGGTCCCCCACTGGAGTGCTGCCCTCTTTGTCCTCCCCTTAATCTCCATTCTCTACATTGACATGTTGGGCTTCCTCCAGTTGGCTGGGGCACATGTCAACGCTGTGAGCTACATTTCCTTGGTGATGAGTATTGGACTCCTGGTCGATTTTGTCGTTCACGTGCTGTTGCGATTCTACGAGTGCGAAGGTACTCGGGATGAAAAGGTTCGAGAAACGCTTCGGACCATGGGTTCCAGCATTATGATTGGTGCCGTCTCCACCTTTCTAGGAGTGATTCCGTTGGCTTTTAGCACCAGTGAGATCTTTGGCACCATTTTCAATGCCTTTGTGGGATTGGTGGTGCTGGGATCTCTGCACGGTCTGGTGCTGCTTCCTGTGGTGCTGTCGCTCATTGGACCCGAAGAATGCATACGACCGGCCAAGACCGAACCAAAACAGGTGGTTGAGGACGATGAGAAGCCGGTCAAGGAAGAGCCCAGCAGGAACAGCAGTATGGCTTGGGATAGCAGCGCGTTGCTGGCCACTGCCACGAACGAAATCGAAGTGTGAAGGCTATACGGTATACTGCACCCACATTTACATTTTCGGTGGGTGCAAGTCAACGCAAAGTTGCCGTTGTATGGTACATGTTTGTTTTTTAGTTGCTAGAATCAATGATATAGATTGAAGTTTTTGTATACTTCCTTCTCTTTCAGTACGAGTACCCAGCCCCCACGCACTCCCTGCTGACGATCTCGTGGACAGCCGTCGCCGCGCCCGTATTCCAAAGCTCTTCTCCTGGAAACACATTTATAAGTATTATCTTCTCCCGGGAACACACACACAGAAGTTCGGTCGTTGCTGGCCCCACGCTGAGGCAAACATGGCCACACTCATGGGCCAAGAGCTAAGCTAAACCCACTCCAGGCAGGCCCCCAATCAGGCAGTCCTCATAACTCACTCTAGGCTGATGTCGTGGCCAGCTACTTGGTTCCACTCAGGCCCAAGCCCGACTCCAAGTCATATTCCAACTCCTGGACAGGCATCTACCAAGCCCTAATCTAGCTAGGCCCCAACCCCGGATCCACTCCAGGCAGGCCCACCATTGCTGGCAAGGTCCACGGCCTGTCTCAAACTCCAACACTCGTCTTTATTGGCAAGGTCCAAGGGCTGGTTTGTTTGCGACGGTCCCTTGAAAGCCAGGACGAAGATCCCTCTGCTGGATGTACTGGAAGACTTCAGTAGGTGCTGAATGTTTACAGTTTGCCTAGTGGTACCGATACCAGTACCGCTCAATTTCAGAGCCATCAGAGCCCAAAGTCCAAAATGACGTCAGGCGAATCTTTTTTCTCAGATCTTTGGATCCAGGATGCGAACTGGCAAAGATCGAGCAGTTGCCGCGAAACAAATCCTCCTTGGAGACCAACAAACCCAGGCACAAAACGCAGATCCAAGGACTACACAGAGGAGCAAGAATAGCTGGAGCAGTATTCTATTCGTCACATAGTCTTGGTAACCCGATTCTATTCACAGCAAGAATATAAAGAGATTGATTCAGTATGTCAGTCAATGAGAAGGAACTTTTGGAATGTCTTCGATTGTTGGTGATTGAATCGACGCGCAATGATGAAGAGGACGATGGCGGGGAAGACGGCGGTGCCATTGAAGTTGCCATGACGGACGAGTCTCGTCGAGACGATTTGATTCACGATGTGGAACTCAAGTTGACGCAATTTTTGGAAGTGCAGTTTCGTATGGACGATCAGAGCGAGTTCAACGCAACAGGCTACAGCCCTGAGGACAAGATTGTCCTTCCCATTCACCAACCACATGCGTATCCGTGTCCCGACACACACAAGACGTTGCCGTCTCCTCCCTCTCAGTGGCCTCAGCGGTACGTAACGTAGCTTTGTTGGATAGACAGGACCATTTAGAAACAGTTGGAGCAGCCACTCTCATTTATCCTTTTTCTCTTTTTTGTATAGCCCGGTCATGATCCGCCCCACCCCGGGAACATCGACCAAAATTCGTGGCATTCGATTGGCATCGGACCGCGATTATCGTCATTTTGCCGGATTTTGTGCGGGATGCATTTTACCCGTCAATACGGGACGCGAAGCAGCGGGACAATCGCTCGTGGTGGATTTTGAATCCAATCATTTTGTGGGCACGTTCTTGTTGCGCATCAAGGGCGTGCCTCCGGCGGACAAGAATGCTACTCAAGCCAAGAAGTCTAAGAGTTATTTTGACAATCGCAAACGGAAATTCCAGGGCATTGTAAAAGGCAAATTCAAAACGGCATTGCCCATGAGCGAATGTGTCACGGGACAAACGTTTGGACGACAAGCGGGTAAGTTACCGGCCAAATGGGTGGTTTCGACCTTTATCAAATTCGTCTCGACACTGGCCCCGCAACTGGAGACGACACTGGAAGGTGACAATCCACGGTTCTTGGTCCCACTGGCAGCCACGGCACAAACCGTAGCGACCAAACCGCACAAAGCGGCCGTTACACAGCAAGAAGAAGACGTCCAGCAGGCACTCAATGATCATCTCTTCAACTATTCGGTCTACTTGGGAGCCACGGAAGATATCGAACACGATCATCAGGAACCACCCTCCAGTGATGAGACGAGTATTCTACAGGAATTACCCAAAGCTACCACGAGTAGTGGAGGATCCATTACAGCCCGCATGAAGGCGCGCAAAAAAGCCTTCAACAGTATTGCCGCCAAACAAGCCAAAGAACCGTGCTTTTCCCTCGACAAGGAGTACACGTTTGAATTCTACCAACATTTACTCATCTTTGACGAACCAGAATTCACATTGGACATGGGACGACCCATTGGCAAGGTACCATTGTCGCCCATTACGGATGGACAACCCATCAAGTTTCTGTCCGCACACAAGGATCCCGTCTCCGGATTGTTGGACTCGCTCTGGAGTTTTGATGTCTGGCACGAATCCATGTACCCGTTGGCACAAAAAGCGGCCGATCGTGCGGCTGCGAAACGGTAACTAACAACGTTGGTGCATTGGTGCATGGTCGACACAAGACGAGGACGACTTTTTTTGTCCAGACAACCAAAATTGAACCAACTTCCCTACTATGGACCACACCAACTAAAATAGAGGGACTACAGTATGGCAGGGCTTTTGCACAGTTCAAACATCAAGTCTTAGCTAGAGCGGGTTGTCGGTTGATCGATCTCGTTATTGTGTTACCCCTACGGTCAACCATTTTTCTGTATTGGTGCCATGGTTTCGTCCGGGATCTGTTGCTCATCATCACTTTGGGCAGGAGCATGACTTTGGGCAGGTTTTTCAATGCTTCCATCATCAAGAGCAGCTTCTGGTTCCGCATGGCCTGATTCTGGGTTGGCCGGAAACACAACTTCCAGTCCTTGCTCGTCTTCACCAGCCACTGACTCAGCTATGGCTTCCATGTGTGGTGCTGGTGCTGTCTGCTCCCTGTGTGCCATGTAGTCCTCCATCACAGAATTTGAATCTCTTTGGGAAGCCAGAGCAACCGAAGGGTCAACACTTCGCATGCGTTGCCTGGTAACGGTAGGGGCGGCAGCATCACCGTTGGCATTGTTGTCATCTTCCTGGGTGCTGTTCAGATTAAAAGGCAAGGCAAAATAGACAACTGACAGGAACTGAGATGCAATTGTCCGCGGCTGGGGTTGCTGCTGTTGTTGTTGCTGCTGTTGCCGTTGCTGTCGGTGCCGCCGTGCTCTCTTCTTCATTCGCTCATCATAGTAATGTAGTATTTTTGGGCGGGCGTACACCAATGCATTCAGCGCACCTTGGAGAGGGGCTAGGAATGCAATCAACAGTGACACATAAAGAGGACCATCTTCTTCAATGGAAGCAAGGTAGACACCGAACATGGTTGGCCATGTGACATAGAATGCTCCCACATAAAACAAGGCCTGCCAGAACACTGCTTGTTGCATTTTGCTGGATTTTCCAATTCCAAATGACCATTTTCTGGAAGCTCCCGCGCGCGCCCTGACGCTGTTGTAAACGAGTATCATGCATGTCGTGATCGACACAATTGCAATTGACAGTGGAACCACCACATACACGAGACTTGGCCACAGCTTCCCTTCTGTTTTCGAGTGAGGTTTCAGATGACAAACATAGACAATCAGGTCATACTCTGGGATAGCAGCAAATGCAAGTGTAAACCCCACAAGAAGAGGAACCCCATGCAGAAACAGGAGAATCTTCTGTAACTGAAACTCCTTCCACCCACATGCAATTACCAAGTAATAGTAGAAAGCAAGAGACATGGCATAGAAGATGCTTGTAAATCCCAGCTGGATAAAGACTGCATTGGCAGAATCGTCCAACAATGCATGAGTATGTGCTTGTCACGAAGCAAATGGCTTTTCTTAAAAGCAACTTACATCCTTGGGCTGTGCAGGTTGCATCATTTCTTCACAGGCAAAAAGAAGCAGGTTAGCAGGAGGTATTTATGTTTCAGCAAAACCATCTGACTGTTGAGTGCACTGTGGTGTACTTACCCAATTGCACCCTCTATACGATTATCATTGATAGGGGCCGTCGCAAATGCCCATGATATGGCTGTGAGCAATCCAGAAGGCCACAGGGTTAGTTTTCCAGCAAAGCTGCAGTCAGATCTAGAAGGATGCATCACAATGTGCATACCTGTCATCAAATCAAAGCTGCTCATTCCAGCAAGTAATTGGTGATACACAGTCTTTCGAGCTCGCGGATCCGACAAGCTGTCATACAACACATAGATTGCACCACACAGGGAGACGCAAGCTGCAATTCTGGAGACCCAGATGAGGGCTCTCTTTTCTGCTGTTGTCTCAGCACCCAGGTATTTGATGGAGTATGGATCAGTGGGAGGTTCTGGGCAGATTTGCTCTGGACAATGTTTTGCAAGCAGTATCTTCTGCAAGCATCCCCAATATGCATAGTTGTCAGCTTCAGCAAAGTCCTTCCAACGAAGAACAACTGAATTGTATCTTTTGCAGTAATTGGCTGTGTCCTTTGCAGTCACCAGCCCATAGACAACAGGACTGAGGGAAGGGTCCTCCATGAGATCAGACAGGAACTCATCAGGAACAACAATTTCATCTCTCAATCGACAGTAGTTTTCGCTAGATTGGCACAGAGATACGGCATCTTCACCAAGGTCGTGGGGTGCACACCAAAAACATGAAGAAAATGCTCGTCTTGCACCCTCACAAAAAGTGGACCCATTCTTAATTGCATACTTGGATGTTTCCCAGTTTGTAGTGTAGTTGTCATCAGTGTCATGTTCAAATACACTCTGTACCATGTCTCTACATAGCTTTGGATCCAAATCATGTTGTTGGAAAGGGCTTGAGAAACTTGAGGGAGAAACTTCGCATGATATCGGGTCATCCTCACCAAAGCATAGATCATCCAACTTGCACCAAACACAGTGTGGATATGCAAGCCTTGCCTCATCACAAAAAGCAGATTGTCCGGTGATGGCATTTAGAAATGTCAGGTGCTCGGATATATTGAGAATATTGTTGATATTCCATCCTGAGAACACCGAATTTTGAATGTCCTCGCATACATCGTTGACAGTTTTGTTGTGTTCTGGTTCTCCTGCGGTGATGATTGAAGAGAAATTCCTCATTGAGGCATTTGGTTGATTTTGGATGGACAGCAATAATTCGTTGGTCTCATCTTCATCGTACTCCGCATCACAAGTCGGTGGATGTTCCTCTGTGAAACATCCACCCTGGCATCTCCACGGGCAAAGGTGTGATGACAGGAAGACTCTCCAGCAGAAAACTACAGACAGAGGCGACCACGTCATGCCTACGTCAAGCAAATTAGCATGCCCTGGTTCATAGAGGTGGGTCAACATGGCTTCACAGGTGTCATCGATATCAGCTTCGCTTCGAAAGAAGTCTGGATTATCAGAATCGCCTGCCACAATTTCGTCGCGAGTTTTCTGGAAGTATAAGCCACATTGACGGGCAAAAGTCGCATCCTCGCAGAATGACTGATAAGATAATACGCCCATTGCGTCGCCTACACAAAAATTGCAATGCTTGTAGGCTCTCTGAATCAGTCCACAATGGGGATCTCTGGCTGTAACATTGTTGAGATACTTCTCGTGTTTTGTCCGGTCGATGTAGATCTCCCTGCTTTTGAATACATTCAACGCCAAGTGAAGGCATCCTTCCTCAGCTTCTGTCATGTTCCCTGCAATCAACCATTCTGGAACAGATCCACTGCCTGTGCTAAGACTGACACATTCAAAGGCTTGTGGGTTATCATCAAAGCACCCATATTTGACTCGTTGGCTATTTGCAAATTGGATACAAACTTGACCGAAAAGGGCCAGTAAAACTGCCAGCTGTCGTTGTTGGAAGATTCTTGCTTGCATGAGGCGAAGGGAGCTCATGGCTGAAAAAGGACCCCAAAGATACCCCCGGTCCAAAACCAAATTACGCCCGTTCAGCGATCGGTTGATCCGTCGAGCCAAAAGCTGCTCCGATTTCAAAACCCCCAACGATTTGTAATGCCCTCCAGCCTGCCTGTTTCCCGCCAATCGAAGGAGAGTCGATATTGAGTTGAGTTTTCAAAAAAGTCTCCCTTTCAAAATTCTAGTATAGCTGCTAAAGCCTTCAATTCACGTTGTACATCTCGCTTCTTTCAAAGGATTCTGAAGGGCTGACTGCACTCAACTGAAAGAGTACGGCGGGTTCAAGGACTTGTAGAAGGTGTTCGTGCAGGTATTTATAGTTTTCTTTGAGTTGGACTGAGTTCCAAATTGGTAGCGTACTTTTTGCAGTCTCTGGTGGCTGTTGGGGGGGGGTACAACGAATGATGCTTGGAGTATAATACAGGCTAGCTTGAGTACAGAAGAAGCTTTGGTTCCTCTATTGATAATAACTTGCTCTGCTGATTGCTGATCCTGACTTGCGACTTCCAGTCCTTCTTTCGCAAGCATTTTGCATTTTGGAACGTCTGGGAAAGCTGAAATAGACCTAAAAAAGTGAGTCATTGTAATTAGTCTATTGATAACTATTATATTGCGAAAATGACTTCCCTCAAGATTGAATTTTCCGGATGTCCCAGCTCCACACTGCCAGCTACCGGTACGGTGGGCTGGTTGGTTCGGAAAAGTCGTCCGGGCGGACCGGGCCATTGAGAGGTTGGCGCCTACCAAAACAACAAATTGAAGGGATTCGGCTGTTAAATCCAAGGCTCTAATTTAAAAGCAGTGTGATTTAAGTCGGAGAATGCAATTTAAGTCGACGCTCTGAAATTACATAGCGACACTGAAATTGCACTAAGCCCCGTGTTAATAAGCGTGATAAGTGCTGAAATTACATAGCGCGACTGAAATTGCACTCTCTAAGTGACATTTCAGCTTGATATTGAGATTTAAGCTCACGAGAATTCAAAAGACTAAATCCGAGAGTTGTTAAACAAACAATTTGCTCTTTCGGTGAACGCCGTTCGCCTCCGCCACAGCTCGCCACCCGGCCCAGAAGCCTCTCTCAAAAAGCCACGCAATACAAAGCGCAGATCTCGAGGGATCATGCAAAGATTAGTGTCCCACTGTACCGGTACCGTACGAGTACAACCGGAAGCGCTATAGGCACAAAAAGATTCCCTCGAGCTGAGAGTACAAGCTTTATCAATCACTATCTATCAAGCCCCCTATAATGCTTCGTTGTCCCTCCTGGATTGTTCCACCCCATTGACAGTCTCCTCGGCCTGCAAACTCTGTTCCTTGAGTGCCATCTTTTCCGCCTTGGTCTTATAGTTGCCACCGTCAGTATGCCCCGTAAAGAAATACCCCGAATGATCATCCAATAGGTAACAACCAAACCGCGAGTGCCCTTCTCGCAGCCCCAGCTTTTCCAACGTGCGTGTCAACACTGGACTGAGCTTGTCTTCCACAAATCCACCCTTTTTGACCATTTTGTAGATTGGATCAAAGACAAAGTCTCGATAATGCGCCGTTTCGGCAATATGTACGTTGTCATACCAGAACAGAGTCTAGTAGTGGTTGGCAAAAGACAAAAGACAGAGCCCATGCATAGAGGAGAGAAAGGGTGAGACTGGTTTGTTTCCGGGGATCTTTTTCCTGATTCGACAGATGCATATCGAAACATACCGGTGTCAGGGTCAACTGATGCTTGCCGGGTTCCAGTTCGTGGGCGTGTTCTTGTAACCACGCATGTTGTCCCTGATACGTTTTGCTCATGAGATAGTTTTTTCGGAGTCCCTGATAACTTTCTCGTACTTTGGGTGTATTGTACGTAATGTTTTCAGTCGAATGACTGTCCGGACCGTACAAGGAAGCATCCAAACACAGTTGTGGCAATCGAAGAATCATATCGTCAAAGTCGGCATGATACGTCTTGCCATATTTGCCAATAAAGTAGTCCTTGTACATCAAGTTACTCCTCATACTCATGGTCACGTATTTGATGTGACGATGATGCCACATGGCCCGCATCGTTTCGATAATGGGAGTGGGACGCATAATGGTCCGATCGTGTTGAATGACGCACACGTAAGGTGTTGTAATGCACTCGCGCAATGTATGACCCAGAGCAAATCCGTATCCGTGTCGTGTGGGCAATTCTTCAATGTCGGTATTCCAAAAGGGTGAATCGGGTCCGGCCGTGGTACAGAGATGACGCAGTGCCTGTTTGTATTGTTGGTATCGGTCGGTCTGTTCGACGTTGCAAATCCCATTGCGCATGGCTTGTTTGGGATTGGTGTGTTTGCGACTGACGACTTCTTCCCCATTGTCTTGGGTGCGCACTCCATCACAGACAATCACCTTGCGACAGTGGTAGGCAAACTCCGTACCTCCCTGGCTGAAACAGGCAAATGTTTTTTCAATCACGTCCGTCGATGGATTGGAGGGAATAGGAGAGGTGGTGACAATAATGGTGAGAATATCTTGTAATGGAGGCATGGGACTGTCGATTGGTGGTTGTACTCCTCCCATGTATCCAAAGGCATCGTAATCAATGCCATCCGAAGAGTCTTTTCGAGACATGGATGGCATGTTATTAGCAAAAGATGATGATTCGGAAGTAGTATTGTCGTCGGGCAATGTGTACAATTTGAGAATGATAAAAGTAGTAGTAGTGTCTTGATTCTTGTTGTTGTCTGCTGGAGGTGGAATGGCCGAAACTCGTGATCTCCAATTCCAGAGGCAGTCGTCTTGCTTGACGAGTAACGTGTTGGCATCCAGTCGTACATCGGTCCAATGCTGTGTGGATTCCAAGTCAAAGCAGGTCGGATGTCGTCGTTTGGGTTTGTTCAAATGTTGGACCGCGGATCCTCCGAGTGGAATTTGAGCTACAAAACAAGAAGTGGATTCTGGTTGGACAAGTGTCTCAAAACTAGTCAAGACGGAATTGTAGCCATTGGATCCGTACTGAGTGACTTTGAGAGTATGTAGACTGTTGTGTTCTTCCACGCATACGTGCTGTGGAAAGTGTCCCGTGGATTGGCCAACTCGGTCAATGAGCAACTGTAGATTGTGTGGAATAGGAGTACTACTAGTAGTAGTGCTGCCGCAATCATTGTCTTTCGTTTCTTCTTTTGGTACCATAAAGCGTTTGACCTTACGTCGCTGTTCAAAGCCTTCCCAACTAAACTCATAGCATTGAATCTCTCGGTACAAATTGGAAGCTTCTTCTTGGGACAGAAAATCTTTGCAGACCGTCAAACCACTGGGGAGTGGTACTTGGTCATTGGAGACATCCATCATCTGAAAATCTTCCTGACCATCCTCACTAGGGTCACCAGGATTGGCTCCGGTAAGTTTGGGCACTTGGAGTGTCTTCCATTGAAAATCGTCGTCTTTGGCCCAGAACTTTTTGCTGCCCGAAGGAGCCATCCTTGAATGAACCCAGACAAGAAACCAGAGAGAAACAGAACCCTGTACTCCTCTTCCAACAGTAAGTGCACTTGGCCCACTGTTGGCTTCCTCAATTGCACTGACGATCTACCGAACCTGGGCCTGTGAAAGCTCCGACGCAATACTTCCGCTGCACCAAACCCTTTGCCCCCCGTAATGGTCCTCAATTTCTTGCCCCTGATCCCACAGAACCTAGTCCTGAATTTCGACTGTTCTTTGCTTAATTAAGCCTGGCCCCGGCTGGCTTCCGTAGATAATTTCCCTACTCTAAAACCCCCCTTATATAAGAAAAATGAGTGGCCATGGCGAATGTCTGCGAAGATTTATTCGATCATTCGATTCGATTCGATTCGATTGATTCGAACTTGTCAAAACAGGAAGTTGGTAAAGAACAAGCAGCCGGGGGCTGATGCCCTCAACTGTCAAAAAGAGATTTGATTGGATTCCCCAATCGAATCCTTAACATCTTTGGTCAAATCCTTTACCGTGTTCAACTGGACACACTAGCAAGTCTCCATAGCCAGCCAGTAAGGGTCCAAAGTACTGTGTCCAACAGAACACACAATATCAATCCCTATCCTTAACAAGGAAAATGTCCCTTATGTCTTTGGCAAAACTTACACCGTGTTTATCTGGACACACTAGTGAGTCTGCATAGCCAACCAGAACTGGTACCCATATGTTGAAACTACTGTGTCCAGCTGAACACACAATATTAATCCCTATCCTTAACGAGGAAAGTGTCCCCTATGTGACCAAAACAGCTGCAACAAACAAACACACACACACACACACATACAGCGATAAAAGTGTGAAAGACCCTCAGTCCCTTGAGGGAAATCCGATCGAAGACGATCCATCGAATTGATCTTCAATCCATGCATTCGAGTTTGATCATGCAGTTTTTGGATATGACAAGGGGGTTCAGAGTACGGTACGGTACGGTAGGGGAGTAACCTATGGAAGCTAGAGAGGGCCGGGCTTCTAAAGGCAAAGAAGAGGAAAAGTTTGGGACTGAGTTCCGGGGGATCAGGGGAGATACTATTCGACATGCATGTACCAGGTACCAGGTACCGGTACCGTACATATATCCTCAGGCGATTCAATTCTCCCGGCAACTGACCAGCCCAGTCAGAATAATATAAGGGGGTTTAGAGCAGGATAGTTATATACATGTAGCTAGTTATATACGAAAGCCGTTAGGGGGGCAGGTGTTGGTGTTGTGGTGGTTGCATACTTCGTGTGGTTGTTGGTGTTGGTCGCATACTTCGTTTCTACCACACGAAGAGAGAGAGTTCGAGTTCGAGTTCGAGAGAGAAGGAAGATATACTGGTATTCAACGCTGCACAATGTTCTTCTCTCATGGCTGACATGGATCCATTCAATCCTTAATAGTCATTCAAGTCCATGAGGCTCTCCTGTCGAGCAGGAATGATGGGGGCCGAGGCGGCGCTCTTTTGCCTGGTAAACTGTGGGAGTGGTGGCAGGATGCTAACACTTCGAAGTGGCACGGAAGGTTTGTGGAGGCTGTATCCCGAGTTAGCCGGCGTGGAGAGAGCTTCGGCAAAGTCCATGAGACTCTCCTTGCGGGTGGGAAGAGGTGGAGGCATGGTGTCAGTGGAATGCTCTGAGTTATCGAGCCCTTCCGTGGTCGAAGTGGGCCAACTGTCATTGAGAGGACACTTGCACGGAGGAGCATCCCGGGAGGAGAGAATGCTAAAGTCCATGAGAGAACCTCTGCGATTCTTCCTTGGCTGGATCTTGCTGATGAGAGGCTTCTGGTGGCGGCGTGGAGGGTGTGCACATAACTGAGATCCACTCTTCCAGCGAAAGTTGGAGTTGGCGGAGGATGAGCTTGAGGAAGTTAAGGAAGAGGTCCTGTTGTTGAACACTTGTTTCAAAGCTGCTGTGATGGCCTTGCCTTGTCGGGGACTGCCCAAGCCGCCCAAATGGAAGCACGGATTGCTGAATTGGCGTGTGGGTGCGTTGGCTGGTGCATCCACCAACTTGTAGAGACGAGGATCGCTGCATTTGCGGCAGGGAAGACTGGCGGCATTGTCGCTTTGTCGATGGGGAGCATGGTTCATGTTGACCAGACGAGGGTTGCTGGGTTTGCGGAAAGGTACGGACGTCATGCCAGCGCTGCTGATGGCCTCCATAGTATTGGTCCATCGCGATTTGCTGGTTCCTTTGAAGTTGTACTTGACATTCGACTTTCTGCGACGATAGACCTGCATACCAGCAGCTAATCTATCCTGGGAAGGCTTTCGCCTTGGAGGAGGGTCCCTGGAGCTGAAGGAGGAACGGGAATCACAAGAAGAGTCCATGGACAAGACAGACACATCCAAAGAGCCATTGGAGGAGGAAACAGGAAGCGCAATCTCCTCTCCCAGTTGAACAGGAGACTTCATGTTCTGAGACATGATACAAACTTGTTATAAGCTTGTGTATTCCAGTGTGAGTGTTGGGGTATTGCGTCAAGGATGGATGAGTAGAGTAAGAATTGATCAGGGGATTGACTATGCACATGAGAGGTGAGAGTTGTGAATGCCTTTGGTGCCCAGCAAAGGTGACATCACTTGATCATTGTCTCGAGCCATGGGCAATGGCTTCAAGAACTTAGAGAAAAAGAGCAAGACGAGCTTCCATACTGCCTTTCCGAACACTGGCTGGGATGCCATGTGCATTAATAGTGTCATGGCGTTAGTTGTTGCAGTTCCCTTCATGGCTGTTGATGCGAAGCTAAAAACAGATTGCTCTCAAAAACTTTCTTCGCCTACGAATGCTTGCTATTGCCCAATCACGCACTGGACTACTCTAAAACCCCCGTTATTCGCACTGGCCCGTTGCTAAAAGCAACAGCAGCAGGTCCCACCACAAAAAGCATGCACGGATTGAAATTGGCAGAGCTATTGCCCAATCGCGCACTGGCCCCATTGCTGGCTATTGTGCCCAGAACATACCATTTCAGTTTGGCGTGAAGATTTGGCTGTGAACAGAGGGGGTTTTAGTTTTTAGATAGGGACCTGATACGGTTGCCGGTAGCAAGTTCAATTTGGTAGTGCTATTGCCCAATGGCGCACTGGCCCATTGCTGAGTACCGGTACGGCAGAAGCAAACAGCAAAATATTCAATTTGGCAGAGTTGCAGTCAACCAGCAGCCCCAAAGAACCCCATGCATCAACTTGAGGTTGCCGCTTTCTTCAAACTTCGCTCTGAGTACTAGTAGTACGAATTAGTCTAATGGGAACCTATTGTCTCAGTAGTTATTCTGGTAGTTGCAGCTCTGGCTAGCTAGCTAGGTATTAGTTGTTTTGATTTTCCATTGGGATCTTGCTGTAGTTTTATCCGCTGGCTGGCTGTTGGTGGTACCCACGATACCGGTACCAGGTGGCGAGCTAACTTACTCCTCCACCCTCATCCACGCCGCTTTGAAGTCAACGTTGCTTCATCAGCGGGCATTTCGTGGAGCGCTTCCGCTTGCTGGCATCACTGGCTGTCCCAGCCATCAGCCATTACTATTATTGATGTGAGAGGAACCATACTACACATGAATATCTCGTCAGATGATTACTACACACACACTCTTGCTTCCTTGGGTTGCTGGCAGCGCTGCTTCCTGCTGATGACATCCACGTCAGTGGCTGAGAACAGAAGTGGTGCTATTAGCTGGCTAGCTAGTAGCTACTCGCTGGCAATTCAAATAGTGCTGGCTTCAGGAGCTCCGCGCTTCACCAGGATAGTGGCCGATGAGTCGAGGGTCCTTTCACGACTTCCTAACCAGCCATCTTGAGGTTTACTGTAAGAAGCCAGGCAGTGCGCATCCTGGCAACGACCTTTACTGTGCGTCATACTATCTACTGTATTGGCCAACCCAATCGGTATTAGTGAGCATATCCCAGACATGTCTAGCTATTAGTTAGAACCACAACTAGAGAGTTAGCTTGATTTTGCAAAGTACATGTAGCTTGACATAGCAGACTGCTGTAGACAGTGTCAGCGTTCGTTCAGTTGTTTCGCGGCAGATCATCCTGGCATCATAGCCTTTCTCCGTTAGGGAGGCCGCCCCTTTCAAACACACTAGTGCAAGAACACCATCTGGTCGATTCGATTCTGGTCGCCAGTTTTTAGGTTGCCACCTATGCGTCTTCCAAGACCTCATTACCTCATCAGCTGCCTTTGACATACACACCAGTTTACCCTTTTCCACCAATCAAACCTTCAACTTCCGATCATTGTCTTTGCAGCAACGCCCACCATCTAACTGGGTTGACGAGGTGGTGGGCACCACGCACGAAGCGATCCACCACGTCAACCTGAAAATGTGAGCCAGAGAACGTCCAGCTGCTGTCGGTTATGCTTCTGTCTGCAACCTCAACTTACGGGGCAATGACGAGGAGTTCTTTATGTCTTGGCGCTGTCCCAAGTCATTCTCGAAGCCCCACCAGAATAGAAGGTTTCGCTGATTTCTTAAACCTTTCTAGGTTCAGGATGACCATGCCTACGATTTTGCCTGACGTGTCGAACCTGCGTCAAAAACTAAGTGGTTTGCTTACTCACTCCTGCTTTTCACCAGCTTTTGACTGATGTGGTGGGTCATTGATTTAGAAATTGTGTGGGATAGTTCAAACGAAGTGGTCATCAGAAATCGGAAGACTAGTCATCCGCTCTTGGAAGTGCGTGGAATTTGGTAAAGTATTCGCCACGACAACAGAAGAGCCTTTCTCGCTTATTGCAGCCATCTTGAAAGGAAAGTCAAAAGGTTTGGAAAGCACATAGTCTAGCTCACAATCCAAGCTCAAGCAACACCAGCAAACCAATAGCCACGCAGACACATCCGTCTGGCCAATCAAATTTCAATTCTATCTATCGATCAATAATCACCCAGCAATGAACAATCCTCTAATGTTGTCTCATTTATTAGAAGCAGAAGACGACATGAAGCCCATGACAATGGATGCATCGGATGAGTTCCTGGTCGCCCGCGGCAAGAACGATGAAGACACGGAAGAGACCGACTCGGAAGAAGACAGCGACGAAGAAGCTAGCAGCAGCGAAGAGGGCGACAGCGACGATGACAGCGACGACAGTGACGACGACGACGGCGAAGACACGAGCAGTTGGGGCAGTGAGATGGATGACCTCGAAGCCGCTCTGACTCTGGGGCAACGTCAAAAGGACATGAAGCGATCTTTATCGAGTCCGGCCATGGCGGCGGTCTTTAGCGGCGGTCCTCCGCTCACCAAGTCGGCCACCATTGAAGGTCTCAAGGACCTCGCGGCGCGCATGAAGAAGAGCGAGAGCAACGCCTACTTGCAAAAGGTCGTGGCCGAGAGCGCTCCCGTCACTCTCAATGATCCGTACGCCGACACCAAGCCCGATGACTTTTTGCAGACTCTCCTCGAAGGCATCAGCGCCAGCAGTTTCCCCAGTGAAACCTGGCACGACTACTTCCAGTCGATGGAACCGGAACACGTCGAAGCCTACACTACCGAAATGGTCATGGCCATTCGGAACGACGACTACGAGGTCCTCCGCGAACGACTCAAGGCCGGATGCACTCTCCAGTGCTGCAACCATCACGGAGAATCCATTCTCCATTTGGTCTGTCGACGTGGCAGCACCGACATGCTCCGTTTCCTCATGGAAGAAGGCGAAGTCAGCGTCCGCATCCGCGACGACAAGGGACGCACACCCCTCCACGATGCCTGCTGGACGGAGAATCCCCAATTCAGTTTGGTCTATGCCCTCTTGGAGTCGTCGCCCGAGCTCTTGTTTGTCCAAGATCATCGTGGACACACGCCGCTCAGTTACGCACCTCGCAAGGTCTGGGGACACTGGAATGGATTCCTCCAAAAGCATCGCATCTTTTTGCGAGCATCCGTCCGCAGTTTGCGCTTTGATCGAGCCAAGTACTTGGCTCGGACCATTGTGCCTTGCTTGAAGTAATTTCAAGCAACTGCAAGACAAAGAGCCCAAGATGAGAGACGAGAAAGCAGCCAAAGGCTTATCAAGGAAACATTTGTTTAGTTTCAATAAAAGGAGAATACAGACACGCGCACCAACACACTCAAGAACAAAAAAATTAATGTACTCACTCGCAAGCCTGTTTGGTTGATTTCAAGAGAAAGAGAATGGGAGCAAAACATGACTATGATGGGAAAGAGTCCAGTCGAGTAACGATCAATCCAGAAGGCAACCATCCCTGCCTTCTTGGTCGTTTCTCACTACTCTTTTTCTTATGTGACTGGCTAGCTACATACACCTACCCCTGAATGCCAACAGAGATTTTGTACACACGAACTTTAGCATCTTCGTAAAATAAATATAAAAAAGAAAACAAAAGATCAGGAAAACTACATTAAGTTGTGACAAGCTAGCTAGGAACCCCGGGTGTTGTCAAGGATGTTGGGGTCTGTTGTGTGGTTATCTCTATCTAGCTAGGCTAGCCAGTAAAGGAAGCTCGAGTAATATGCGTTTGCCAGCCACCAAGCTAGTATAGCTTCCCCGCATTGAACTGCCCTCGACAGCTCCGGAGGTTTGCCATTGTGAGGTTCTGAGTTCTGAAGTCCCGCAGATGACGCAACGCCGTATTAGTAGCCAGCTAGCATATGGTTGTTACAACAATGTTGGTGCCTGCAGTTTGGGATCCCTGGCTGGCAAACACGCAAAGCCAACAGGAGAGGAAGCTCAATGCGTACCGGTACTACAGGCGGAATGATGAATCAGTCACACGCGCTGTGGGTGGTGTCTGCTACTACTAGCTAGCTAGCTAGTAGGTATTCCTAAAGTTTGCAACCAAGTCCATCCCTGCACAGCTAATACTGCTCATCATAGTTCCATAGTAATTTCCCGTATCAACAGCTACTGAGGTGCGCCATGGCGACAGAGGTCATTCAGTGGGGTTCTGGAGTCGAGTCGAGTCGCTGGAGATGAAGTCGCTGGAGATGACCTTTGATTGAGCGACTGGGACGTCAGGTAAAATGGTTTTCAAAGGTCTCTGATTATTTCTTTTCGTTTTGTTTCCAAACGTTCCAGAGCAATATTTGCATGCCGGTATAGTTAGAGCGGATCAGTCCTTCCAATTGAGTTGCCTTCAGCTAAATATCCATATCGAGGCTCCTCGCCCACCATTCATCGCCACCTCACAACACCCTACCCCACCCCGGTCTCCTGAAGGGGAAACCCCAGTCGATAGCCTGCTGTTTGGAAGACTTTGGGTACCGGTACTATAATATCTACCTGAACGAATTTGTATCACAGAAAGCCACCAGAAGAAAGGCAATCGTCTCGGACTCGTTTCGGCAGGACCTTTCCTGCCACTTGATCCACGCGGGCTTGGTTTGGAATCTTCCGGGTCGTACGGTTCTATTGCCATGAACCGCCACAGAGCAAGACTCTTCCAGAGTTGGCAGCTGGCAGTTTTACTGGCCCTTTTTGGTCGAGTTTGTATACAAGTTGTGAGCAGCCAACGAGTCAAAAATGGTTGCTTTGATGACAACCCACAAGCCTTTGAATGTGTCAGTTATGGGATGGAATCTGTGCCCGAATTTTTGATCTCAGTTGATATGACAGAAGCCGAGGAAGGGTGCCTTCATTTGGCCTTGAATGTATTCAAAAGCAGGGAGATCTACATTGACCACACAAAGCACAAAAACTATCTCAACAATATTACTGCCAAGGATCCTTATTGTGGACTGATTCAGCGAGCTTACAGGCATTGCACCTTCTGTGTAGAGGATGCAGAGCTCACCCTGTACATTCAGAATTTCTGTTACAATGCAGCATCCAACCATCCGTGTGGCCTACCCTATCAGAAGACTCGTGAAGAACTCCTGAATGATTCCGATGATCTAGTTGCTGGGGTTTTCCGAACCGAAGCTGATATCGATGATACTTGTCAAGCCATCACAACCCACCTAAGCGATTCAGGGCATGGGAACTTGATCACGGTCGGCATGCTGTGGTCACCTCTATCCGTGGTTTTTTGCTGGAGACTTTTCATGGCAGCACATCTCTGCCCTGGGAATTGCCCAGGTGGGTGTTTCACCGAGGAACATCCACCAACTTGTGATGCGGAGTATGATGAAGCTGAGACCAATGAAATACTGTTGTCCATCCAAAATCAATCGAATGCTTCCCTCGATTTATCTTCAACAGTCATCGAAAGAGAACAGAACAGAACTGTCGACCATGTTTGTGAGGACATCCGAGCTTGGACGTTCACCGGATGGAGTGTCTACAGAATTCTAAATAATTCTGAGCACCTGGGAATTCTGAATGCCATAGATGGACCATCACCATTTTGTGACGAGGCAAGGCTTGCATATCCGCATTGCATTTGGTGCAAGTTGGATGATCTGTGCTTTGGAGAGGATGACCCAATATTATCGTGCGAACTTTCTCCCTCGAGTGTCTCAAGCCCTTTCCAAGACAAAGATTTGCATCCAAACCTTTGTACAGACATGACACAGAGTATATTTCAACGTGACAATGCTGATGACAATGATGATGACAAAAATGAAATCTGGGAAACCTACACGTTGGCTATTAAGAATGGGTCCAGGTTTTGTCAACAAGCTAGGCGGGCATTCCCTTCTTGTTACTGGTGTGCACCTCATGACCTGGGTAAAGATCTCAGTGAACTATGCTTTTCTGATGGAAATTTTTGTGGGTTAAGAGATCAAATTGATATCCCTGACGAGTTCCTGTCTGATCTCGCCATGGACCCTTCCCTCAGTCCTGTTGTGTACGGGCTGATGACTGCAGAAAATACATCCAATTACTGTGAAAGATTCAATTCCATCTTCATTCGTTGGCAGGAATTCCACAGTCCTGATAACTACGCATATTGGGGATGCTTGCAGAAGATACTGCTTGCAAAACATTGTCCAGAGCAAATCTGCCCAGAACCTCCCACTGATCCATACTCCATCAAATACCTGGGGGCTGGGACAACAGCCGAAAAGAGGGCCCTCATCTGGGCATCAAGAATTGCAGCTTGCTTCTCACTGTGCGGTGCAATCTATGTGTTGTATGACAGCTTGTCCGATCCGCGAGCTCGAAAGACTGTGTATCACCAATTACTTGCTGGAATGAGCAGCTTTGATTTGATGACAGGTATGCACATTGTGATGCAACCTACTGTACTTGATATGATTGAAAACAGGAAAACTGACCATTTGCCTTCTGGATTGCTCCCAGCAATATCTTGGGCATTTGCGACGGCCCCTATCAATGATAATCGTATAGAGGGTGCAATTGGGTAAATACACCACAGTGCACTCAACAGACAGATGGTTTTGCTGCAACATAAACACCTCCTGCTAACCTGCTTCCTTTTCCTGTGAAGAAATGATGCAACCTGCACAGCCCAAGGATGTAAGTCGCTTTTAAGAAAAGCCATTTGCTTCATGACAAGCACATGCTCATGCATTGTTGGACGATTCTGCCAATGCAGTCTTCATCCAGCTGGGATTTACGAGCATCTTCTATGCCATGTCTCTTGCTTTCTACTATTTTTTGGTAATTGCCTGTGGGTGGAAGGAGTTTCAGTTACAGAGGATTCTCCTGTTTCTGCATGGGGTTCCTCTTCTTGTGGGGTTTACACTTGCCTTTGCTGCTATCCCTGAGTATGACCTGATTGTTTATGTTTGTCATCTGACGCCTCACTCCGATGGAGAAGGAAAGCTGTGGGCAGCTCTTGTGTTTATGATGATTCCACTGTCAATTGCAATAGTGTCGATCACGGCATGCATGATACTGGTTTACAACAGTGTCAGGAGGCGTGCAGGGGCTTCCAGAAAGTATTCATTTGGGATTGGAAATGCCAGCAAATTGCAACAAGCAGTGTTCTGGCAGGCCTTGTTTTATGTGGGAGCATTCTATGTCACATGGCCAACCATGTTCAGTGTCTACCTTGCTTCAGTTGAAGAAAATGGTCCTCTGCGAGCGTCACTGTTGATTGCATTCCTAGCCCCGCTCCAAGGTGCACTGAATGCTTTGGTGTATGCCCGCCCAAAAATACTACAGTACTACGATGAGAGAACAAAGAAGAGAGCACAGCGGCACCAACAGCAACTGCAACAGCAGCAACAACAACCCCAGCCACAGACGATTGCGTCTAAGTTCCTGTCAGTTGTCATTTATGCCTCGCCTTTTACTCTGAACAGCACCCGGGGAGATGACGACAATGCCAACAGCGATACTGCAGCCCCTTCTAGGCAACGCATGCGAAGCGTTGATCCTTCCGTTGCTGTGGCTTCGGAGCGAGATGTAGATTCTGTGATGGAGGACTACTTGGCACACACAGAGCAAAAGGTATCAGCTCCACGAATGGAATCAATAGCCGAGTCATTGGCTGGTGAAGACGAACAAGGATTGACACTGGTGTTGTCGCCAAACTCAGAGGTGGAACCAGAAGCTGCTATTCATAATGGAAGCAACGATTGTTTCCACCTTGAAAAACCTTTCCAACGTGATGTTCCTGCATCAAGCAAGGATGCGCAAAGACCTCCATGCGAACGGAACAGCACATGTGTTGATGAAAACGAGGGACAAACCCAAAGAACCGACGGTGAAAACTGAGTTACCACTTAGTGCTCATGGCATCCCCCCATCTCGAGTTCGTCACCTGGGCTGATCGATCGCGGTCGCTCTGCGCAAGAACATTAATGGACATCAGATGACACCGGCATCAAGTGTTTGAGTGCCACCTTACAGGTCCCCTATAATAGATAACGCCTTTGTATTTACATTTATCGGGGGTTCAGAGTAGGTAGATCATCTATGGAAGCCAGCCAGGGCCAATCTTTTAAGCAAAGAAGAGTTTCAGGACTAGGTACTTTGGGATCAGGGGGGAGAAATTGAGGATTTTATTCATTTTTTAAGAGAATCGCGATACATATGCACGGCACGGGGCGACGACTCAAGTTCTATAGCTAGCTAGAAGCCTTCATACCATCCAAGATGGAATCATGAAGTCTCAACAATTGAGTTTCATAACCGAACTGGCTAGAAGAAGTTCGCGTGGATCGATTATTAGCACTCCTAGCCTCTCCTGATCATGTCAAATGAACTCAATTATTGGAACAGGTAATAGTATCATCGTACTGCAATACGGTAGGTTGTCTCTGTGGGATATTGGCGGATTCGATTCATGGCGCAGTCGCTGTGAGTTTCACTGTATGATTCGATTCAATTCAATTCATAGCGATTTCTACGCCACGGCTCCGGGATAGTTTCTCATGAAACAAAATAAGAATCCTGCAATCAGATAAGAAGCGATACCGCCCACGGCGAACCACATTCCTCGCGCTGGTTTACAGTCTGCATCGTCGATACAAAAGCTGCTTCCAAAGACAGCAAAGCAAGATGCTTGCAATCCACCCACCGCCAAAATGACGACAGCGGACCCCAGCCATCGAAAGGCCTTCATATAACTACAACAGGTGAGGGTCACTAGTATCAACCAGGCGACCCATCCTGTCGCCCAAGACGCTCCGGTTAGGATCCGTATAAGCTCCCAATCGCTGCCGAGAAAGTCAATGTAATTTTGCAATTCTTCATCATAATAGTCCCAGGATCTTCCGTCCTCACTAAACCCGCAACTGCCAGGTTCGGTTTCATTAAAGATAAAACCAAATCCACGGCGTGTGGGAGGTGGTGGTGCTGTAGTAGGAGACATGGTAGGAGGGACCAAGGGAATAAAGATACTGCTGGGAGCATAATACCGCTCGGGGTATCCCGAAGTGGCTTCGATGAATTTGCAGTCCACCATGGACCAAGCACAGAGCAATAATCCCAACAACAGGAACACTTGGGCAAAGAGGACCGGAAAGGGGCCATTGGGGTATCCACAGCAGCGGAATGTGCAGCATTGGTCCTCCGAGACGTGACTTGTCTTGGCGGCAATCGCCTCTTGTGCCGCCGCATTATTGTTGACATTGTCATTGGGTAGGGCTTCGTCCATGACAACTTGTTGTGGTTGTGCCTGGCTTTCGACGACGGGTGGAGGAACCACTTCTTCTGGCTTGTCAGCAGCAGCCACAGTAGCGCCGACAGCTACACCGGTGGCGGCACCAATGGCAGCAGCTGCGACCACTTCTTTTTTGTTGCCTTCTTCGTCCACTTCAATGCCTTCCTCGTCATTGTCCAACTCGACTTCTTGTTGATTCACGGAACCTGCCGTGATGGAAGAGGCTCGTACCGACGGTTCTCGGGTTCGGATAGACTCGCCTTTGACGGATTCACCGTGTTGAAACGCACCGGGAGGCTCTTGTCCCATGCGTGACTCGACGGCGACACTAGCAGCAGTGGCTGCTACTACTGCTGTCGCACCCACTTCTTCGTCGGGAGGATCACTGCCACGACGAACTTGACTGGTGCCAAACTCTTCTTGGTTGCTGTTGGGAGGGTCATTCGAGATCACGGCGTCCACATCCAACTCATGTTCATACTGATTGCGAGCTTCGCTGTTGGCTGTGATCATGGCATCCACATCCACCTCTTCCTCCATGTCGCCGCCATTCTTAACCTGACTGTTGCCAAACTCCATCGTCGCACTCTCTATTACCGTACCGATAGATGGTTCTATTATTGGATCTGGGATGATGCTGATTGCTTGTTTCCGGAATACTTTGTGGTCGGAGTGATGACATCTTTCGCGAAGTAGCAGTTTTGCTCGCCTAAGTATCTTTCTTTCCGGACAAAAAAGACTTAACGGTTGTTGTTCTCACCGAATTCGGCCAGGCGCTCTAGTTCTGCTCCGGCACGTTCACCAATAACGACTGCTTACCTCGATCGACTGCACTGGACTACTACTAGTAGCTACATCGTAGCCAGGCCACTCGGAGCCAGTGGATCTAGGCTACACGGCACGGGGGTCTTCCAGAACCATACACGATGTATAGGGTTATGCGGAAACGAGATTGGCCCTGTCAAGGTACAAAATGGTACACGATGTACCTGAGAGAGTTGACCGTGGTAGCTTGGCAATTCTAATATGCTCATGAAAGACGGAAGCGACAGCATTGATTGACTTGATCACTGGCAAGCTTCATCTTGCGCATGCACTTCGAGTGCGCACAAAAGCTGATAACGGAAGGATTGAGACATAGAAACAAGCCAGATTGTCTACCTGGCTATACAGGAGATAGCCACTAACGAAACCTTTACTTCATCATACAAATCTCGCTCATGCATTTCGTTATTTTAACATGTATACAGGCAGGAAGCGTGAACCCTCTTATGCCCGTAGCACAATACCCACGCCACCATGCCGCTCCTTTTGCTGACTTTCCAAGTCATTCCTGACCGACACATCATTACACTGAACACCATTTGCTACCCAACCAACTCCTCCTGAACATGTGGCATCGTTCACTTACAAACACAAACATCACAGCTGCAATCCAACGATTCACAATCAACATGAATACCTCCATTTTCCTCAACATTATCCGGCCAAGTTGTCAGATTGCAGAGACTAGTAGGAATTGTGCCTGTGAGCCCCGTATTGTTGTGGAGCCAAAGAAGCTCAAGCTGATCCAGCAAGCCCAGCGATGAAGGAACAGGTCCCATCATGCGGTTCTCGAACAGCCTAACCTGCTTCAGGTTCAAGAGAAGACCAATTTCACTTGGGATCAGTCCCGATAGTTCATTGTCTGACAGTTTTAGGTTGACCAAGGAACTGAGCTCCCCGATCTCTGTGGGAATGGTCCCTGTCAATGTATTATCATGAAGAAAGAGAACCTCAACGTTCTCCATTAGTCCCTGTTTGTTCAAAGAAGATGGGGTCAGAAAACATAACGATCGAACAAGAGTGCAAACTCCCTTGCACTGCCCCTAGCAACCTTACCATCTCAGATGGAATGGACCCAGACAGATTCGCTTCGGAAACCTCAAAAGTTGTGGCTACTCTCATACCCCCCAACTCTGAAGGCAGAGTTCCCGAAAACTGGTTCAACCAGCTGGCAAAAAGATCCATTGAGGTCCACTGCCCCAGCTCGGAGGGAATTGCACCAGATAGAATGTTGTTCCCCAGCACAAACACACGTAGCGAGCTTAGCTGGCCCAACTCTGAAGGCAAAGTCCCTGGATTGAAATGTTGCAAATTGGATGAGCAAAACTTGGTTGGTTAATCAGAAGTATCAGATACAGGATGCAGTGCGTCTTTCTTACCTGTCAGTTCATTGTTGTGAAATTCAAGAATGCTGAGCTTGCAAAGTCCAAGTTCAGTAGGCATTGTGCCGTTTAGTTTGTTTCCACTCAGCCCTAAATGTTCGGAGTTGGTAAGCAACCCCATCTCTGTCGGTATTTTGAGGGGGGTCAGCATCAGAGATTGAGAAAAAGATATTCTGAAGTGTGCACAAAGCAAATGAGCCTACCTGAGGGTATGGTGCCTGAGATTTCGTTGTTGTTCACTGAGAATCCTGTAAGGTCCGATAAGCCTAGCTCTGTAGGGATTGTTGATGTCAGTAGATTCACATCCACATCAAAAAGGCCTTGCCATTGGATCAACTCTGATGGATAGTGTAATTGTCAAGCATAATTTCACATAACACCCATTGTGTGTTGTTAGACACTCCATGGCTGCAAGCAAATCTTTGAGAGCAGTTCATGAGTGGATGGGCATACCTTTTGGCACAGTGCCAGTAATTGCATTGTCCCAGAGGGAAACATTTTTCAACTTCTCGGGGAGTGCAATTTCTGAGGGTAGATTCCCAGTGAGCAGATTCATTTGTAGCACCAATCGTATCGCTTGATCAAGCAAACCCACTTCACTGGGAATTGAGCCTAGCAGTCATGAGCAGCACAGAAAATGTACGTCAGTTGCAATATTTGAAAATGGGTGCACAGGCACATGGGGATTGTGGTATGTCCCGTAATAACTTGCCTGTAAGGGAATTTGCCATCAAGTACACGGCCTGCAAGGGCAACAACCCCAACTCTGATGGGATGCTTCCCGACACCGAGGTGGAATACAGACCCAAAGCATCTAAGTTGGTCAGGTAGCCAATCGTGGTTGCAATGCTGCCAGAAAGCTCATTGCGATCCAGAGCAATACTCTTCAGATTTGTCAGCAGGAAAGTTTCCTCTGGGATTTTACCATGAAGGCCATTGTTATTGAGCCACAGGTGTTGGTAGAGCTCATTCTGGCATGGGACTTCTTGAACAGTACCCATAGCTGACTCGTTCACATACAAGGGATTGTCAGTACTGGGAGGGGAGTACAAGCCATAGGCGCTTGCATGGAACCAGTCGCACTCATGCACATCATGTGAGAGCCAGTTGCCTGTCTCGCGCCATTTTGTTGGGCCACCGGTGGAAAGGAAGAGTGTCGTCAGAGCAAATCGTTGAATGATTCGCTCGTCTGAATAGTTGGTGAGGTTTTGATCGTGTATCAGCCATTTGTAGGCGTTTTGCTGAGGAGTAAATGCGGTAGCATTGATTAGGTCTGTCTCGTCCATATCAAGCAGAATACCCCTGGCAGTTGCAGCTGGGAGAAGGTTCAAGATGTACTCTTGGATGCTGACAGGCTGCACGAATGTTGTCTCATTCGTAGTCTCTGCCTGAGGTTTGTGATTACTGTCGAGCGAAGTCCCTCCCTCCTTGCTTCGATGGACAGCAATGGGCACCACCACAGCAATGAGAATGACTACCAAGAGTACCCCTGCTCCAATAAATTGAAAAAGACTCTTGCGCCTTTTCGAGGCAGTCAAACGCTCTCGTTCCGTGGGATCGACTTGCAGAGCTTGTGGGCGACGGTCCTCGTCTTCTTCGTTGACAAGGTTGGCAATGGCCATGTCCCCGTTGGCTTCCTCTGTTACACGTGGACCAGTTGGTACATTGCCGATGGATTCGCGGCCGGAAGAAGCTGCTTCAATGTCCTCGGTAGACGATCCAAAATTGCTGGCATTTGGTCCCAGGACAGTAAAGGCTCCAGGCCTTGAAGAGAGTTGAACTCCACTGCCACGAGCAAGGCGAGTGGGCGAAACACTGGCTTGGTGTGTAGCCCTTGGAGGTATTTGGACAAGCGTCGTATCCTCCTCAGTCTGGGTCTCCGTGATGGCCTCCTCATTCACCATTGTTGCGGCGTGGTTTTCTTCGCCATCACGGCCTTCGTCAAACACGCCGCACTCCCTCATCACGGAAAGTCGAATGTCTTTCATCAACCCTGCTTCCTCGTCTACAACCTCCTTCTCCTTCCACTCGGCGGCTTCCTTCGATTCTCTGATGGTTTCCTGGGCCCTTCTTGGCTCCTCGTCTTCTGAAACAAGCTGCTTGCTCGTACTGCTCGTATTGGCTCCGTCATCAGATGCTTTGCCGGGGACCTGATCTTCTCCTCCGTCATCGAGGACGCGGCACTCTCTGAGAACTGAAACTCGAATGTCCTTCATTAGAGCAGCATCTTCCTCCTCCTCCCTACCCGATGGATTCTCAGGGTCCATGACTTCAGATGCTTTGCCTGGGACCTGATCTTCTCCCACGTCGTCGAGGACACGGCACTCCCTGAGAACTGAAACTCGAACGTCCTTCATCAGAGCAGCATCTTCTTCCTCCTTCCCACCTGATGGATTCTCAGGGCCCATGCTCTCAGTGACTTCTTTCGTCTCTGCCTCCATTGTGTCTTCCACTTCTTTGAAATGAACAGAGAGAAGTCTGCTGATATTCTAGCTAGTACTGTACTTCTGAGAACTACCTGTACTCACTCGCAACTCGCAACCGGGCTGTTCTTTGGCTACCTGTAAGATATCTCGGGCACTCGTTTCGTCGGTACACCGATGGACTGTGAACTCTGCTCAAAGCTGCTGTGGTTGATCCGTAGAGCTGCGTAGAGCGCTGCTTCTGCAGAAAGAGGTCGATCAATTTGTGTCGAAGAAAAGAGAAAAGTGAGTGATGGTGCCAGGTATTACTTGCAGGACGGGGAGCCTTTCGCACCTTGACCTGCTTCGTGCGCACTTGCCGATGCTCTCAGATCAGAGAAAAGTGAGTGATGGTGCCAGGTATTACTTGCAGGACGGGGAGCCTTTCGCACCTTGACCTGCTTCGTGGGCACTTGCCGATGCTATCAGATCTCGGACAACTATAAAGTGTACTTGTTTAGAGGTGAACGTGTAGTTCAGGTAAATAGAGCTCTTGGAATATAATATTTTGTCAGTGAGCTACTAAGCATTACCTGAATTTCTACGGTAGATGAGCTAAAATTTATTGAATAATGTTACCACATCTATCTGCATCCCAAAGCTGATTATAACAGCTATGGTTTTAATTAATTTATCTCTTCCAAGTCAAGTGTCAAGAAATGACTGTACTAGCTAGCTATCCGGATAATAGTACGTTGTATGAGAACTCCTCGCTGCATGCGTACTTTGTACGTAAGGAAACATGCTTTTAAATCGGTTTATAATCTTGAATTACTCAGATTTAACATCAATAATTTCTTTAATTAAAAATCCAAAGCAAAGGAAACTGTGTCACAGCGTCAGTTGGATCGTTGGATCTTCTCGACGCATCAATTCCACGCTTCTTTTGATTTTTGCTTTTAATTAAAATGTCAAGGGTGTTGCGGTGTTGCATAAATGTACCAGGTAGGGGGGTGCCTCAAACCAACTTGCTCTGACTTCTCCACTCCTCAATTGACTTATCCCACCTTCCTGGTGAAGCTTCAAATCATCAATAAATGACTTCAACCAACTTCTACCACTTTCCACCACCTTCCACCGCCTTCCACCGTCTTCGACCGTCTCTTTTACCACCTTTTGCCGTTATTTACCGCTTTTAACCGCTTTCAACCGCTCTCAACCACTTTCAACCACTCTTTACCACCTTCAACCCCCTTGGTTGCCATTTCAGCGATCTCCTGAAAACTGAACAATTTGGTGGTTGGGGATATACTGTGTGAAGAAAGGAAAAGAGGGGCTGCATTGAGGCACCCCCTAGAGGGAGAGAGCTGTACACGCTTAATTTTCTCTTCAAGTGCCAATAAATGCCTGGATGTTCGATGCGAACTGACTTACCCCCCATTTAAAATGATTGAATCATTCGATGCAATCGAATGATATCTCTTGCCCTCGACATCATCTTTTGTTTCCTTTCTCTCCGCTCGCTCCAAGCAAGCAAGCACCCATGGAAAGCGTTGCCCCCTCTACTAGCTAGCTAGCTAGCTAGAATAGCGTAAAAGAAAGACAAAGATGGTGAGGTTTAGGTCCTTCCAAAGAGCATGCATGTTGGTTTTATCATACGGCCAGCCACGACGGATCAGTGGTACTGTATGGTACAGTGAACTGTACCAGTCCAGTGGAAAGTGGCGGTCAAGAAAGCCATGTGGGAAAGACTTAATGCAAACATGGAAGGCAACACTGCGTTAAATATATTTCTAATCGCGAACGACTCAATGTCTTAAGTTTAAATAGCCAAAGGAATTGCAACTGTGACCCAACGTCAGGTGGAGGTTGCGGGACGCAGCATCTTGACGATCTTTGGATTTATTTTGGCATTTTCTGCAAAAGCCAAAACCATCAAGAAGGGAACAATAATAATAAAGCCCAAAGCAAACTCTCTTCCTCTTCTTGTCCTTGTCTCTAGTACCACCACCTCTCCTTGCTCGCTCAATTCAGTCTATCAATCGATCCATCCATCCAGATGTTCTCCACCATGCCCTCCACGGGCGTCTTGGTGGCTCCCACTCGTCACGACGTGATGGGTCTTCGATTGGAAGAAGTGTTGAGCAACAAGGGCAACAAGACGTGTGCCGATTGTCCGACCAAGAAACCGCTTTGGGCGTCTTATTTGCGATCTCGGAAACAAGGAGATGGAGATGGTGATTTGGACGACAGTAGTGTGCGAAGTACCAGTTCTCGTCGTACTACTACTTCTGCTAGTAGTAGTGGCAATAATGAAATGAAAGGTGTGGATATCGAAGGCACGTTGGCCGTGTTGGTGTGCAACGATTGTGCCCAACATCATCATTTTGAATTGGGCAAGAAGCGATGCATGATCAAGTATTTGAAATACAGTCATGAATTGACTCCGGTGGATTTGGATATTTTGGAGAATAGTGGGAATGCGTTGGTCAACAAGTACTACGAAGCCTTTTTGACAAAGGAGGCGTTTGACAAGGAAGCTATCGAAAAAGATTTGCCTACAGAAACCGAGCGTCGCGGCAAATTCATCAAGAACAAGTACAAGAAAACAAAATATCGAGATCATGCCGCATTGGCCAAGCTCATTCCCAAATTGCAACGCAAACGACAAATTAGAGAAATGATTCTCGAGAATGCGGCGGCTCCACATCTCACCACACAGCAGTCTTTTGACAGCCAAGACAACGACAATAAAGACTCACCCGAAGCTACCATTTTTCGTCGTACTCAAACCATGAATGACGCCGAAAACATCAAGGCAGTGGGTGAAAAGGAAAAGGCCGCATTGGAAGGAGCTCAAGCTGTTGTGGAAGACGGCGACACGTCCATTTTGACCGTCCTGCGTCGCTGCAAGACCGATGCTCAAAACGCCGCAAAAAAAGTACAACTATCGGCCACGGAACGGCGGCAACGAGCACTCGCCGCACGTCGTGCCGTACGTCGTCGTAGTTCCTTTTCGGATCCGTCCGATCTGTTACAACAACTCAAGGATGACAACGACAACAACAACAACAACAGCACTGTTAGTAGCGCCAAAGCAAAAGCACCCCGCAAGGCACGACGTCGTCGCAGTTCCTTTGGCGATTCTCCCACGTCTCCCTTTTTGGGAGATTTTGGCAATACGAACAATGCGTTGTCCTTCTTGTCACGCAGTGTCAGCACCGGTGCTGCCAACCAACCCAAAGACAAAACAACAACAGAAGCAACCTCTCGTCGCTGCATTTCCTTTGGAGAACAGCAAGATCCAAAACCACAAAAACCACAATCACCTCCTCCTAAAAAGAGCCTCGATCTGGCCAATTTGAGGAAACGCATGGAAAACGTCAAAACGTTGCTCGATCAATCTACCGAAGAAGTCAATGCCAAATTGGGAATCCACAATAACAATAACAGTGGCGACAATGGGAACGATGGCGACGAATGCAATGATGATGCGCCTACTAATCGTCGTCGCAGTTCCCTTTCGGATCTCAAATCCTTCGATCTCGATTTGTCGTCGTCGCAAACATTGCCCCGACCACCCAAAGGCATTGGGCGCAGTCGCAGCACCGGAAAAGCCAATTTGAACAAGAGTCTCGACTTGTCGGAAACATTGGTACAGCCACCCAAAGGTATTGGTCGCAGTCGCAGTACTGGCGCCAAAGCCAGTACTTTGCACAAGAGTTGCAGTGGGTTGGATGATATCACTGCTGCCTCGAGTTCTTTACTGCCCGTCAATCCCAGTCGCAGCAAATCGCCCAAATTGGCACGCATCACTCGCAGTCGCAGCAATTCCGAAGACAATCCCATTATGCGTTCCAAATCGCGGGATCGCAGCAATGACTCGACCAGAATTCGATCTACTCGAGATCGCAGCAACGACTCCACTAGAATGCGATCGGATCGCAGCAAGTCTCCGAAACAACGCGACAATGAACTCCGACGCGACCGTAGTAAATCCACAAAGGGCGATGAACGCACTCGCAGCAAATCTCCCAACACTCGCTCCCGCAGCAAGTCTCCCAATGGCGATGAACGCTCCCGCAGCAAATCTCCCATGGGCACCCCTTCTGCCGCCGCCAAGAGCCTGTTGGACGATTCCGACACGAGTGTGGACGCGAAACACTTGAAATTTCCCGCCAAATTAAGCAGCAGCAGCCGCGGCAGATCCTCCGGCGAAGAACGAAACAAAAAGGACCTGTCGAAATCAACGTCGGCACTCTGGAGCAGCCGCAGCAAATCTCCCAAAAAGCAGGATTTGTCCGCTTCATCCTCGGCACTACTACAGATGCCCAACAACCCCAGTCGATCACGGGGCAAGGAGGAAAAGCTTCGTGCGAGTAGTAGTCGAAGCAAGTCTCCTGCAACCAAGGATGCCTCATTGCGAGGATCAGCGAGCAGAAGTCGATCTCCCAAAAAAGCCAATCGCCGTCGAAGTTCGTTGAGTGACCTCAACTTATTGCAGAGCAGCAAGACAAAAGACGGTCCTTCCGAAAAGCAAATGCTTCGTATGCACATGAGTTCTGTTCTCGATGTTGGGAAGGCCGATTTTTAGTACGTAGGTCAGAGCTTTCGAGGCAGATCTGCATGATCCAATGAAGATCCGTTTCAAGCGAACGAAACAGAGGAGGGCCAGATACCAAAGGGACGCATTTTTGACAACATACACTATGCTACTTGCGACCATAGAGCAAGGAGTCAAATCAGATTCATACACAAATATGTCCGAACATTGTATCAATTCTCTTCATCTCTCCATTAGCAACTTGTGCGTAGCTATCTAGCTGGCAGACCCAGAGCGCAATCGAGGTGGTGCGACCCTTATGCCCTCAGGAGGTACCACATCATGGAAAGGGGGTTTAGAGTACTGGTAGGCGGATTATCTATGGAAGCCAATGAGGACCAGGCTTTTAAGGAAAGAAGAGTCAAAATTCAGGACTAGCTACATGTAGGTTCCATAGGATCAGGGGCGATAAATGGAGGACATGGATGGGGGCCAAATGGTTTGGCTTTGGGGGGTCCACGGAGACATCATACGTCACATTCCACCGGAAACAAACCTAGAATCTTCCTCCTAAGGGTTGGCGTAGAAACATTCTTTTCTCTCCAAGCCCTAGCTACCGCAGGACATCATGGCATAGCCAAGTCTCTGGCTAGCTAGCTAGCTACACCGCCATTCCCACGAAGGCACCACAGGCAAATCCCAGACCAGCTAGTTTTTCTTTTTGCAGAGTCTCCCGAAACCCCTTGCGCAACTTATTGGCTTCCATGAGGCATCGATCCTTGACATTTTTGGCGGATTGGACTTGATCTTCCAGAAAGTCAGGCATGTTGTCCAGAACTCCAGAGACGGACAGGACTTCGGTGCTGATTGATATATTGCGTATGTGTGTGGAGAGCGAGAGCGTATAGTGATAGAAACAATCAATGAGTGGACTGTCACTTCAAAAATCCAGGTCACAACCCAGAATATCAACCGTGAAAGTGATGCAATCCATCCGAGCACTCACGCAATAAAGGCAGCTCCCGCCACTTTTGCCGCACTGACAAAAGTCTTGAGAGCTACACGAGACGTGACAAATCCAGCCCCCGCCGATGTTGCCACCTTGGCTCCACTGGGCAATTCATCAAACTTTTCTCGCAACGCCTGTAGGGGTCCCCTTCGGTCGATGTCTTCTTCGGAGTTGTATTGACCCTTGACAGTGGTAAGCAATAAGAGGCAGAAAATCCAGAAGATAACTCGTCTTGGTTGGATCATCTTGAGATCTGGAAAGGGTGGTTTGAGTGGTGGTGGAATCTCAATGGAGCCGTTGTAGCGGTCGTCAGATTGTCATGGGTTGGCTTCCACGAAACAAACATCTTGCTTGATGGCTCCTGCTGCAAGATGACAAAATTGTGAGACGATGCCGTCTGTCATCTGTCCACAATGATGTCTTCCACGTGTCGATCAGTTACTGGTATGGTACCGGGATCGCAAGCTGGACTAGCTAGCTAGTCTAGGTACCGGTACCATACCACCACAAAAGAAATGCTACGGCCATGCTGCCATGCATGCTACCCACCGGCACCCAGTTGTCGGTTCGTAGAGGGGTGTCGCATTGATTTCCGGACGAACCCGAGGGTGTTTGTACGCCACCGTACATCAAGATTTCTAGCTAGCTACTAGTGTTTGAGGTCATGATAATTTGAGACTGGCCTCATTCGAATCTCACTGAATGAAACCTTCAGAGGCCCCCGAGGACTCCCAGCATAGCTACCGGTACTGTACCGGCAGCTAGCCAGCTCGTAAAGGGGCGTCGTGGACACTTTGAATGAGGAATTGATGCAATCTTTTGCTTGCCTATCTAGCAGTGTTTCGGTCTCTCAAATTTATCAGCAATGAACTATGTCCTCGGAAGGGAAAGACTAAAGGACTGGAAACTGAACCATCTCCTAGACTGGAAATGCCGACACAGCCAATGAGGTGCAGCCAGTCGTGCAAAAACACCCAACAGAATGCATTCCCTTCCTTCCAAAGCAAGAAATTGCATCCATCAAGACAGGGGGCAAAGTGTATTGGAACTGTCACAGGGTACAATGTTTGTATTCCAGCACCCAGCCAAGCCAAACCCACCCCCAATTCCGGCACCTGAGTGTGCTTCAAACGATGCCGTTCCAGTGTCCACCGTAAACGCCAAGGAAAATCCTCCACCCGAAATCAAATTGATATCGATTAAATCCATCATGAAAGTATCTTGTGTGACAATAGTCTCGTATTCGCCACGTGGGAATTCAATGAAACCAAGCAACACACCCGTATGGACATGAAGGGAAGGCCCTGCTCCAACGCAAAACCTTTCAAATCTGAATACCAGGTTGACTCCCCAGATGATTGTAGAAAACGAAAACTTGATCCCAGCGGAAATCTCAAATGTGAATCCATAGAAGAACAGCAGACGGTTTGTGTCTTGTAGCGATCGACGGTTTTCGCGCGAGCAACGATTCTGGATCCCAGAGATGTCGAGAGGATTTCTCTCCATTGCTCGTCGAATCCCAGTGGATACTCTGGATAAATCACCTGGGTGGATTCTTCCCTCGTCAGGTCCATTCCTTTGTCCCGAAGTAGAGTAGTCTACCATTGAAAACTGATTCAGGGTCTTTACCGTAGATCCCGGCCTCCTCCAAGATGAGCTTCGAGTACGCTTCGAGTTCTCCATTGGGGAACGCTTCGGAAATGGCACTTTGGAAACAAGTCAAAGGAACGCAAACCTTTCGACCTAGCGAAAGAGCACAATCGAGGCCATTCCTGCAGGGATTTCGTCGGCCACAAGTATCACCCATTTCACCGCCGTGGTGGTTGTCATTGTCGTCGTTGTTGCTTTCGTACTGATCCAACACTTGGTTCAAGATCCCTTGGCCATGGACCAATAGGATCTGTCTGCCCCCCAAAAGCAACGGAAGGAGAATGAATTGCTGTATTGGTAGGAGTAAGCGCATGTTGTAGAGTCAACTTGGTAGTGTCCACCACGTGTCGCCGGGTTCAGATTCGATTCACACAATGATTACATGGAATCAATTACATGTAATACTGGTAGTTGCTTTTTGACAACAACGCAAGGCCTATGGACGACCCCGAATACAGCCGTACCGCAACTTCCCTACGCTCTAGATACCGGTACCCCCGTATCATCATTCTATTCTCTTCAATGCTGTATGCAGATACGGCTGTACTGCTCGCCAAAGACAGACCGACTCGGTGGGTTGAAAGTTGAAAGTCACTTTTGCGAAAGATGTTTTGTTCTTCCTGTGAGCTTGGTGCTTCCACGGTCATCTCCGGCGCTGCTTTTCCACGTTACGAGGAAAACGAATGTGCAGCTGAAAAAGCAAGCAGGAAACACTGTAGTTGGAGCTCTATCCACTCTCGTTGGTATCGAGCGAAGGTGTCTTGCGCAACCTTTGAAAGTTTGGCGGAATCGAAAGCAGTGCCAGCCAAAAGCCCCCCCCCAACAGTCGACATGAGTTGGTTTTTGGACTCCGAGATCTGATCTTCTTGCTCGAGAACACGGATTGATTCGAATCGGAAAAGGGTGGCGTTGTGACGATTAAACTCCTTAAAGAAGTTACACAACTCCAACTAGCTGTACGATCTATGCATAGTGTCGTTGTTGGCTCCAGTGGATGGAACCGGTCCGTGACCACATGCTTACTACGTTCGTTGGGGTGAAATGCCAAGAAGCCATTATCTCCGCCGCCCTCCTCGGGTCTTGCTAGCAAATAGGGCTTCACAGTACCTCTTGTGTGCTCTGTTGGACCCTCACATGTGGAGCTACTCGTAGTTGATCCAAGAACGACAACGTCTAGGCAAACACATCGATCACGCAATGACGGAGCACATGTACGTTTCCCTACGTCCATCGTCATCCAATGTCCTTCTCAGCCGTCAAAACAAAACACGATCTCCGATCTCCATGATGGGGAAGTCATGGCAACGCCCGCCAGCTTCTGTTGCAGGAAAATCACTTCACCCTTTTTGTTTTGCTAGAGTCTGCAAGGCCTGGTATTCCCTGAGCACTCACATCAGTTATCCGCATGATGATGAAAAAAGGCAAACTCTAGTTGGTAGATACTCTTCCATCAATCAAGTCTTCTTCAATTGACTATTCTTCACAATTGTCACAGCAGCTGCATTCGACAACACAGTCCACAATGAGAGTAGCCAGCTGTTGGAATCGTAACCCACGTTCTGAACAGACTTCAGCTGAGATGCTACCGGTCAATTGATTCCCTTGAATTTGCAGAGTTTCTGAAGAGAGGAACAATGAGGAACAATAGGTTAGAACAGCAGCCACACAAACAGGAGTATATGCCATGAACTGAATGACGCACCGAGTGCGGTCAAGTAGTCAAAAGCCTCAGGCACTGGCCCAGTGAAGCGATTATCATTCAAGAAGAGGTCCATCAAAGAGGCATTGAGGTTGCGGAAAGCTTCAGGGATCGTTCCAGAGAAGGAAGCTCCTTCCAAATTCATCTCGGACAAATCAGTCAATGCAAACATCTCATTGGGAATTGTGCCACGAAGCTGAGTGAATCCAAGCTGCAACACATGCAAGTCAGTAAGCTGGCTAATCAAAGGACTGATGGTACCATTGATTCCAGTATTCTCTCGAATTGATACGGTATTTAGCCTGCTCAAGGAGTAAAGCTCGTTGGGAACGGACCCTGCGAAGTTGTTGCCCTGAATCTCAAAGTTGGCTGCGGAAATGGAAGACATGAATGAGCAACTACACCCCAATAAAACTGAATTGATCATCCTCATCAACTCACTCAGCCGCGTAAGGCTTCCAATATCCGCAGGGATGGTTCCTGTGAGTGAATTGTAGTCCAGTTGTAGATCACTGAGGATAGAAGCCCCAGCAATAGCCGACGGGATGGTCCCAGAAAACTGATTTCCTCCAAGAGCAAGTAGTCCGAGCTGTGAGTTGCTGCGGAGAATTCCAGTAGGAATAGTTCCCTGCAGTCGATTATCCGGCATGGCAAATGTCTCAAGTGAGGTGAGCCCCCCAAAAGCAACATCCAAATCTCCACGCAAAGAGTTCTCAGGGGCAAGGAATCTCCGCAGTCCGGGTAGGAGTGAAAGCTCCGGGGGTAAGACCCCAATCAAATCATTTCCTGTTGCAGCTGCAAACAATTTGAGTTAGTTTTCATCAGCAACAATTAATACATTGACATAGACGCAAAGACCAGTCAATGACCACTTACGAAAACTCATTTGAGACACTATGCCATCAACGTCACAACTGATACTGAACCACTCGCATTCGTTTGTGTCCGACAACCAAGGTGTGTCACCACAGCTTGGTGAGTTCTTCCCACAAAGCCTCCAATTGTCACCTCCTGTAGCAAAGTAAAAGGTTGCCAAAGCAAACATCTGAAGCACCCTTGAGTCACTCATTAGTGAAGAATCCGCATCTGCCAACCAAAGGGCAGCCTTATATTGAGCAGAGCTCTTGTCCTGCAGTACCTCAGTTGATGTGATTGCATTGGCTCCTAAGAAGGCCAACAAATCACTAAACGAGGCTGCAGTGGGTGCAGCAGATGGAGATGGAGTAGAAGTTATGGGATCTCCCCCACATTCGGAAACTTGTACAGGGACGCACGTGAAAACAGAGTTCCGTCGGTCTTCCTCAGTTGCAAACCAAGCAGCAAACGCACAGTCAAGGTAGTCATCTTCCTCTGTTGCAAAGTTGTGCACCAAATAGCTCCCATCGGTAACAAAGGGATCACCCGTTTGCTCCAAAAGGACGGCACCATTGCCTCTGAAGTCATTGTCAATCAAGCAAAGACCATCAAGCTGTATTTTTGCAGCCTGGACAAGGATGGCGTAGCCAATGGGCTGGTAAGAGCCAACAAGCCAACAAATTATGTGTGAGCTTGCAATCACGACACAATCAAGAAACAGTCATGGCCGTGCATACAGTTAAGTCTTGATTGCCAAAGAGATTGTTTGAAAATGTGCAGTCTTGAATGGTTACAATGTGGTCTGGCCCTTTGATGGTAAGAATACCAAACTCAACCCCCAGCTTCCGTTCCACTTGTTGCAATCTCTGCACAGTAACAAGCAAGTAAGCCTTTGCCAATTTTGGTCTCTATCGCATCATCTCATTTGCACTTACACTGAACACACAGTCTTTGATCAATGACTCAAACACACTTGATTGTAGCCCACGTTGCTGGCCTTCTAGCCTCCTTGGTAGAGTGCCACTCTTGTACAGGTTGATATAGTCAAGGACTGCATCCCATGGGTTGGGAACAGTTTTTTCCAAACGCCTGCTCAGGTCAAGAGTTGCATCATAATTCATAACAAAGGTGCCAAAGTTTCCAGAGTCCTATATGGAAAGGCAGAATCAACAAGGGATCGTGTAAGCAAGCAATAGTAATACAGTACGTACAGACCACTAGGTAACAGCGTACCCGAAAGACGCAGTCGTAGAAATCGATTTGGCCGGAAGTTGCCATAAACACGGCATACTGCACTTGCCCCACAAACGTAAAACCTCTGACTTGAACATTGTCAACAGTAAGATCCTGCCGAAAGAATACAGGGACAGCGATCAAGCCAAAATCTCCTCCCTGTATAATGCAAGTGTTCTCAGGACGCCCATCTTCGCCACATAAAAATTCAGTGTTGGACCTTGGCACCAAGGGGGACTGGCCATTATCAATCCCAACACCAGGGACCAAAAACCCAACGTCCACCACTGTTCCAGGGCACATCACGAATCTCTTTTGCTCAAAAAGCTTCTCATCATCGCTTATCGCAAAGAAAATTGCATCCAAACTCGTGTAACAGTCTACTGTTGGACGACTGGTTGGCAAAGGGGTTGGGGTAGATCCTATCGGTACCATCACAGGTGGAGTTGTTGGAACCACCATAATTGCTTCACCTCTACATTCCGCTACTTGTACAGGGACGCACGTGAAAACAGAGTTCAGCTGGTCTTCCTCAGTTGCAAACCAAGCAGCAAAACCACAGTCAAGGTCATCATCTTCCTCTGTTGCAAAGTTGCGTGTCAGATAGCTTCCATCACTAACAAATGGATCATCCGTTTCTTCCAGGAGGACAGCACCATTGCCTCTGAAGTCATTGTCAATCAAGCAAAGACCATCAAGCTGTATTTTTGCACCCTGGACAAGGATGGCATAGCCAATGGGCTGGGAGGAGCCAACAAGCAAACAAAGTGTGAGCAAGCAACCACGGTGCAAGAATCAAGAAAACAGCCTGGTCATACAGTTAAAGTGGCATCTCCGAATGTGTTGTTAGAAAATGTGCAGTTAGCCATAGTGACATCATGATCAGGTCCCTTGATGGTAAGAATCCCAAACTCAACCCCCAGCTTCCGTTCCACTTGTTGCAGGTTCTATAAAAGCAAACAAGCAGGTAAGCCATTTTAATCGCAGCTGATGGAGCTTGCTTGGGGGGAACTTACCCTAAAGATACAGTCTTTGAACAAGGACCTCGAAACCATTTCTTGAAGCCCACGTTGAAGGTCATGCTGTGAACCATCTTCAAGCCTCCTTGGTGGGTTATTATTGGTCTTGTACTCATCGATAAAGTCGATGACAGCATCCCAAGGGTTGCTAAAAACCTCATCCAATCGCCTGCCCAGGTCAAGAGATGCATCATAATTCATAACAATGGTGCCAAAGTTGCCAGTGTCCTACAAAGGCAGGCAGAATGAACAATGAAAAAAAGTAAGCACAGTGCCATTGATCTGCTGCAAAATCTCTTCCCAGGCAGCTTAGCTTACCCGGAAGATGCAGTCATTGAAAGTAATATCACCTGCAGTAGCCATAAACACGGCATACTGAATTTGTCCCATAAAAGTAAACCCACTGACGTTAACATTGTTGACTGCAAGATCCTGCCGAAAGAACACAGGGACACCAATCAAACCAAAATCGCCCCCTCGTATGATGCAGTTGTTCTCCGACTTTCCATCTTCACCACACAAAAATTCAGTGTTGGACCTTGGTATCAAGGGCGTCTGTCCCTGATCAATCCCAACGCCTGGAACCAGAAATCCGACATCCACAATAGTTCCAGGGCACACTACATATCTTTTTTGTTGAAAGAGTATGTCATCGTCACTGATCAAGTAGAAAATGGCATCCAAATTGTTGTAGCAACCACCCTCACTCGAAGGAGGAAAGGAAGGCACAGTTGGTGTCTCCGTCGGCGAGTCGGTTGATTCTACTGTGGTCACGACAGGTGCGATGCTAGGAGGGCTCGTTGTCGGTGCGCTCACACATTCCAGGACGCTGCCGGCAGCACAGCCAAACGTCTCGGTCGAACCATCGTAAAGGCATCTCACCAGACTTCCTCCAGTACAAAAATAATAGCATTCACATGGGACCCGAATTGCTTCAATGTATTGGGTGCATTCATCTGATACCGGTATATTTGCCGCGATATCACTCCTAGGCACGGAGCATGTGAATTCTTGAACAGCTGGAGGTGTTGGCATCTTCGAGGGGCTACGTGTTGGGATCTTGGTCGGATTTCTTGTTGTGGGCGCGGTCGTTGGAATACTAGTGGGGATTCTCGTAGGATTGGGTGTTGGGATGCTTGTAGGGTTGGGTGTGGGGATTCTTGTAGGATTGGGTGTAGGGATTCTTGTAGGATTGATGGTTGGATTGTTCGTCTGCGATGATATCCTCATAGATGGCGCCTCGGTTGTTGCTGTGGACGGGGAGGAAGAAGGGGCTGGTGTTGGGACCGTAGAGAGTGTTGTGGGGATGGGAGACAAAACTGGTGATGTTGTCGACTCTGGGGATTCTGCGACTACTGGGGCCAACGAGGATGCACTTTCCACGGAAGCATTCGCATCGCCGCCACTGCTGTCGCCACTTCCACCCCCCAAAACTAGAACCAAGACGACAATTACAATGGCAAAGAAGCAGCACAATCCGACGACAAGCCGCACCATGTACTGATTCCTCCATAAATCGGAAAACCCTCCAGGTTCCTCGGCATCATTTCCTTTGTTAGCGGCATCCGCTTCAGGTACGGCAACAGCGGGGGCGATTGGAAGGATGGTTGGATCTCGTACCAACGTGGCCACTGCCATGAAATCTGCGGCGCTCTGAATGGGAGTTTCTTCCTCTACTTCCACAGGTTCTGGTGCTGACGAAGCAGCACTTGTCGTAGTGCTCCGGAAAGGAGCTGGATTGGATTGACGGAATGCCCCTGCTTCGGCATCTCCTGCCTTGTGACTGTTGCTAGTAGCATTGCTGTCAACAACAGGAGGAGCGTCGGTGTCTTTTTTCCTCCGACCAAGACCAGCAACCCTTTTTGCCCCCACCGGGCTATCCGGAGTGGCATCGTCTGGTGGCGTAGTGTCATCATTGCTTCCTCGACCAGTGCTTGTCCCAGACGGGTGTGGATCCTCCGTGGGTGCTGTCGCATCGGGCTCATTATTATTCGGCACTCTTTCGCCAGTCTCTTCATGCATACCACTTCTCTTGAAGTTGATCATGGCATCATCCCAGACCGCGCCGCCTGTGGGGTTATTGGGGATCCTGAGAAGAGACGTTCCTTCTTCTTCTTCTTTTGCGTCTTCCTGTGATGTGGTTGTTGGCTGGGCAGGCGGCTCTGTGGCAGCGCTGGCTCTTTCGCCGAGCTCTTCATCGTTCATGCCACTCCTCTTAAAGTTGATCATCGTATCACCCCAGACGGCACCGCCAGTTGGGCGGTCGGGGATCCTGAGTTGAGATGTTTCTTCTTGTGATGCCGACGCTTCCTCTTCGTCCGTGCCGGCAGGAGGGTCTGCGGGAGGATCCATCCCTCTACTAGTATTAGGTCGAGACGACATGGTGTTCTATCAATAGCTGGCTCTCTTCTTGGAAGTCTTGCTATGCGGTGAATGAATTTGGACACCTCTTCTCGACTGCTGCCACTGGCTGGTTCTTTGACAGCAGGCTTCGCGTGGATCTTTTGCGCTTCTTCGGAAACTGACGACATCCGTAGCCACGTCTCACTGGCATTCCCGACTGGCGAGGTCCGGATGGACTTCAATCGTGCTGCAGAGAATTAAGTGCAGCTTTGGTAGTCAGGTAGATTCGGTAAAACATTTTCATTCAAATATTTTTAGCAAAATACCTCTTTGGATTATTACTTCAACTACCTGGTTCGATTGTCTTCCAATGCTGAAGAGAAATCAATCACCAACCAAAAGTAAGTTGGAGAGAAGGGCACGGCACTCCTCCATCGGCAAGGACTCAAAGCACATGCTACTCTTCCTGTTGTTGCTACATCAAGCTAGCTAGTACTCCTGCATCTGAATTTTGATCCTGTGGCGGACTGGATGGATTGATCGATCAGGAGACAGGTGCTCTTTTTTGGTTTTGTGGAACGGTGGACTCGACGCATTCTCTTGGCTGGTACAGCATTGTTGGTGCACATCCCTTCATTTTCTCTACCATGACACCCACAAACAGACCAAAACAGCGCACAGCACGCCGCAGTGATGTCGGCTTTCTTCCCGATCCATCACCTGGAGGAGCACGCGGATATGATGCAGCACACCGCACTACTGCCGTGGCATTGCGTACGATTGGAGAAGACGACGACAATATTGTGGAAGAAGAAGACAATCCAGCAGTTGCCAACCTTCGACAGGACCATCTTCTTCTTGCCTCAATGACTTCCTACCAAGCCAGTAACCCATACAACCTTGCCTGGAGACACGTCTTTTGGAATCATCCCTATCCCTTTGGCGTCAAAGGTACTAGCCGCAGCCGCATCATTGACTGGGACGAGAAATCCATTTTTGTAGAGACAGTCAAACGAAACTATGCCTACATTGGTTCGAGAGCTCCACAGGTGGGGCCCTACGAAAAGTATACTTTGACGGCTGCCATTCGTGGTGGAGTCCATGGTAAATGCTGGTTTGATTTTTTCCTCCGTACTGGAGCACCATCAGTCCTGAAAACCTATGACTTTCTCGATGCAGTCATCAATGGTCCTGGTGGCATTGGTGAAGGAGGAGATGACAACACTCACACTTTCATTTGCGACCATCGCTCTGTTCATCACAATCCCTTGATTGTCATGGTGATCAACAACAAGCGGCATCGCCATCTCTTTCGAGCACCATACTATCACTGTGATGGACCGATCGAATACTTTTTCAATCATGTGCAACAGCTACTAGCATTGGAGCTCCACAATATTCAAACTGGACAGCAGCTTGAGCAAGCCATTGGTGGAATCTGCCAGCGTGCCGCAGGATTCTCGGACAACTATTTTGCCCACTGTGGCTATGCTCCATAATAACTACTACTACTAGATAATAGATTTGTTTCTTTTCCTTAGTCTTTTGTATGAAGCTACAGTTCGACTCGACTCGGTTTTGTTTATGGGAAGCTTTGCTAGGCGACGATGCGGTCACGATGACAGTGATCAAAAGTGGCTTTGTTCTACTCGGAGTACCCTGAGGCTAGTGCTGCCTGGTTGTGCGGTTGTTTGCTTGGTGTGGGGCCTCAATTTTTGGTATTCTGTTTTGCGAGGATAGATGGTCTCTGATGTTTCTGATGTTGTGGTGTGTGGGCGCCTTGGTCGGGGTTGATTGTTCAGATTGCTTGCCAGTGTAGCCTAAAGAAGGAAGAGACAGGTCATCAACAACAGCATCATCAGAACTGCCAATCAGGATTGCCATGTTTTCCTTGCCAGGATTAAATCTGGGTTCTGGCGTACGAACTCTGCGCCTTCCAAGTTCAATGGAGCCAGCATCAGAAAGGAGATCCAACGACGAAGATGATGTCATGGATGCCAAGCTCATGTTATCGTCGCTGTCTTCAAAGTGGTCATCACAAGAATGCAGATTTGCACTTCGCGCGGGATGACTGGACAGAGGAGCCACGTTCTCTCGCCAAACTTGACCGTACAAATTGACAAGTTCAGCTGTGCTTTCCACTGCTTCTGGTCCAAAGGAGGATGGCTTCGAGCTTGTAGGAGCCTGGATCCAATTACCATCGGGCATCATTTGGTTGGAGGAAAGGCTGTCCTGCAATCAAATGAATGAGAAGAAACGAAGCAGAATTCTGTTTCGTCGTGTGAGTCACGCTTGAAAAAGGCACCAGTACATTGTACCGGTAAAGTTCGTCCTAGCCAGTCACAGATGATCCACTATTTTTGTGTTACGATGTATACGAGCTGAAAACAAGGTGCTCGAGTACACATCACCAAAGTTGGCTTTTTGTGAAGTCTTTGTCACTCAGCCATTCAGTAAGTGCTACATCTACGAAGTACCGTATGTCGTTTTAAAAGATAAGCTGACTGGTACACCGCCGGTACATGTAGCCAGAGCACCAGCTCCACTTCACTTCAGCATCCGTACCGATACATGTACGGCGAGTTTGGGTTGAATGGCCAAAGCTGCACGGGGCGTACCGGTACTTCCAGGTAGAAGTTGCAACCAACGATGACACGGTTTGACCACATCGCTCCTACATGTATCTACTTGGGAGAATCAATTCTACTGTTCAATGCTTGCTTGCGCGCTGTTGTTGGATATGTTGGCAGAGCTTGGCAAGATCCAGTTGTTGTCGGATCTCGGGTTTGTAGCGTTCGTGAAGTTGCTTCCACAGGCGAGAATGGCTTCCATATCCAGTGCGGTGATGAAAGCCGCCGTAACTAGATTTTTCAAGTATTCTTCCATGCACTCAACGTACTCTCTGTCGCTCGTCCTTCCCGACAAACAGACATGCTTGACATGATCCTGTAGCGGCATGTAGTGACAACCACTAGAAATCTCTCACGCCCGAATCGCAGCCATGGACGGTGACGTTTGCCTCTAAATCAAACTTCACGAGGAAGTAAAACATGTCTGAGCAATTTTTATCATTCCATTTGTGATCTCCTCGCAGTTGCAAACAATCCTCTCCTCCAGCATCGTTGGGCTCACCATCGTACCACCGGCCTTCGTCGACCCCAACCTCGCCATTTACCCAAGTCCCATTTCCGTCCGGTTCAATAGAGCCCTCTGGTTGGAACCCTCCGATCCAAGCATCTCCAAAATCGTGCCCATCTAAATAATCGTGCTCTTGAGTCGACGTAATGGTTGCTAGGTGGCCAGGAACACCACAGAGAGTAGAATTATTCGCGAGCTCGTTTGCAAGGTTCCAATCCAACATTACTTCCTCCAATCGAAAGCCATGCTGTCCGAAGGTGACAACACCCAAACCCTCGCACGGTACGCTGGCATTCAGGTCAACTTCCTCGATGCATGTCCTCCTTTTCGAACACTGTTCGTCTGTCCAGTCGCCGCCGTTTGAGAAAACCAAGCAGTTCTCATGGTTGTCGTATACTCGTCCACCATTGTTAGGGTCTCCGTCTTGCCATTTCTCGTATCCTTCATAAATGAATCCTTCGTTGGTATGTCCAGTTCATAGACGGTTCATCCGATCCCGCAGGATGATACCCACCAATCCACCGTTGGCCACCAAATTCGCGGTCCTGGAATGCGTTTTCTTCCTCCAATGAAATCGTCGCCAAGTGGGCATACAGACCGCACAGTGTGGAATATCCTCCAAACACTCTTGCACCCTCCCAATCGACCTGGCAGTGGCGAAGACGGTAAGCACTATCAACATATTCGATCCAAGGAGCATAATCTTCTTCGGGCAGTTCGGTCAACCTTGTGCTGCATGTATTGCAGCTTCCCCGATGATCGGACACCGTAACTGTTACAGTTCGAATTCCAAATACCATAAGGGCCCGGCGGATGCGCTTCAAAGAAGAGCGTGTCGTTGTCTGCGTCATATGACTGATGAGCAAACCTCAAAGGGTCGATTGTCGTTGCCACGGAGCAGTCCGAAGCAACGGGCAATGCGTCGACAATATCTTGACATACCGCGATGGGTTGGGTGTTATTGACGCCACAGAAGAGAATCTTCCCGTTATCCAGATGCGAGAGTTTATTTGCAGCCACAAGAGGACCCAAAAAGTCTTCCAAGCAGACAAATTCATCGAAACTGGAGTTATCAGGGGCAACAGCAGTGTAGTTCTCCACTGCTGGTTGAATCAAAAAGGTGCATTCGTCAACCTTGTCAAACCTTTCAGGGACTCCAGTATCACAGCCATCAACTTTCACAGTTGTCTTTATGTCGATTTCTTCGAGGAAGATGTCACTTCTTGTACTGAGGATGACAATGGGCAGAAGTAGGGCCCAAGAGGTTCCACGGAAAACTGCAAGTCTCCACCGTTCGGATCGAAAGAGCCATTGTCAGGACGCTCGGGTGGAATTTGCTCTGCATAGCAATCGATTCTTGTCGTAGTAGACCGAAGCGTTACCTTGTCCTTGCAGATAGCTTGGGGTGGTGGATATGGAGTTGAGGGCGGTGTCGGCTCTAAAACGGGGGCTGGGGTGGGAGGTAGAGTTGGCGACGGGGAATGTGACGGAGAGGTAGGTGGGGTGCGACTTGGTGTGATGACGAGTTGTTGTTCCTAGGTTGGATCCTCGGCAGTGCTTCCTATGAGAGGGTGAGGGAGTCAGATCCATTGTTGCAAGGTCAGCGACAGAATTGTTGTCTTGGCTTCTGGTAGCAATGACGACAGCAGCAATAGTCCCAGCGCCAGCTAGTAGAAGAACAATGATGGCCAAGGCAACACACATGAGACTCTTTCCCGGTCTAACGGTACGTTGCTCAGACCTCTAGCATTGAGTATTCCATGTCTTCCCTTCTCACAAACTCTCCCACTGAAGTAGCTGTGGCAGAGAGAGTCGGAGGCAAAGAGCACCTACACGAATGCTGCCGGTGTCGAACGGAGATTACTGCCGATTACCGCGCATCGCTCCCGATACGATCTCCGTTCCACAGCTACCGTAACAGTCCATGGGAAGACAATAAATAGCACAGCTCCAGTCGCAACAACAGAAACATCTGGAACGACGGTCTCTGGTGACGGTTCTCCATTATCGAACGACAGAACCAGCAACAACCAAAGAACTGCCGCAGAGAAAGTTTTCTGATGCTGCTTCCTTTGGAGTGCACAATGCTGGGCAGCTCCCAGATCAACAGAATTGGCATGCATCAAATCAGCCATATCATCCTCTATTGCAGTAGCCTGCACCAACCCTTCACTTAAATCAGCCATATCATCCTCTATGGCAGTAGCCTGTACCAACCCTTCACTTGTCAATAGCACCAACACTTGGAATTTTCTGGATCACTGTCAGTGCCCGGATGAGCACCAAGAAGGCCATATTTCAAGTGGGGGTTTCGCTGCATCAGTCCTCCTGGTGCACCCAGGAACGCACCTGGCTGAGCTTGTGTGCGCATATGGGTTGTTTGGAAAAAACAGTTTGTGGGACAGCCTCTGCTTCTCTGGAGGCCTGTATCATATGGCCTGGTACACTATCTTGTTGTTCCCTCACAGGAGCTGCATTTTGTGCATTGGACGGCACATCATCATTTGTGTTGGCATTAGCCGCAATGACAAATTTGCCCAGTTTGGCAGTCTTGTTGATTTTCACTGCAAACTGCACGAGGTGGATGCTAGCCATGTTTGTGTTTTCTTGACTGTGATCTTCTTTGGCTTTGAGAGGTTTTGGGGCTGCCAAAGTGGCTTGGCCTGCCGCCATGATTTCTTTTTCGTCTCTGGACTCACTTACTTGTTTCTTGACAAAGATCTTGTTTTGCGACAGCCAAGCAGACTGGCCCTACCAGCCACGATTTTGTTCTTCTGAGTATCCGCATCACCTAGACTATTTCCTCGGCTTGGAATTGAGCCAAACTCTTGCCAATGCTGTCCTACTAGTACATGTAAATGCCAGAGCAGCTCTCCAGTTTTTGGAATTAGGGTCCAAAAGCGGGATTGCGTGGGACCACAGGTGGTATTGATGACACTCGAGCTGCTGATGTCAGGAAGACGAAGATCTGATGATGGATGAAAGAGGACGCTATCAAGCTATCAAGGTTTTAAGAGCTGTTTACCTCGGCAGTCTTGCTGCCAGAGCCCTCAACCCCTTTAATTGTTTTTCCTGCTACGGTGGTCCCTGCAGGTATAAGGGTAGGGTTAGAATACAAATAAGCCAGCAAAAACTAAATAAGTAGCCTAGCTAGGATGGTGCTTTTAAACCAGCTAAAGCTATTTACATGCATCCTAGTAGGGGGGTCTGCTTCTACCAGGAAAAACTCTAAAGCTAGCAAAAGCTATATAACTAGTATTCTAGCTAGCTTGGGGTATACGGTATCTGCTTCTAGCTTGCTATGGGAATCTGCTTCTAGCTAGGGGATCTGCTTCTAGCTAGCTAAGCGCAAGTTAAGCACTAGCTAAGCACTACAGGTATCTGCTTCTAGCTAGCTAGCTAGCTAATAGGGGTATCTGCTTCTACACTGAAACCTTTCTGCCGAGGTTACACAGCTCCGCTGGCTTATTTGATAGTGTCACATCTTTGCCAAGGTACCAGTACACCAGTACAGTATCATAGCGTCTGGTGACGTCTGGTCGAGTTACGCCAGAATGATGGGGAGAGATAATGTTTAAAAAGCCTTCCGATGGGATTTAGTAATCGTACATGTTGGGTTCAAATGGCTTAACGACAGCTTGCTTTTTTCAGCTCTGCTTCTGAGGAGAGGGAAGAAGCAACGCTTCATGCACACTCCTCTGATGTTCGCCAAGTGTTCATCGAACATCCAACCTTTCAACCTCGTCGCTGTAAGTGGTTGGACAAATTACACCAGATTTTCTGTGTCAACTATTAAATAACTTTGCGCAGCCCCTGAAGCAGCTCGCTTCAGAAAATAATGAGGAACTGGTGCTTGCTTGCAAGGGAGCAAAAACTTGCTGGCGCTTGCCTGGGAGGGAGGGACGGAGGCTAAGCATGGACTGTCGTTCTCTAGCTAGACCCTCAGTGCTTTTAGTATACATGTAGTTATTTAGCTTTTAATAAATAGTTTGTACACAGAGAGATGATGTGTTGCACCGTACCCGAGAGCAATGTGCATGATGTGCTTGTTGTTGTTTCCTTTCCTTAGTCTCTTGCTTTTATTTGTTCTTTCAAGCCGCTGGACAACCGGCAAAGCTTTCTGCTTGGTAGAGGGACGAGGACATATTCAGAAGCAACAGATCCTCCTGGGTGACCTCTAGCTCTTCGTCGGTCCTCCTCATGCAAAACGATTCAAAAAAGCTATTCATGGCTTCTATGCACCCCGATTCCAGGTGCCGGTCGGCAAAAACTGCATGAATATGAGCCATGTTGTTGAGGAGGGCCATGACCAACAGGGCACCTCCTTCGTCTCGGCTGCAAAAGTTCAAGAGATCGTTGTCTTCAGCGTCATTATTTTGGAGGTCGTCGTCATTATCATTCGCAGAAGCAGCATTCGACAAGAGACAAGATGCCATGGTGTACATTTGCAGCGCTTTTTGGAGTCTTGGAGTTTGGAATTTGGCGCTTTGAATGGCACGGACGTGATGGCACAGACCGGCATTGTAGAGGACCACGGCGGCCAACGTCAAGTCTTGATGAAAGGTATTCTCTTCTGACTGACCGTCGTTGTCGTCGGAAGAAGAAAACTCAAATGCCAGTGCCCGATTGAAAAAGGCCACGGATCCTTGGTATGCCAACGGGAGCGAGTCATGGGCGGGAGACAACTCGATGCTCCAGACGTTGTGTGTCAACAAAGGTTCTTCTTCTTGGTCGTCGAGATTCATGGCATCATCATCCGCTCCAGGTGGCGCCCAGCGAGGAAGATCAATGATGCCTTGCATAGTGTTCAAGGCAGTGTGAGAATGGACAAGGGATTCATCAAAGGCACCCTTGAGGAGCAAAGAAATTGCATGGTGGTTGCGGCGAGCAACATCTTGGGAAGTCTGCATCTGCATGATGTTATTGATTGCTGTTGTTGCTGTTGGTTAATAAGGTTGCAAACTGATGTTTTTGGTTTTGTGGTTCAGGATTTGTGAACGAAACTGAATTGGTGCCCACCCGAGGCTGGAGCTCAGTAAAGCGCACATGCTTCTTTCTGTTTTCTGAAAAGGTGCCATGAGCCATGTGAGCAACTCAGAGGAAGCATTAGCTGAGCATGTTACAGTACTTCAGTACAGCACTTGGCAATGGTGGTAAGTACTGTAGATACGCACGTGGTACCGGGGCAACTCCATTTAGAAGACACAGACCAAAATGAGTGGTACTTTATCAGGCGACAGAATGCCAGAAGCATTAAATACTGGTACCGATACATTGTACTGCATTTTGAGACTCAGTCGATAAAAGGCGTGTGAGCGTCTGACTCCTCCTGAGAACGCAAATGGTCTCAAGGTTTAGGAGTTAAGTGCCACTGAATTATTCACCAGAACCTCGACAAGCAATGCTGCATGGAAAATTTGCCTTTAATTCCAGGTTCTCGAACGCTACGCTCAGTTCCTTTACATTCAGTCTCTTTCTAGCTAGATCCAAAAGGTTCCAATTTCAAATAGCTTGTTCCGACTTCATCGCACTTTTATGTCCTTATAGCTCCATTCTCTGATTGGACAGTACTCCTTGGCTTACTTCAACCAATGGAATTGAGATAGGAGTGAATGTTGTTTAGGAGAGCCTTTTAGGAGTCACCAATGTAAAAGGACGAATGAAGCTTCGGAATTAATGAACGATCCCGTTTTTGGGCTTGGCCTCTAACCTCTAACTGACCAACCAACTGATGTGTAGTTTCCACCCAGTACCTGGCAACTCTGACAACCTCGATCGATCTATCGAGCTACCGTATCCATACCATGGTACCAGAATGGGTCCTAGTAGCTCTTGAAATAGAAGCAGAAGCTTCTCGCTAGTTCTACCTGGTAGCTAGTTACATTGGCTCCTAGTCTAGTTTTCCTTTTTATTGCAGGCACGTGTACTCCAGTACCTACTTCGTACTCTACCAGATCAGAAACCTCAGCAACATGGAGGGTCGGCTTGGCTTTCCCAATCTACAGCCATCTATTCCAGTTTGGTCGAGAAGCATCATTCCATGGCTGCAGCGGAGCTGGCTTCGTTGTTGCTGGCGTCTCTTTGCAAAGAGTCACACGAAGACCAGATGGCAAAACTGGCTGAGCTTGCTTGTTCAAAACAGCGGGCGTGCGACGCCACTACGTATTGTGGGGACTGGCTAGCACTGGGTAGAGCGAGGGTTTGGTCTTCCTGCCTGTCTTGAAGCGAGGATGTCCTCCCCGAAACAAGCGGGCAGTGCGGTGAAGTCTGCCTCAAATCTCAAAGAATGTGAAGAACCAACCCCCAACCCATACTAAGGCTGGAGAAGCTCGAGACATCTCGCATGGTGGAATGGCTAGGCCTGTCTTCTGTCCGTAATCCCATGGATGCAGAACGTAAGCGTTGCTTTCGTCCTACAGCGGGCAATTATTATGCAGCCAGCATAGCTACGTCATGATTCCAGCCAAGAAAGCACACGAAGGCAGAACCTATGCATCATGGTTGTTACGACAGTCCTAGACCTATCAAAGAACATTTAAAGTATTCTTGTTCTGCTATAGTGATTCTAATTAACCAAAAAGGAAAACTACAAGGAGAAAACTCATTACAGCAATCTTGAGGGAGAGGAATATTTTGTGGAGAGGCCCCACCCTATAGCAATCACCATCTGGCCACCTGGCCACCTTGCAACACAATCTTCACATCCCTGGTTATCGCAAATGACTAGTTCTCCATTTACTCGCAAGAAAGTGCCTTCCACACTTCTATCATCGAACCCAAGAAAGTATACCTTGTCTGCGTGGGAAGAAATGGTGACCAGATGTGCTGATTTTCCTCCACTGCGTGTATAATAGTCAAGCTGTTAGTAAAGGACAAAGCATTTGTCCAGGTGCGAGGCTGATAGAGCTCATAGTAGTGACCATTCACACTCCAATAGTTTTTGTTCTGAGCAGCAACAGTTGGAGTGTTTGATGGTGAGTATTAGAAAAGGGATTTCTCACGAGCGCGACTGAGGGTGGCGATGAAGGACCAGCAGAAGGAACCAGCAAGGGAGACAGAGATGGCTGAGGAAAGAACCTTTGTTTGTGCATTTGTAGGTGCTCAACAGGCATGGCGGATGTGACCCCAATGGGCGGATTCAACAAACATCACAAAAAGGACCTTGGGGACTTGCTGACAGATTTGGTGGGCTGGTTGTAGGGCAACTTGTACTATCAAACATGCCAGTAACTAAAGCATTGGTGTTGGAGATCTTGGGCCCCCATTGGCAAAGATCTTGATTCATGTTTGCTGCACCACTGAACATGTATTCGAAAGACCCGCCCTGTGATACATCCCAACCGGCAAGGTCTGTATTAAAACTGCCGTTATTCAGGAACCTGTAAGGAAGAAGCCAGTAAGTTGAATCCATGTAGAAATATCTTGTGTATCCAACCGTATAAAAGACGTACATTTTTTCAAAGGTAACAACTTTGCTGACATCCCATGTATTCAACCCAGTCCCCTTGAAGTTGCAATTATTGAAGACATGTTGCATGTCCGACACCTTTGAAACATCCCATCCTGACACATCTGGAGAAAGAATTAGTGCATTCCAAAAAGGTTTATCCATGCAGGTTGGCAATTCCCACTCACCTGCATTTGCACAATTTCCGTAGTAGCACATGTAGGTCATTTGCGTTACCTTTGCAGTGTTGAAGCCGGAAAGACCAAAACCTCGAAAGGAAGTTGCCTTTCCATTAAAAGTTAGAAAACAAGGTGATGCAATGCTATGTAAGTTGGTGCCCTGCAAGTTATCACTTACTCCACCAAACATGAATGTAATGTCTGTAGCTGATTCAATAGTCCAACCGGTAAGGTCAGGTCCAAATGCCCAAGCACCTTGGAACCTGAAGGAGGGAAAGACATGTTGGCTGTTGCACTGCTGTTAAAACACCGTGGCGAAGAGAAAGGAACATACGCATTTTGGAAATTTGCAACATTGCTAACATCCCATGAACCCAGCCCAATGCCCCGGAAAACTCTGGCTTGAGAAAATGCAAATGCCATATTGGTTACCTGGCTCGTTGTCCAGCTAGACAAGTCCTCATCAAAGCTTGCACAATTTTGAACCAGCTGAGGTTTTCAAGAAACCAAGTGATGAGTTCGGTTCGAAGTAGCGAAAAGTAAGTTTCAAACATCAAGCACTTACAGCCGAGAAGTCAGATACCTTGGATACATCCCCTGTTTCACACAAGCAGCAAATATTAACGGTTAGTTGGACACTGGAGCATCACCGCTTTGAACAGGATTGATTCCCCAGGAGCTCACAGTTTTCGATTGGACCTGTACAATATCACAGTTGTAGGGAATGAGGCAAATGGATTTCCAATTACATTCAAAACAAGAACAAGAAGCATACCATACGACCCAGTGGTTGTATAGTCCCCATTGCAGTTGCTTGCCGTCCACAGTGCTGCAAGAAGATCTGCTTTCGTGTTGATCGCCAGATATGTGGGGCTCTGTGACGATGGTAGCACAGAGGGAGCACTGGAAGGACTTGTAGAAGGGTCTAAGGATGGCGGAACTGAGGGTGCTGATGATGGACTGGAACTAGGACTGAGAGATGGTTTTGATGATGGAGTCGCCGAGGGCAAAGACGAAGGATTGTATGAAGGACTTGTAGAAGGGTTTAAGGATGGTGGAACTGAAGGCATTGAAGAAGGGCTGATTGATGGACCAACACTGGGGCTGAGAGATGGTTTGGACGAGGGAGGCTTTGAGGGCAACAGAGATGGACTAGTTGATGGACTTGTTGAAGGGGGTGGAACTGAAGGCATTGAAGAAGGGCTGACTGATGGAAACAAACTAGGAATAAGAGATGGTTTGGATGAGGGAGGCATTGAGGGCAACAGAGAGGGACTAGTGGATGGGCTTGTTGAAGGGGGTGGAACTGAAGGCATTGAAGAAGGGCTGATTGATGGACCAACACTGGGACTGAGAGATGGTTTGGACGAGGGAGGCTTTGAGGACAACAGAGATGGACTAGTTGATGGACTTGTTGACGGGGGTGGAACTGAAGGCATTGAAGAAGGGCTGACTGATGGAAACAAACTAGTAATAAGAGATGGTTTGGATGAGGGAGGCGTTGAGGGCAACAGAGAGGGACTAGTGGATGGGCTTGTTGAAGGGGGTGGAACTGAAGGCATTGAAGAAGGGCTGATTGATGGACCACACTAGGACTGAGAGATGGTTTGGACGAGGGAGGCTTTGAGGGCAACAGAGATGGACTAGTTGATGGACTGGTTGACGGGGGTGGAACTGAAGGCATTGAAGAAGGGCTGACTGATGGAAACAAACTAGGAATAAGAGATGGTTTGGATGAGGGAGTCGTTGAGGGCAACAGAGAGGGACTAGTGGATGGGCTTGTTGAAGGGGGTTGAACTGAGGGTGTTGAAGAAGGGCTGATTGATGGACCCAAACTAGGCCTGAGAGATGGTTTGGACGAGGGATTCTTTGAAGGCAAAGAAGAGGGTTCTGTGGATGGGCTTGCCGAGCGTATCCTACTGGGGAGAGCCGATGGTGCCATTGATGGAATGCGAGATGGAATAGTTGATGGCACCTTACTTGGAGGGGTAGATGGATTTTCTGAAAAGGAAGGTGCTGAGGATGGTGCTTTCGCTGGGTTCTTTGTTGGGTTTCCTGGAGTTACCGAAGGATATTGAGAGGGCGATGCTGAATGTATATCTGAAGGCTGCAATGATGGAAGACTTGATGGGGCCAATGAGGGCATAGAAGATGGACTGGTTGATGGGTGTCCACTTGGAAGTAATGAGGGAACTCTCGATAGAATCTCGGAGGGAGAAACTGAGGGATAGTTGGATGGACTTGATGACTGTGTTGGAGTGGGAAGGGATGAAGGAGATGCAGATGGTGCAGATGATGGTACCATAGAGGGCACCACATATGTAACAGCAGAAGGCTGCAAGCTAGGGCGTGTTGATGGTGCTGGAGTGGGGACTTTCGATGGAACTCTTGATGGAACCATGGATGGAATAGGTGATGGCGGTGTGCTTGGTTTAACAGAGGGAGAATCTGAGAAGGAAGGCGAAGAAGAGGGGATGTTTGTTGGGCTTCTTGTTGGATTGCCTGGAGTTACAGTTGGATTCTGTGAGAGAAACGATGAAGGTACCTGGGAAGAGCTTGAAGAGGGTGACCCCGAAGGATGGTCTGAAGCCAGTGAAGGGGGGAGGGAAGGAATCTTGGATACAGAAGGTCTAGAAGTTGGCACAATAGATGGAATCCATGATGGCCAAGAAGATGCCGCTTTAGATGGATTTACTGACGGTTGAGTCAATGGCATTTCGGAGGGAGATATTGGTGGAGCCAGGGATGGCATATGTGATGGCACTTTGCTTGGAATAGATGAGGGTTGGTCTGAACTCGAAGGGGACTGAGAAGGAACCTTAGTTGGGATTTTTGTTGGATTCTGTGAGGGAGACATTGTTGGATTTGAAGAAGGAATTCGTGAGGGTGACAAGCTGGGAAGGACAGATGGGGCAACAGAAGGCCTGGTTGAAGGAATACTGGACGGAAGCAAGGACAGAAGGATTGAAGGCAGTGCTGATGGTACAGATGATGTATTCATTGAAGAATTTGGAGACGGATTTTGGGAAGGGCCGTTTGAAAGAATCTCGGATGGAAGAGTGGAAGGAGGGATAGACGGATTTAATGAGGGACGTAGAGATGGCAAACTTGAAGGATCTTGGGATGGTGATGTAGATGGGAGGCCACTGGGCACACCACTGGGAGAACTTGTTGGTGTCTCTGTGGCAAGTGAATCAGTGACTGCGGTTGCAACAGCACCTCCCTGCATCTCCACATTGAAGCCGCCAAGGAATAGAGCTCTAGAAGCTGGTGTCAGAAAGAGGCTTCCCATTGACACTTGCCTTGTCTGCACCAAGAATTCGATCACTCCTGAATCAGACAACTGCAACCGGCGCCTTGTGAAGCGTCGCTGTGGCAACACAAGATCCATTGCTTCAGCACATGAGCTTTTTGGGAGCATTGCATAGCCAGAAGAAAACGCTGACACCAAAACTTCATCAGAGAGAGCATCCATATTGCCCGAGAAGACCACATAATAATTGTTTTCAACATCGACAAACACATCACCACACGCAATGCTTGGAGAAATGGAGGGATGCATTGATGGAACAGCAGCGGGTTCTTGTGTAGGCTGAATGGTTGGTTCTAGAGTGGGTGCTCGAGTTTGTAGGATGGTGGGAAAACCTGTTGGCTCCACGGTGGGTTCAAAGGTTGGTTCAAGGGTGGGATCCATGGTTGGCTCCACCGTGGGTTCCACGGTTGGCTCAAATGTTGGTCGAAAGGTTGGCTCTTCAGTGGTTGTGGGCAAATCGGTTGGTGCGTCTGTTGGTTCCATTGTTGGCACTTTTGTGGGTAGCGCAGTAGGTGTTCCTGTTGGTTGCAAAGTTGTTGGATTCTGGGTCGTAGGTACTAATACTATGGATACACCACGTTTTGGTACTCCTACTGATAGGACGGCCGGGATTGACATTGGGGGAGAACCTAGGGCAGCTGGGATTGACACTGTGGGAGCACCTGGTGCCTGCTCAGAAAGAAAACCATGATCATTTGCGAACCTGTTGAGTCCCATTGAAGTCACTGGTGATAGAGATGTCACAACTGTTGGAGTTGCTACAGGACCTTGGACAGCTTGCGCTGTTGGACGGGAGCCACCATTGTTTGGAAATGCCAAAAGTCCAATTTTTGTATCAGAAGATAGAGTGGTGGAAGCCAGCTTGGTAGGCGACAAGGCAGCTGTTGGTGTAACAATGGATTGAGCAGGTGTAGGCTTTGCTTCTGACTGCATGGGGGCACCATTGGAAGACACAGGAGCGTTTCGAGGTGATGGGGCTGCATTGGGTTGGGTTATGGATTCTGGAGTTGGAGCTTGCAAGGGGGGGAGTGCTTCATTGGTGAAAGCAGTTGGGGGCAAATTGATTGGGACTGAAGTGGATGGTAGCATGGTTGGTCTGACAATTGAAATGCTACCCTGTGACTGGGCCAAACCAGGGCTAGGTGGTAGTTGATTGATATTCATGGCAGATTGACTTGGTCCAGATGGTGTCAAGACAGTTGGGATTGACTGCTGATCAGCATCAGATGCAACAGAGTTTGGCTGACTAGGAGCTGCCGGCATCGCTGGTACCATTGCTTCTGGACGTCCATTGCTGTTGGTGTCAAAAATGCTTCCACCTTCATCAAGGAGAAATGAGGGTCCAGCAGCTGGACTCATCCCAATGTCGGCCATTTCATTGGGTCCAGCCTCAGGTTCTTCATTCCCTGATTCACTTGAACCGTCAACATTGGCTGGTGGCCGATCAGTGCCTTCCAAATTGGTGATGTCAGCGACAGTTTCCAATGCAGTACCCAAGACTTCTTGACAGCCTGGATTACTCGGAGCCTGCAAACAAGCGGCAAGTGCTTCTCTGTCAATGGCGGAGTTATCAGTGTCGTCCTTGGCAATCATCTGCTGTAGCTCTTTGCACAGAGCAGACTCCTCAAATTCCTCATCAATATCAGCATCTGACAAGCACTTTGCAAGAGATGATAACTCGTCTGAGATGAATGGCAATATGATGATTCCTTCGCTCTCTTCCACTCTGTCTATAAATGGCTGAATTGTGTCCTGGCCAATGGAACTGATTATTGCTTCTGTACTGTCGCCATTACTTCTATCAGGGGACACTTTTGTAGTAGCAAACACAACCTGCATGGGGGCTCTGCTGTGCGATGCCTCAGTGTCACTGCTCTCCTCAAACAGGACTGGCTCTATAGTGAAACCAAAGGATGCAGCAAACAGGGGAAAGAACTGGGATATGTCAAAGGTTGCTTGCAGCTGCAAATGCCGACCTGAGAAGATAGAAATAGGGGCATCCCGGCTCACATTTGCAGGGAGCGACCTTTTTCCAACACTTAATGAGGTGTCTGTTGAGTTGTTCATGCCATCATTATTAGAGTCACCAGAAGTGATAGTGCTGTTGGTACTTTCTGGAGCAGTCTCCTCTGGAAGCTGAAAGAGCGGCTCAAAATCTGGGCAGCCATCACATGCTACTGTAGCTATCCAAGAGGTGGTTGTAACAGGGACAATGATCTCAGTGGAGGGTGAATTGTTGAAGGTACCATTATCGGCACCATCCAAGAAAACCACACTGTCTTCAGTGCTCCAGTCTATAAGATCAGCTCTGTGCAAGACGCGTGAATATGGGTCCAAGCACATTCCTGTAATATTATTGTAGAGGTCTCTAAAGAGCCTGACACACACACACACACAGAGGAGGGTAGGCAGGAGTCGTGCTTGTCAGCCAGCAAAGACACACAGCAATAATGACTGAATTTGTGTCACAAATACTCACAGTTCTAGTTTGTCCTGGTGTTTGGGCAAGGCATCTTCTGGCATTCCTTGTACCTTCAGTTCAACGAACCCTCGTTTTAGTTTAGAGGATGTGGAACAATTTTGCGGCACAAAAGGATCCTTGTCCACAACTACAGGGGCAGCGGTTGTGTTGGAATCATTGTTGACAGCTGACTTAATGGCCACACCACCACTCACAGCAGCTGCCGTTACCACCACAATTCCCACTGTAATGCCCACTTGAGACACAACCCCTACAGAGGCTACGGCACTTGCTGCTGTTGCCACAGCAGCAGCACTGACACTCGCAGCAGCTGAGATGCCAGAAAGAAAAAATTCACATGGCATGAGACATCAGTAGAATGAAGAATCATCATTAGGCAGTTGACGAATCGCGGAGATTACCGCGATTGATTGCTTGACTGTGACAAACTTGATCATTGGAACCTACCTGCGGTTGACGCTGCAGAAGCACCAGCCGCACTGGTTGCAGCTTGAGTGGCCATCTGACCAACTACCGTTACCGACACCTGCGTTGCGCCAACACCAGAAGCAACACTGGCGGCAGTAGTCCCAGAGGCTCCAGCTCCTCCACCGGTACTACTATGACCCATGGACGACGAACCCATTTGGTTGCTGGCAGAAATATCCACTATTTCCATCACTTCCTTGGCAGCATCGACAGCATCGCCTGCAGGCTCTTCTTCACCGCCACGGATACACTTCTTCAACACTTTGACCACAAATTCGTAGCAAGCCGCAATAGTTGCCAGAAATTGCTGGAAGAGATCATTTTTGTATCGATGTACTATCCAATCCCAAAGGCCTTGTCGAATGGCTGCTTCTTTGGCTTCAGCAGAACTGCAGCTCTCATCTTCTTCTCCATCCCAGTTGGTACTGTCATTATCCCAGGCATTATCAACATCAACCAGGGCTTCCTCATCGTCTTTTTCGTCGGCCTCCTCTTCCTGGGACGAGTCGTCATCGATGCACCGTCTCCGGCGAAAGTCTTTAAAGCCATCTTCTTCAAATCGTACACTCCCACTCATTGCGACGGTATCGTCGTCGTCCTCCGCACAGCCGGAACGGACACTGAGGAAGTTATCGCCGATGCTCCTGTTGCTCTCAGAGGTATCCACGAGGAATTCGTCTACGTCGACACTATTACGGCTTCTTCGGTCCATGTTTGTGTGGTGACGGGTGCTCTTTTTTGAGTTTGTGATGGACGGAATTTTTACTTTCTTCGATTCAACCTCAGTATGAAGTATGAAGCTGTTGACCGCAGAGAATGATAGCTTCGAAGCGACCAAGGCAGGTACTCTCCGATGTCGGTTTGCTGCTATTTTCTGGTTGGTCGGGGGCTTGTGGGCTTTTCGAACAGAGCAGCTCGGAGAGGTGAGGTGTTGGAAGAAGGAAACCGCCCGTGAAAAACCGCACTAACAGTTTGTCGTAGATATCGATAGGGTATGCCAGCCTGTCGTAGATGCCGGTATTGAAGTTTATGCGGAATGCGAGACAGAAGGAAAAGCTGCCTGGGACTTGGCCAAGAACAAAAAGCATTATGTGAAATAAAACGCACAAGCCCCTGATGTAGATGCTCTCTTTTGCTGAACTTAACATTCTCTGCTCGTTCGTCGTGAATGAATTCTAATTTTGGGTGATAAATCCTCCATTTTCTTGTGAAGCTCTGTGATCATGTTGAAGGACACAAAGTACTGGTAGTGGTACGTCTTGTATGTTGTAATTGGCTTGTTTTGTTGGAAACCATCTGAGGGTGCAAAATGGTGCAGCAGCATAGGACAAGCCGAGGGCTGCACTCAATTTAGAACCTTCTTATAAATGAGTTTGGAATGTAAGTAGCGGTTGTCACAAAAGAACCAAGACGGCAAGGAATGAATTAATGTCATGAATAAAGGGAAGTTAGGTATTTATGAACTAGTTGGAGATGCAGAAAGTTTTACTTATGAGGAGTACGAAAACATCGCGTTTTCCAAGAGTCCTTCGAAAGGCTTGAATTTGTTGATTACCCTCTCTGCTGACTTGAATGCTTGTTGAGCCTCCAATCTTTAAAAGAACAAGCAGCCGGAGGCTGATGCCCTCAACTGTCAAAAAGAGATTTGATTGGTCAAATCATTTACCGTGTTCAACTGGACACACTATTGATAGCAAGTCTCCATAGCCAGCCAGTACGGGCACAGTGGTATCGGTACCCATGGGTCCAGAGTACTGTGTCCAACAGAACACACAATATAAATCCCTATCCTTAACAAGGAAAATGTCCCTTATGTCTTTGGCAAAACCTCCACCGTGTTTATCTGGACACACTAGCGAGTCTGCATAGCCAGCCAGTACTGGTACCCATGCGTAGAAACTACTGTGTCCAACAGAACACACAAGATTAATCCCTATCCTTAACGAGCGACGAAAACAGCTGCAACAAACACACAAACACACACACACACACACACACACACACACACAGCGATAAAAGTGTGAAAGACCCTCAGTCCGTTGAGGGCAATCGGTCCCCTGACGCACGTCGCGTCACACAAAGAGACTTGACGAGAAAAAAACACAATCGCATCCTCCCAATGGCCAAAACCATCGAACGCTTCTCGACGGAGGTCTAAAAACGAGCACCGCAAACGAGCCAAGCAAACTGCAGGTGTCAACTAAAATGACGTTTCCTTACTTCTTCTTATTGGGATGTGTTCTCTTGCACAATACTCTGGATGCTGCGACTGCGTTTCGTGTGGCAACAGCGTCGTCACCAGCTGCTGCCAGAAGAAGCGTTGTTGTTTTAGAGGCGTCGCCCTTGACAGAAGATGCCTTGGCAGCTTGTCCATACGAGTTTCTACCAGATGACGCGGATACTTCGGGAAAACGATTCTTTATGGACATTACCAAACAACAAGCATCGGCGGCATTCGAAGAACTTGCGACACTTTATGGCGACGAATCTGCCCTACAAATGGTAAAAATCCAACCGTTGGCACTGTCCAGGAATCCCAATAATTTTGAACCGACCCTTGCAGTGTGGACGGAAACATTTGGTGAAGAGGCCGCCAAGTCGATGGTACGACGCAACCCTGGACTCTTGTTGCTCAGCCCACAATCAGCGGCATCCGATGCAATGGGTACAATGGGTTGGAGTTTTGTGATTTGGGCTACACGGCCAATCCTTTCGAAACTATTATTGGCCGGATTGATATTTTATCAATATAATGCAGTTAGAACCTCGGAAGAGGGAATCCCACAATGGATTCTTAACTCGGGGGAGCAGAATCCTTTTAGTTAAGCCAACAATGATAACAGTACAGTTTGAATACACCCTGTCCCTGCCGCTGCTATGCTGCTCACTCAAAAAAAATAGGTACTAGAAAAACAAATACTAAATAGATACGTTAAGGAGCGAGGGGGGCTAAGCTAGGCAAAGCAGTGGCTGCGTTGGTGGGCGGACTGGGAGCGGGAGCAGGGCTAAGGGGGGCAGGGGAAGGGCCGTGCATGGAGGAAAGCGAGGAAGTACAGGGGAAATCGAGAGGGGGAAAGATTAGCAGAAGAGTGCAAGTGCACCATGGGCATCCCAGAGAGAACGACGGTAGCTCATTGTGCCAGCAGGGACACGAGAGCCACCCATGCTGAGGTGGCGGGCCCGAAGAATAGCTAGCTAGGCTGCGCCGAGCATTAACGTAGCCACACACCACTGAGTAAGGGCGTTATACGGGTACAGGCAGCTTCGGTTTTAAAGATTCAAACGCGTGCCAGGTTTTCTCGTACACTTCTATGAGAGCTCGAGTAGATGTGTACCATGGAGGTCGGCACGCGTTTGCATCAATAAAATCGAAGCTGCTCGTAGACTAGTCTGTCTATCTGCTTTCGGGTTTCGGGTTTGCTTTTTGGATCTTTGGCTGAGAAAGATCCTTTGCGCACGACCAGCTGCCAGTACTACTGTACCGATACCCATTGATTGGAGCCTCGAAGAAGCCTTCCCTGAAACAGCTATTGAAACCCACATCTTTCGTGACATCGGATCACCCAACCGAAGGTCCTCCCCTGCATGCAGTTAACCCATCCTCTCCATAGTCCCTTCTGACCCATAGCGTACTATAGTAACGACTCTCGAATTCCTTCACCCAAGGAGGCCCAAGAAAAGCAATGAGTGCCCCAACAACAAGCTGCAGGAACCATCAGGTGGAACCTCACGGCCATGATGATGATCATCATCAAAATCATCATCATCGCCATGACCACCACCATGGCCATGATGTCTTTGCTGACAAATCCCACTGCTACGATACTCCCGAGCATGAGTTGCGCGTCCAGGGCATTGCTGCTGCGATTGTCAAACACGCACCCAACAGCCTCAACAAGAACACCAAGCTGATGGATTTTGGTGCCGGAACGGGTCTCTTAACCAAGTATCTGGCGCCTCATGTGGGTCACGTCACCGCCGTGGACGTCTCTCCTTCCATGCTGGAACAATTCCGATCCAAGGCGTTTGCAAAACAGTGACTGTGGAAGGAGATCTAATCACGGATGACACTATTTTGAGCGGCAATGACTTGTTGGATGGCATTGTATCCTCTTTGGCGCTGCATCACATCCAAGATTTGCCAACTCTCTTTGCTAGATTTGCCAAATGCACGGCACCAGGCGGCTTTCTTGCTCTGGCGGATCTAGACAGAACAAAGGGCGACTTTCGCCATAATCACCACCACCAGGAAGGAGGAATGGTCCATCGTGGCATTGAGCGATCGGAGCTCGAGGCGTATGCCTCTCAAGCTGGATTTGTGGGTATATCCTTCCATACTGTAGCTGTCGACGAGGAAAAGGACGGAGACTACCCAATCTTTCTCATGACTGCCAAAAAGTCAACTTAGGTTGGCGGTTTTCTGCTGTCAATATTCCACAACAACGCGTTCCAATCGAGCTGCTCTCAGTTGGCTATTTGGAAGCTCTAAGTGGACGTTTGCTGCAGCAGTCACGGTTTCCGGTTTCTAGCTAGCTGGGTGAACGAACGTACCATAAAATGTAATACACCGACATCTACTGCATCTTTTCTAAAGCAAGCGAACGTAACGTCGCTAGCCTTTCCATCAGCCTCGGCAGAGAAGCATCTCGAGTCGAGTTTGGTGCTTTCGAAGCAGCTACAGGTATCGCGGAATAACGAGGTCTCGAGCAGCCATGCCGGGGCCAAGATCGTACACTGGGGCGAGGTGATCCACTGCTGACTTCCCGTTCGTTGATCAGAAAGGAACCGGAGCGAAACGTCGGCGACGGTTTTGACTCCTAGAGTGTACGAAAACCTCGAGATCGGGGAGTGCAAGAGCGAGGTGGCCGCCACTGCCCACGCAATTGCGCTGAGCTGGCTGGAGAGACCAAAAAGAAGCTTCGCTTCAAATCGCAGGGATTGGAGCTGAGACGGTTTCAACGTGTTCAGATGCCAAGAACAGGCCCGAATGAACCAACTAGCTTGACCCACTGCTGTCTTCCATGTACCAGTTCCCCCAGCTTCCTTAGATAACCTCCCTACTATCCCCTTTCTTACTTGTTAAAAATTGGCTATTGTATTTGTGTGTCAATTGTTGGCCTACCGTGATTGTTCACCTGAGGGAATATTGGAGGGAATGATTGTGGGTTGGAAGAAGGCATCAAAAAATGTGACTCCTTTACGGTTACGGTGACGGTGCATTTGTTTGTTGCGGTACACCCTGTCCAGCACATTTCTGAAAATTAAAAGGAGTGTTCCAAAAGTCCAAGTATGTACAGTGTGAGTATCCTGCAGGTCTACATGACCAAGCAGACCCATAATATGAGGTTTGAACACTTGGATTCCCTCCTGAGCCACTGCTATACACCCAACGGCAGTAGTCTTGGCAACACCCATCATTGTTCAACGAGTACCATCCACGGTAGTTATCAACATAACCCCAATCACCGGTTGACAGATTGGTAGCTGCACAAGTACCAGCTGCTGGTTGGGGGAGTTGCATACATGGGGGGAATATTGAAGGGCTTGAAGAAGGGGCATTGGTTGGGGCAATTAATGGCATCTCACTGGGAAGACCTGATGGCAGGTCACTGGGAAGACCTGATGGATGCAGGGATGGTGTGACTGAGGGCGGTGAGCTTGGGTGAGTAGACGGCGACTTAGATGGACCTGATGAAGGTATCAAAGATGTAGATGGAGAGGATGAAGGAGAGACAGTTGGAACAATTGAGGGTAACAAAGAGGGTCGTAATGAGGGTGGCCAGCTTTGGGCTGGTGTGGGTATGTTGGAATTGGAGGGGCTAGTTGATGGTCTCTTTGATGGTTCAATTGAAGGAGACAAAGAAGGCACTACAGATGGATTTATCGATGGTGTTGTAGATGGGAGCACAGATGGAGAAACAGAGGGAACGGAGGAAGGTGGCGCAAATGGATTGGCAGAGGGGTTGAAGGATGGATGCTGGGATGGTTTTCTTGATGGATTTGACGATGGATTTGATGATGGCTGTATACTTGGTAATGTGGATGGGGCACCTGATGGGAACTTTGAGGGAGGCAAAGATAGTGACTCCGATGGACTTGCGGTGGGCAGTAAAAAGGGGAGTGCAGAAGGCAACACTGAAGGCAAATCTGAAGGATTATTGGATGGATTGATTGAAGGTGTTGATGAAGGATATAGTGATGGTTCATTGGACGGGGTAATTGATGGATGGAAAAATGGCTTCTGGCTTGGTGAGTTCGATTGGAACATTGATGGATTTTGAGAGCTAGGAGATATTGGGGAATGGGATGGATGAGCTGACAGCCTGGTTGAAGGAAACACAGATGGGGCCATTGACGGATTGAGAGATGGTTTCATGGGAGTTCCTGGAGTCATCGAAGGAGTTGTAGAGGGAGATTCTGAACGTATCTGTGAAGGCTGCAATGAGGGGCGACTAGATGGGTCCAGTGAGGGCACAGAAGAAGGACTGGGTGATGGCTGTCCACTTGGAAGTAACGAGGGAACTCTCGTTGGAATCTCAGAGGGAGAAAGTGAGGGATAGTTGGATGGACTTGATGGCCCAATTCTTCCAACGAGTGGGTGTCAGCTCAATCTTCCAGGTGGAACCATCACACACAATCTGAAACACGAACTCAAACTGGCAGGATCGGTGCCTCAACACAAACAGTTTCTCATGAATAAACATGAGTGGGACAGCGACACATTTGAAGATATCGACTGGAAATGCCATGGGAGGGCACTCAATCGCTTGGATCACCATCGCACCTCCCACCAAGTACCTTTGCAATTGGCACCCGTCGGTAAACGTGTCACAAATACCACCAAATATCCCATTGCATGGCATCCTGTGGTGCCCCAGAAGAAACAGAGAACACGTCCTGAGAGCCCCAAGCGACAATCAGAAAGAACGGCATGGAAGAAGGACTCAAGAAATACACCGAAAGCACAACACTCACCCAATGCTACAAACACTTCTTCTCTCAGCAATCCAAAAAGTACTCGATGGAGAAGATACCACAGGAATTTAATACGATGACAGTGTTGCGATATCGCAAACGCCCAAGCAGCCATCGGTTGGGATCAGCTCCTCAAGGACGACTATCCAAACAGTGGGCAACGCCAGGATCAAACACCTTAAGGAATGCAATCTCAAAACACATCGGAAAAATGGCCAAACCTGGTCACAGGAATTATTCAAGAATTGCTCAACCAGTGGTTCGAAATCTGGGAGGCCAGGAATCATGATGGCATGGCAAAGACGCACAAACCAAGGCACAGGCAGCCAACCGACGGTTATCCATGAACTTCAGCTGCTATATGACAAATTCACCGGAAACCTCAGAACGAACAGGCATGGCTTCTCCAAACACCAATCAACACAATCCCAATGGCCCACGCATTAATCCGACAATGGATCAACATTGGGAACCAGTCCTTGAAAGAGTTACGCCACACAGCTTGAGACTGGTAATTGATGCAGGACCTCCACTTCCCATCCTTCCAATCCCTCCCTGCGTCCGCTTCCGTCCCTCCTTTTCTCCCTCCAACCAACCACCAAGTAACTCTCCTGAAATCCATTCGGCCAAACCCACAAATCAGTTAGGAATATATGTCCGGCAAATCCACACGAGATATGCCATTTATACTTACATGTAACTTTAAATGCACCATCTCCCCTAGGGAGTGTGCTGCCGGTGAGGGAACCAGTGGTGGTCTCCTGTGAAACCAATCCCCGCTTCGGCCGGGAGCGGTTACCCAAAGCTTCGGCTGCAGCACAGTGATGATCCGTCCATTGGGGCCATATCCGTTATAAAGATTTTGTTGTTTTTTTTTGGATGGACTTGATGGCGGAAGGGATGATGTAGATGTAGATGGTGTAGGTGATGGCACCACAGAGTGTGCTACAGATGGAATGACAGACGGCACTATCGAGGGTGCAAGAGATGGACTGGCAGATGGCATCAAGCTGGGTACAATTGTAGGCGTAGTGGATGGAGTCTTTGAGGGCAATGCAGAAGGATCATTTGACGGGGTTGCTGAGGGGACAGTAGTTGGGAGGTTTGATGGGACTCTTGATGGGACTCTTGATGGAACCATGGATGGAGTAGGTGATGGTGGTGTGCTTGGTTGAGCAGAGGAAGATTCTAAGAAGGAAGGCAAAGAAGATTGGATCTTTGTTGGGCTTCTTGTTGGATTGCCTGGAGATACAGTTGGTTCCTGTGTGGGAGATGATGAAGGTACCTGGGAAGGGTTTGACGAGGGCGACACTGATGGATGCTCAGATGGAGTCAGGGACGGGGGCACGGAAAGAACATTGGAGGGACTTCTGGATGGTAGGGTAGTTGGCAAAAGAGATGGTAGAATGGATGGCAAAGCTGATGGATCCCTAGATTGATTTGCTGAGGGTTTAGTAACTGGCATTTTGGAGGGTGAAATTGAAGGAACCAGGGACGGCATATGTGATGGTCTTTTGCTTGGAATAGATGAGGGCGAGTCTGAACTTGAAGGGGACAGAGAAGGAACCTTAGTTGGGCTTTTTGTGGGATTCCCAGGTAATACTGTTGGATTCTGTGAGGGGGGCAGCATTGGACTTGTAGAAGGAGTTTGTGAGGGTGTAGAGCTGGGAGGGACAGAGGGGGCAACAGAAGGCGTTGTTGAAGGAATATTGGATGGCAACAATGATGGAAGGATTGAAGGAAGTGCTGATGGTACAGATGATGGATTCACTGAAGAATTCTGAGACGGATTTTAGGAAGGCCCATTTGAAGGAATCTCGGATGGAAGAGTGGAAGGAGGGATAGACGGATTTAATGAGGGAGGTAGAGATGGCAAACTTGAAGGCCCTTGGGATGGTGATGTAGATGGGAGGCCACTGGGCACACCACTGGGAGAACTTGTTGGTGTCTCTGTGGCAAGTGAATCAGTTACTGCGGTTGCAACAGCACCTCCCTGCATCTCCACATTGAAGCCGCCAAGGAATAGAGCTCTAGAAGCTGGTGTCAGAAAGAGGCTTCCCATTGACACTTGCCTTGTCTGCACCAAGAATTCGATCACTCCTGAATCTGTCAACTGCAACCGGCGCCTTGTGAAGCGCCGCTGTGGCAACACAAGATCCATTGTTTCAACACAAGAAATCTTAAGAATTGAATTATACCCTGATGAAAATGCTGCCACGAGCAAATCATTAGGCAAGGTTGATATGTTGGTGCCGGTGAAGCTTACGTAGTAACTGTTTTGAACTATAACAGAAGGATCCTTGCAGAAAAGTTAGGAGATCCTGTGGGTTGCACTGATGGCTGTGTAGCTGGCGCCACAAGATTTTGTGTTGTAGTCTGCTGGGTTGGTTCAAGCGTTGGCACTGCGGTTGGATCAGGAGTTGGTTCCATGGTGGGTTGAAATGTTGGTTCTTCAGTAGGTTGGGGAGTGGGTGTGTCTTCCAATTGAAGTGATGGCTCTCCAGTCGGTCGAAGTGTTGGCTCCAAGATAATCTGTTCTGTTGATTCCTTTGTTGGTTGCAGTGTTGGTCCATCTGTTGGTTGAGGAATGCTTAGTTCTCCTGCTAGTAATGAAGTTGGAAATACTGTAGTTTGTGCAACCATAGGGAAATCATGGATCCCAGGACCAGACCTTTTTGGTGCCGGTGCAGATGACACGGGCTCAGAAAGAAAACCATGATCATTGGCAAATCTGTTAAGTCCCACGGAAGTCACGGGCGACAGAGATGCCACAGCTGTTGGATTTGCTGCAGGACCTTGGACAGCTTGCGCTGTTGGACGGGAGATTCCATTGTTTGAAAATGCCAAAAGTCCAATTTCTGTATCAGAAGATAGAGCCGTGGAAGCCAGCTTGGCAGGAGATAAGGCAGCTGTTGGTGGAACACCGGATTGAGCAGGTGTAGGCTTTGCTTCTGACTGCATGGGGGGACCATTGGAAGATACAGGACCCTTTTGAGGTGAAGGGGCTGCATTGGGTTGGGTTATGGATTCTGAAGTTGGTGCCGGCAATGGGGGGAGTGCTTGATTCCTAAAGCCAACAGGGGACAAATTGTTTGGGCCTGAAGTGGATGGTAGCATGGTTGGTCTGGCAATTGAAATACTAGCCTGTGGCAGAGCCAAACCAGGGCTTGGTGGAAGTTGATTGGAATTCATGTCGGAGTGGCCTGGTCCAGATAGTGTCAAGGCAGTTGGAATTGACTGCTGAGCAGCATCAGATGCAGTGCCTGGGTATTCAGAGGCAATAGAGCCTGCTTGACTCGGAGCTGCAGGCATGGCCGGTACCATTGCGTCTGGAGTGCTTTCACCTTCATCAAGGAGAGATGAGGGTCCAGCCACTGGACTCATCCCTACGTCGGCCATTTCATTGGGTCCAGCCTCAGGTTCTTCATTCACTGATTCAGTTGAATCATCAAAAATGGTTGTTGGAAACCCAGTGCCTTCCACATTATTGACTTTCACATTATTGCTGTCACTGACAGTGTCCAACGCAGTACCCAAGAGTTCTTGGCAGCCTGGATAACTCGGCGCCTGCAAACAAGCGGCCAACGCTTGTCTGTCAAGGGCGGAATTATCAGTGTCCTCCGTGGCAATCATCTGCTCTAGCTCTTTGCACAAAGCAAACTCCTTTGATACTTCATCAACATCATCATCTGACAGGCACTTTGCAAGAGATGATATCTCATCTGAGATGAATGGCATTATGATGATTCCTTCGTTCTCTTCCACTCTGTCTACGAATGGCTGGATTGTATCCTGGCCAATGGAACTGATTATTGCTTCTGTACTGTCGCCGTTACTTCTATCAGGGGACACTTTTGTAGTAGCAAACACAACCTGCATGGGGGCTCTGCTGTTCGATGCCTCAGTGTCACTGCTATCCTCAAACAGGACTGGCTCTATAGTGAAACCAAAGGATGCAGCAAACAGGGGAAAGAACTGAGACATGTCAAAGTTTGCTTGCAGCTGCAATTGCCGACCTGACAAGATAGAAGTGGGAGCATCCTGGCTCGCATTAGCAGGGAGCAAACTGTTTCCTCTCTTTGGTCCAACACTTGATGAGGTGTTTGTTGAGTTATTCATGCCAGCACCGGTAATATTTTTGCTTTCTGGAAAGGTCTCCTCTGGAAGCTGAAACAGGGGCTCAAGATCTGGGCAGCCATCGCATGCCACTGTGGCAATCCAAGAAGTGGTTGTTACAGGGACAATGATCTGAGTCTGGGGTGAACTGTTGACTGTACTATTAGCGGCACCATCCAAGAAAACCACACTGTCTTCAGTACTCCAGTCTACAAGATCAGCTTTGTGCAAGACACGTGAATATGGGTCCAAGCACATTCCAGTGATGTTATTGTAGAGGTCTCTAAAAAGTCTGACACACACAGGAGAGAGTAGACAAGAGTCACACTTGTCAGCCAGAGAAGATACACATCTATGGTGTCTGGATTGGTGCCACAAAACTCACAGTTCTAGTTTGTCCTGGTGTTTTGGCAAGGCATCTCCTGGTATTCCTTGCACCTTCAGTTCAACGTAGCCTCGCTTGAGTTTTGATAAACCAGAACATGTTGGCGGCACAAAAGGATCCTTGTCCACAACTACAGGGGCAGCAGTCATGTTGGAACCATTGCCAGAAGCTGAATTGATGACCATGCCACCACTGACAGCTGCAGCTGTTACCACAGCAACACCGATGGTGAAACCAACTTGAGTAGCAACCCCAGCAGAGGCCACAGCACTTGCAATTGTGGTTAGAGCAGTGGCACTAGCAGCAGCTTGGTTGTCAGAAGAAAACACAGAACAAGACGTGAGCCACAAATAATACTTCAATGACTGATAGAGGCCCAACACTCTTATGAGCAGGTGCATGCTGGAGGCCACCTGAAGCTATCCAGTCCAGACAATGGTTCTTGTGCGGCACTACGTGTGCCATGTTGACCTACCTACAGTAGACACGGCTGCTGAAGCAGAAGCTGCACTGGCAGCAGCTTGAGTCGCCATTTGGCCAACAGCTGCAGTCACCTGGGTAGCTCCAGCACCACTGGCGCTGCCCGCAGTTGCTCCGGAGGCACTGGCACTGCCTGAGGCGCTACCACCTCCACCTGCTCCTGTTTGGGAAGTCATTGAAGAATTCATGTGATTGCTGGTCGACAAGTCGAGTGCTTCCACTACTTCCTGCGCAGCATCAGCTGCATCATTTGCATGATCACTATCACTGCCACCCCTGCACCTCTTCAACACTTTGACCACAAATTCGTAACAAGCCGCCATGGTTGCCAAAAGTTGCTGGAAGAGGTCATTTTTGATTCTATGTACAATCCAACCCCAAATGCCTTGTCGAATAGCTGCTTCTCGGGCTTCAGCAGAACTGCAGCTATCATGATCTTCTTCTCCATCCCAGTTGGTACTGTCATTATCCCAGGCATTATCAACATCAACCAGGGCATGGTCGTCTTTTTCATCAGTCATGTTGGAAGCATCATCTTTTTCGTCATCATCACCTTCTTCCTGGGATGACTCATCATCGGTACATCTTCTCCTTCGGAAATCCTCAACATCATAGTCATAATCTTCTCGGCGGGGCACCCCCATGATTACTGTGCTGGCGTCCCCATCGTCTTCAGGCGGGCAACCAGAAAACAAACTGAGATGACTTCCCTCCATGTATTCCTTTTCGGAGTGATCAAACATGCCGTGAGTTCTTTTGCAACGACGGAGACGATTACTGCGAATATCGTCGTTTCGATCTTGTCCGAAGAAACAGTCGGCTTTGCTTGCTGCTTTTGTTTGGAAGCGAACAGCAAATTAGAGCGCCAATGATTTATCACAGGTAACTAGCTTGCTAGCTTGAGGTGTTTTCGTCGTTCGTTTCTTTTGCGTGGATTGAACTGGATGAAATGGCTGTGTCGGCTTTGGTTGGATGCAATGCAAAAGCTATAGCTCTTTGAGCTCTCTGGTCGATTGATTTCGCGATGATGCCACGTACACAGCATTGCGAGCTCATGATTCTGGTGCATGTACCCACGTGGCCCGATTTCGTTGAAGAGCCTCGAAGTCTTAGCGTCATTGAGGATAAGATGCCGTGGACTGTTTGAGATTTAACATGACAAATGATTGATAAAAGGAAAGAATGCAATCCAGACGTTCGGGGTGAACTTGGCCATCGAAAATAATGTCAATACTAGTAATAGTTAGTGTGGTGGTCAGTCCCACTTCTGATGCATCCTCTTACGTTCATTGGTGATGACTTTCAAGAAAGTCAGATTCCGAGACTTCTGACTTTTGGAAACGTATTGGCAATTGGCAGCAGCATCCCAGACCCCAGACAGCTGAAGGCGATGATGTCTTTTGCTTGTGTCAGTAGAGTGCCGCGTGGAGGAGCCATCCCACCGCACCCGTACCCCCTCAAACGGAGGCAACCGGCCAGCCTCAGCTAGAAAGCAAGACCAGAGCAACCCAGAAGTGAAATGGCATTGGTGCTCTTCCACGGCAAAGAATCGTCCCGCATCGATCCCGTCCATCTCGTCGTCTTTCCACTTTGACGGGCCAACATCCCGCTGTTGCGTTCGAACGGTATCACCCAATCCTTGTACAACAGGCAGCGGACGGCATCCGTCCACGAGGTGCGAGATGGACGCACCGTGTAGGGAACCATGGTTTCGTTCAGTCACTGGCCCGTCCTCGTACCTCGTACGGTCCAATCGAAAAGGAGGAATCTAGCTACAGGAAATGGTTGTTGGCGTTCATGACTTTCATACCGCCGCATGGACTGGTGGATCGACCGAGTGACTCCTGAGCTGCATGCAGACTGAAACGTTTTTCGAGATTGATCCTATCATCAGGAAGCAGCGCCAATTATCATCCCATGAATATTGACGATGAACCGCGGAACAAGCTTCCACGAGGGATCTCGAAGGACTTCTCTATTATATTTTTCCCAAGGACTCGACTCCTTTGGTCGAGAAGACAACAGCACTGCACGCGAAGCTTTGTGTGAGCTGCTTGGATACACCTACATCTATCATACTACGAGTACGAGTATGGTCATACGATTCGACAATCAACCTATCTGTCGCCATGGCAGACCCGCCGCCATCTCTACCGGTATATACCGGTAGCGTTTTATTTGAAGTCAGGCGAACAAGATGCCTTTTTACAGTCTTCTGATCACACCATAACTTAGAGCCATTTAAATTTAGTCTAGGGATGGACCACAGAAGCATAGCAGATGGACTCCAAAATGGGAGTGACGACGGTGATTTAGACTGACCAGATGAAGGCATCAAAGAAGGACCAGATGATGGGTGTCTACTTGGAAGTGATGAGGAACTCTTGATGGAATCTCAGAGGGAGAAACCGAGGGATAGTTGGATGGACTTGATGATGGTGTTGTAGAGGGAAGGGATGAAGGAGATGTAGATGGTGTAGATGATGGAATCAAAGAGGGTGTCACAGATGGAATGGTAGATGGAATAGCAGATGGAATAGCAGATGGCTGTAGCTAGGACTTGTTGATGGTGCTGCAGTCGAGACTTTAGATGGGACTCTTGATGGAACCATCGATAGAGTTGGTGATCGGTGTTCTTGGTTGAAGAGAGGGAGATTCTGAAATGGAAGGCAAGGAAGAGGGTGTCATTGTTGGGTTTCTTGTGGGATTGCCTGGTGTTACTGAAGGAACTTGGGATGATGTTGACGAAGGCACTTTGGATGGGTTTGCTGATGGTGACACTGAAGGATGCTGCCAGAGAAGGGGGGTGGAGCCAGAGAAGGGGGCACTGAAGGAGTGTTGGAGGGGCTTATGGATGGTAAGGTAATAGTTGGCAAAAGAGATGGAAGAATGGATGGCAAAGATGATGGATCCATAGACGGACTTGCTGAGCGCATACTAGTTGGAATTTGAGATGGTGCGATGGATGGAAGCAAGGACAGAATATGCGATGGACCTTTTCTTGGAATAGATGAGGGTGAGTCTGAACTTGAAGGAGAAGAAGAGGGAATCTTAATTGGGCTTCTTGTGGGATTCCCAGGCATCACCGTTGGATTATGTGAGGGATACTGTGTTGCACTTGTGGAAGGAATTTGTGAGGGTACAGTTCGGCGAAGCCCAGAGGTGGCAGCAGAAGGCCTGGTTGAAGGAATACTGGACGAAAGCAAGGACAGAAGGATTGAAGGCAGTGCTGATGGCATCGATGATGGATTCACTGAAGAATTCTGAGACGAATTTGGCGAAGGCCTGTTTGAAGGCATCTTGGATGGAAGAGTGGAAGGAGGGATAGATGGATTTCTTGAGCGAACTAGAGATGGCAAAGATGAAGGCTCTTGGGGTGACGATGCAGATGGGAGGCCACTGGGCACACCACAGGGATGGGTCTCATCATGAGCTGTTTCTTTGCACGATTGACAGGGCGTACTGGTGGCGTACGCGATCCACGCACGGTTCCCTTTTTGTCGAGCTTTTTGTGGACGCGAGCTCTGCTTCGGCATCTCGTGTTATCCAAAAAATCTTTCCAATGCAGAGGAGATTTACCAACCAACCAACACGCAACATGATGACTGTCGACTATCCAGGAACAGCCATAGCCAAATTATCGGCGACCAAAGCCCCGCATGATGGCTGTATCAGTCAGTATACGGCGAACCTTGTCGTGGGAACGTGCCATCCCGCGTACAACCACGACAGTTGCAGTCCTGAGACAAGAAAGCCAAGGCCCCGTAAGATATCAGTGGTACCGTAGCATGTTGGGCAATGGATAGCTTGAGAAAGTTGGGGAATCCCAACTGATGATGTCTTGGAAGAGAAGTGTGCGGTGCTGGGAAAGTGTTGAGGGGGTTTGTGGGTGTTGTTTGAAGCGATCGTACCAATGCCGGGAGAGGTGCATGGCGATTTTTTGTTTGGGAGTTGATGCAAACGAGAGTCTTGACGGCCAAGCGTCGGACCATGCTTTGTTCGAATGGAACACGACCGCACCGAGAATGAAAACGTTTGGAAGCCCGAAGATCTGCTGTCCATGCAATACCTCCACTTTTGACCACTGAAGCTCCAACAATCCCAACAGGTCATCCCATTTCCCCACTACTGTTTGTCCTTCTTCAATCCCGCGATTTCCTTATCTTGTGTTGAGCTTGCCCACTGCCAGTTTCGGTATCTGATAGAAGGGAATAATCGTCACTGCCATGGCTGGAGCACCAGGCAGCACAAAAAGCCGGAGATGACACTTGCGAATCATAGACTGCGGAGGTGCAACCCATGTCAAACTTTCACAGTTTGGTACCATACTGGGACTGTACCATACCGTACTTAAAAATGAATAGAAAAAAAACTGAACGTCTAATAACGGATTCAGACGAGATGTGCTTGAGGACTACCCACGAGCTAAGGCTCGGGTATTTCCCACAGTCAAGTCTGCTCACCGGCCACACTGGCCTCCTGAGAGGGTGGAAACATGCAAGAACCTACCCACTGCTCAAAAGAAATTGATGAAAGACTAACAACTGGTCAGAAGACACATCAATGACATTGACTGGACCGCAAATGGAAAGCTTTGCGAAGACACGAAATCATCGTCCAACAATGGTCAAATACCTCAACAAAGTCTACCTGTCGGAGCATTCCTCCATAAAACAAACCCCAAGTATTAGCAGATGCCCATCATGCAACAACCTTCAGAAACAAGGCACCATCTGATGGAATGCAGCAGCCCGAAAGAATCAAATGGCGCGAGAAATGCTACATTGCAGTCCTAGCATATGTCCAGAAAAAGGACACCTCACCAAAAATCCAGGGCTTCTCCTATCAGGCCTCAAAGTATGTTACATCACCAAAACCCAACAACAAAACCAAGAAGATCCTTCATGGGACACACTGAAACAAGCACAAGTGCCATTGGATGGCATCACCTGTTAAAGGGGAGAATCCTAAACAATTCAGTCAGGAAACAAGACCGATATTTGAACAGAAAAAGACTGCAACCAAACGCAACAATGGACTCACATGGCTCACTGGACTCATTGACATTATCTATAAAGAATGTTGGAAACTCTGGGACATGCGCAACCAAGACAGACATAGGCACGACATGAGAACCAAGCACAAGCAAAGAAAGCACAACAATCCGACAACTCACTCAGTTCTACGAAGCATACAGCAAGAAGTCCCTAACATTTGGAATGGCTATTCTAGATACCACTCGAATCGCGATGCAACTGAATACACCAGTCATTATTCAATTTTTGAACACATGGAACCTGTGTTACAAGAGAGTCACTACACCACAGCCCTGAAACAGGATAGTCGGACATTCTACCATCCCTTTTTCCTTACCCCTCCTACCCCCTCAAACTTCTTTACCAACCCCAACTCTCTTCAACAAAGAGCTCTGATTTGTGGTGAATCATGCTCCGACCTCAGTGTACAAATCTTAGATAGCTAACAGGTGTCG